CGCCGCCGTGGCCCGCGCGGGCCTGGCCGACGCGGCGGCGGCCGACGCGCTCGCGGCGGCCGAGCGGCGCTGCGAGGCGGCCGCGGCGCCCGGCGGCGACCGCGCCGCGGTCCTCGGCCGGTCGGCGGCCGCGCCGCCGCTCTGGGCCCTGGTCTGGCGCGACGGCGACGGCGCCGGGGCGCCCGTCGAGGCCGCGGCGCGGAGGGTCGCCGGCGAGCGGCTCGCCGTGACCGCCGCGCCCGCGCGCGCCGTCGTCGAAGCCGCGTACGCGTACGCGGCCGTCGCGCGCGCCTTCGACGGCGCGCACCACGACGCCGCCGCGGACGCGGCCAACGCCTGGCTCGCGGCCTGCGCGTCCCTCGCCGGCGGCGGCGGCGGCGTCGAGCCGGCGCTCGAGGCCGCGCGCGCGCGCGCGGCCGCCGGCGGCCTCCTCGGCGCCGGGGGCCACGGCGCGCTGCTCCGCGACGTCGCGGCGCTGCTCGCGGCGCCCGCCGTCGCCGCGGCGGCGCTGCTGGACGCCTGGAGCCTCGTCGTCCTCGCGCGCGGCGCGCCGAAGAAGCTCCGGCGCAAGGCGCGGTACCTCGCGCTCTGGTGCGGCGCGCCGCTGGGCCGAAATCAAATCCTCAACCCGACTTCAATGTGAGCGTATTCGGCAGTTTTGATCTGCTGTGCTTCGAGAACTCGACGAGAGCGATCGATTCGTCCAAAAATCAGCCGAATCGACTTCGATGTGACCGAGCTCGGGAGGTTTGAAGTTTGGCTGGAATAACCCGATTTCGGCACAGGCGCGCCGGTCGCCGCGGACGCGCTCGCCGCCGCGCGCCGCGCCGTCGTCTCCGCGGCCGACGCCGCGGAGATGGACCCCGCCGAGGCGGACGACGACGACGCGGCGGACCTCGCGCGCCTCGCGGACGTGCGCCTCGACGACGGCGGCGCGCCGCGCCCGCCCGTCGTCGTCGCGGCGCCGCCGGCCGTCGACTACGACGAGCCCGACTAAGTTTACGCGGTCCCGAGCGTCTTCGGGTCCCACTCCTTGTTCTGCTTCCAGGCCGGGTCGCCCTCGGCGTAGATCTCCTTCTTCCAGATGGGCACGGTCGTCTTGAGCTCGTCGATGGCCCAGGCGACGGCGGCGAGCGCGTCCTTGCGGTGGGGCGACGCCGCGGCGATGATGACGCTCGCCTCGCCGACGGCGACCTCGCCGGTCCGGTGGAGGATGCAGCAGCGCTTCGCCTCGAAGCGCGCGCGCGCGACGGCGCAGATCTTGAGCATCTCCGCCTCGGCCATGGGCACGTAGGCCTCGTAGGAGAGGCGCACGACGCGCTTGCCCTCGAAGGTGTCGCGCGTGACGCCGAGGAACGTCGCGACGGCGCCGCAGTCGTCGGACGTGACGAACGCGACGGCCTCGTCGTGCGACAGCGGCGCGCCCGTGACGCGCGCGCGGTCGAGCGCGTCGCCCCGAGGACGAAGCGAGGGCGCGGGGCTCGGCGGCGCCGGCGCGCCGTCGCCGACGAGGATGACGTCGACGGCCTTGTTGCGGCCCCGGAATATCGCCAGGCCGTATTCGACGGCGTCGCCCTCGCTGAGGAGGCCCGTGCCCGGGCGGAGGTCGCTGTCGTGGACGAAGATGTCGCTGGCGTCGGGCTCGTCGGGCTTGATGAAGCCCATCTTCTTCTTCGCCGTGTACCACAGAACGGTGCCGCGGAAGCGTTTCGACTTGCTTTCGCCTTCTGGCATTATCTTGCAATCAAGTGGCGCTTACTCTCGGTAGTGGATTCCCATCGGTCGACGATTTCGCCCGCGTCAACTTGACGTTCAACATGACTCGACGTCGTCGGGCGTGCGCTGGTCTTGCGCTTCCAGCTCGCATTCTGGTGTCGCTAGCCCCGGTCACCTTATGCCTAGATCGCGAGGTCGGCCAGGTCGTCGACGAGCTCGTCCTGAAGTGCCGCGGGTTCCTCCGGCTCCGGCACCGCCGCGGCGGCAACCTCCGGCGCGGCTTGATCGGCCGGCGGCGCTGGTGCCTCCTGCACGGGCGCCGGCGCCTCGGCCGCCTCGCCTGCCTGCAGAGCACGCGCGGCCTGGTTGAAGAGCTCGATTGTTCTATGGCCGAATCTGTCGTAGGTAGCGCCGCGGTCGTTGACGTATTGGCTGAGGTAATTCGCGGCACTGTCTTCGTTAATGCTATTGAATTCAGGAGTCTGCTCCCGGACCCAGGAAGCGATCTTTTTCTTTTGGATTTTGCGGTTCTTGAGTGTGTCGAGTGCAGCTCCCAATGTCTCGCCTACGAGCAATCGAAACGTCGGGTCGAGGCATTTCTGAAGGAGCGAATGGGACGCGGGGACTGACGATCATCCTCAGGGATCATGCCATTGGGCATACTGCGAACAACGTTGCCAATGGCGCGGAGTTGTGATATGGGAGCGGGAACTTGAAGAGCGACGCGTTGGCGGCGAGCTTGGCGCCGCTCGTGATAGTTCTGTCTAAACTGGGCACCCTCTCTTTGAAGCTCGGCGCTGCTGAGCTCGAGGAGGTTTGCGAGTCTTTCCAGATGATTCTCGTCGTGCTTGACTCGGAGGCAGTAGCCGGTATATGCGACGATGCCATCCGCTGGCGCGCCGCCGTCGAGCTGAAAGCAGTGATCCATGTGATCGGCAAATTGTTGCGCACCGTAGTTGCCTGCTCTCGCCAGAAGTCTAAACGTCGGGTCTTGCCACAAAGCGGCAGGCGGCAGATGGTGAACCTGCGCAGCGAAGAAGAAGATGCGGTCCAGAAATGCTGCGGTGTTCCTTTCTCCGAGCGTCGCATCGTGGAAGACGTAAGTCGCCCGACCGTTAGAGCACCATTCGACAAGAACGATGTCAGGACGATCCTGTGGCGAGTACGCGCAGAAGAGTGGCTCATCAACAGGGAAGCCTCCGCGAAGCTGAAGCGTGGGCCCTCCAGGACGGATCTCTCCTTCTGTGATGCGTGTCCAATTTGCGTAATGAGCGTAATGAGCGTTGTTGTGACCTGGTTCGCCATCGTCAAAATCAGCATCCAAATCGTCCAAGTCCTGCTCCGGGTATCCGACAGCCTGCAAGACAGCCCGGAGCTTGCTCCAATCTAATTGGCGGACTGCAGCGAGAAGATTTTTCTGGTAATCTGTTCCGAAATACGCCCAGTCTCGTCGGATCGCCGCATGCACATCTTCTCCACCCAGCAAAAAGTCCATATATTGTCGGGCTTGTGATCGCGCATCGAGACGCTCGCGGTCGCCCCGCAAGTACTCCGCGATCTCGCCGATGACATCGTCGTTCAACTCTTGCCCGGGCTCGGGCTCCGGCGCCGGCGCGGGGTCGGGTACGGGCTCCGGCGCCGGCGCGGGCTCGGGCTGCGCCGCGGGCTCCGGCGCCGGCGCGGGCGCGGGCGCGGGCTCGGACGGAGGCGCCGGCGCGGGCGCGGGCGCGGGCTCGAGCTCGGGGGGCTCAGCCTCATCGACGATTACGACGTCCACGGCCTTCACGGCCTCTTCGCCATCCCTCAGGTAGTGCTCGACGGTGTATTCAACGTGATTGTTCTCACTAAGGCGCACGCGGTCGCGGCGGTCGCGGAGGTCTTTGTAGAAGACGAAGATGTTGTTGCCGCCGTCTTCAGGCGTGATGAAGCCAATGCCGCGGTTGAACCACAGACAGACGCCGCCGTGGCGGGCGGCCATATCGCGCGATGGTTCAGCAAGAGAGCCGTGCTGTGCCGCAGGCGCGGCACGTCCGATAGCACCTGTAGGCACGGCGCACACGACGAGGTGCGGATGCCAGCACGCCGCGTTCTCGGCGTGTTCGGAGGGTCGCGGGGGCGCTTATCGCCGAGCGCACTGGGCACCACTGCCACCAGCAGGAGTCCTAGCAGGGCTGCGACATGCCGAGCTTGCGGTGCGCATGCGCGACGAGCAACGTACGAAGCGCCGTTACGAACCTATTTCCCCGTGCCGTCGCCGAGCTCGGGCGCGCCCGGCATGGTCTTGCCCTTGGGGACCTGGAGGATCTTGCGCATGAGGGCGACGTCGCGCTTCTTCGCGGCCTTCTCGTAGGACCGCGCGTCCTTCTTCGAGAGGGACTTGCCCCAGAAGTCCTTGGGGACGACGATCTTGATCTCCTCGTTGACGGAGCCCGTCGTCTTCTCGACGGCCTTGGACTTGGACTCGCGCTTCTTCTTGCCGACCTTGAGCTCCTTGTCCGCGGCTTCGCCCTTGACGGCGAGCTTGCCCGCGGCGACGTGCCACTCCTCGTTGCAGAGCGGCGCGTAGAACTCGTGGCAGTGGGAGATCATGACGACGCCGCCGCCAAAGTCCTTGATCGCGTTCGACAGCGCGCCGAGCGAGTCGCGGTCGAGGTAGTTCGTCGGCTCGTCGAGGATGAGGAGGTGGGGCCGGTTCCACATGGCCGCGGCGAGGACGAGCTTCACCTTCTGGCCGCCCGACAGCCCCCGGACCTTGCCGTAGGTGCCGAACTCCTGGGGGAGGCCGAACTCGTCGAGGTGCGCCTGGAGCTCGGACACGGTGACGTTGATGAGGTCGAGGCCCGCGGCGCGCGACGCGACGAGCATGTCGAACTTGAGCACCTCCTCGGCGAAGCCCGTGCGCTCGAGGCGCTCCTTCTCGATGTACAAATTCTGCCGCTCGGGCCGGTCCCAGAACTTGACCTCGTACTCGATGCCGCCCTTGCCCTCGCGGCGGCCCATGATCTTCTCGAACGTGAAGGGCAGCGGCCGCACGGGCTCCGCGAAGGTCGCCTGGGCCTGCTTGCGCTTGAGCTCCTCCAGCGCCGTGTTCAGCGTCTCCTGGTCGATGAACTTGCCGAAGCGCCACTGGAGGTACTCGCACGGCGACTTGTCCAGGTGCATCTCGACGTGGTGGAACGAGTGCTGCGCGACGTAGGCGATGCGCAGGTTGTGGTGGCGCCAGAGGCACTCGCCGTTGTCGGGCCCGTTCTCGCCGACGAGGAGCTTGATCAGCGTCGACTTGCCCGCGCCGTTCTCGCCGAGCACGCAGACGCGCGAGCCGAGCGTGAGCTTGCACGAGCAGTCGGAGATCGTCGGGACGTCGCGGCCGGGCCAGGTGAAGGTCGCGTTCTCGAGCTTGACGATGGCCTTTGTGGTCGTGGCGATGCCCTCGAGGCGCCCCGGGGCCGGGAAGGCGAACTTCGTGCCGGATTCACTGAGCTCGTAGTACGACGCGGCCGACGGCACCTTGGCGACGAACGCGGAGAGGTTCCCGCGGTAGCGCACGAGCTTGCGCTCCTCGTAGTGGATGATGTCCGTGCACGTCGCGTCCAGGAACCCCGTGTCGTGGCTCACGATCATGCAGCACGCGCGGCAGGAGCACAAGTAGCGCTGGAGCCACTCGACGGACTTCGCGTCCAAGTGGTTCGTCGGCTCGTCGAGGAGCAGGATGTCCGCGTCCATGAGCGCCGCCACGACGAGACTCAGCTTCATGCGCCAGCCGCCGGACAGGTTGCCCACGGGCGTGGCCAGCAACTCGTCGCTGAAGCCCACGGACTTCAGGAGCTCGACGGCCGGGCCCTCGTCGGCCGCGCCGCGCTCGACGAGCTCCGGCCGCTTCGTCGTCCACTCGCGGACGCAGAGCACGTCGTCGGGGTCCTCGTCGGCGTGGGACTCGACGAAGACGGACACGAGGTCCGGGTCCATGCCCTCGATCTTGCCGACGTTCACGTTGCGCATGAGCGTCGTCTTCCCGACGCCGTTCTTGCCGCAGATGCCGTAGCGGCGGCCGCACTTGAGGAAGAGGCGCGTGTTGTGGAGCAACAACTTGCCGCCGTAGGCGAGGCTGAACTCGACGTCGCAGGCCGTCTTGAGCTCGGGGTCCTGGTCCGCGCCCCACGCGTCCACCGCCTCCTCCTTGTACGCCTTCTTGCACTTGTTCCGGAAGGCCGCCGCGAGCGCCGCGCCCTGGGTCGCGTCGATACACGCCAGGTAGGCGCCGCAGCACTGCTCCCACGTCTCGCCCTCCCAGAGCTGCTCGCCGCAGAGGTACGAGCCGAGCGCCGCGACGTAGAGCACGACGGGCTCGGCCTTGCTCGTCGAGAAGGCCGACGCGCCGGTCTCCGCGATGGCCTCGTGGATGATCTTCGCCGCCTCCGCCGGCTTCACCAGCTGGCAGTCGATGGCGCCGAAGGAGTCGACGCGCTTCATGGTCGCGTTTGAACGACGGCGCGCTGCGGGCTGGGACGACGACGATGGCCGCGCGCGTGCGCCGCTGCCGCACGGCGGGTCGAAGAAGAAGGAGGCGGCGACGCGCGCGGCTCACAGCGCGGCTCCGACCTCGGTCGCACAGAGATGCGAGGCGACACGACGGCAGTGGCGCGTACTCGTTGTTCAGTCTTGTCGCCAGTCCAGTCGTATGACGGTGCTGCTGCCGGGGTCGCCGCGCGCGCCCGCGCCGTCGATCGGATGCCCGACACGTATCCATGCCGGGCGTGCGACCCGCGTCGCCACTGCCTGCTCGTCCACTGCTAGCCGGACGGCTCCGTGCGCCTGTGGACGCCATCGCGAGGCGTGCGAGTGACGTCAACACAGGGCAAAATCGCCCTCAATCGTCGACCTTGAGCCCTTCTCGTACTTGAGGACCACCGCAGTGTCCGCCCTGCGCAGCTGCATGCAATGCGCCGCTCTCTGCTGACCGCCATGTTGGCGATGAGCGCTCGCGCCCTCGTGCGCACGGTCCAGCCGCTGAGCCGCCTCGAGGCCCGCAGCTTCGCGTCCTCCGGCGGCAAATACCGGGCGACGCGACGACGGGCGACGCCGACCATGGGCCTGCGCGCGCCGGCGCCGACGCGGTCGCGGGGGCGCGCGCGTCCGTCCCCGCCCGACGCGCGCGCGCATCGCCCGCACGCGCATCCCACCCGTCGGCTCCCAGGCGCGGGCGGCCGGGCGTGCAGCAGCGCGAGATCGTCAAGCTGCCCCCGATGAACGAGGAGATCCGCGCGCCGGAGGTCCGCGTCGTCGTCGACCAGGGCAAGGAGCCCGACGAGGTCCTCGGCGTCATCTCCCGCGAGGAGGCCCTGGACCGGGCCGCGGAGCTCGGGGCGCGGCGCCGCCGCGTCCGCGCGCGTCCCGTCGCGCGGCGCCGACGCGCGCGGCCGCGCAGGTGGACCTCGTGTGCATCGCGGAGAAGTCGGACCCGCCGGTCTGCAAGATCGTCGACTACGGCAAGATGCGCTACGAGCAGGAGAGGAAGAAGAAGGACCAGAAGAAGAAGGCGAAGACGAACGAGATCAAGGAGGTGAAGATGTCCTACAAGATCGGCGAGGGCGACTACCAGGTCCGCCGCCGCGCCGCGACCAAGTTCATCAAGAACGGCAACCGCGTCAAGCTCGCCATCCAGCGCGGCCGCCGCGTCGCCTCTTTTTTCTCGTCGTTTTCCGCGCGCGACGCGTCTTCGCCCGCAGGTTCCGCGGCCGCGAGCAGCAGCACATCTCCCTCGGCGACGAGCTCATCGAGAAGTTCATCAACCACCTCACGGAAGACGGCGCGAACATCGCCAAGACGAAAACCGTCCGCGAGGGCCGCGACCTCACCACGATCCTCTCCCAGAAGAGCTGAGCGCCGCGGCGCGCGCGACCCCCGCCGGCGGGCGGGTCGGTTAATTTGTGGTTCGAACGAGTGAAGGGTTGCGTGAGGGGCTCTGTGCGTGGGCTGGGGCTCCTCGTCGACGGACCAGAGCGCCTAACAAGAAGTGTAGGCAGGACTGCCAGGAGTGCGGCTTGATGCCCGTGGACATGAACAGAAGCGTGAGCTTCTGTCTGAGGCTCAGCTTCTTCTTCGCGTCCCAGAGCGACGTGATCTTGTGTCGCAGGGACTCCTGGGACCGATCGCGTTTGTTCAGCGTCTCCAGCGGCCCCTCGTGTGCGGCGCATCGGCGCCGTCACATGAGGCCGTCGAGTGGCGCCTGCGGGGCGACCCCGACGGCGCCCTCATGCGCGGCGCGGGCGACGAGCTCCTGCGGCTCTTCGGCGAGGTCAAGCGCGACAACAACAAGCTCGCGCACGGTGTGACGCTCGGCTTCTCCCGGCGCACGAAGGAGGAGCGCTGACGGCCACCGCAACGCGCGCCTCCAAGCCATGCGACAGCGTGCGGGGCAAACAAGAGGCCGTTCGAGCGAGACGTCGCGGCCGTCGAAGAGACGGCCTCGCGGATGCGTGCGCACGGCGGAGCGCGCGCGCCGCGCGCGGACGAGGCTAGTTAGGTTAGGCTCGACGGCGGCCCTCTGTCTTCGAATCGCGCATCGCGTGGGTCCAAGTCGAAGCGCGTGAATAATCGCGCCCGGGGCGGTTTTTTTCGCCATGTCTGACGCCCTTTCGCGACTCACGCAAGTCCTCAATGAGCTCCAGGACACGGGGGGCCTCACGGCGAATCTCAAGATCTCCCGGTCGGGCGATTTAGAAATCGTCGTCACCAACTCGGATACGTCGCCAGTCACGCCCTCCGCGCCCGCGGCGCCCTCCCCGCCCCCGCCCCCGGCGCCCCAGGCCGAGGTGCCGCCCGGGGTGCGCGACGCCCCCCCGCCCCCGGGCCCCCCGCCGCGCGACGGCGCCGCGGCGGCCGGCGGCCGCGAAACCCCCGACGGCGCCGCGACCCCCGGCGACGCCCCCGCCGGCGGCGCCCCCCCGCCCCCGCCCGGCGCGCCCGGCGCCGCCGAGGCGTCCAAGCCCGTGTCCTCCGACGTCGCCCGGGCCCTGGCCCTCGCGATCGCCGCGGCGTATTCGCCCGCGGACCTGCTCCGCCACCTGCCCGCGGACGTGCTCCTCGAGGCCGTGCGCCTCCAGCGGAGCCTCGTGGGCGACCCCGCCGAGGCCGCCGCGCCGCCCGAGCCCGCCGCGCCGCCGCCCGAGCCCGCCGCGCCGCCGCCCGAGCCCGCCGCGCCGCCCGAGCCCGCCGCGCCGAAGCGGCGGGGCCGGCCGCCCAAGGTGCTCAAGGTCCGGCTGCCGACGCCGCCGACGCCGGCCGCGGTCCGCGCGCGCGGCGAGGCGGCGGCCCGCCGCGCCGCCGCCGAGGAGGCCGCCGAGGCGCCGGCGGCGGTCGCCGTCGCCCACGGCCACGGCACGCGGCGCGCGGCGCGCGCGGAGGCGGCGACGGCGGAGCCCGCGGCGGCGCCCGAGGCCTGGTGGCCGCTCCTGCGGAGCCTGCGCGACGTCGCGGCGCGGTCGCCGCAGCACGACTCCTGGGAGGAGCCCGAGTTCATCGTCCAGCGGCGCAACGCGGAGCACTGCCGGCTCCTGAAGTCGGTGTCGCTGTCGCGCGACGTCTGCCACGGCCACGGCCTCGTCGCCGTCAAAGACCTCGAGCCCGGCGACCGCTTCTTCGACGTCACGGCGCTCTACGTCGACGGCGCCGCAAAGAAGCCCGGCGAGGGCGACTGCGCGGCCTGCGCGACGGGCGCGCACCGGCGCCACACGTGCGGCCAGGGCCGGTCCGCGGGCGGCGGGAGCTACCTGCCCATCGACAACAGCGTCTACTACGAGCTCAAGGCGGGCCCGACGCACGCCCTGACCTACTTCTTCAACGAGGACCGCCGCGGCGACGACTGCGACGCCAAGGTGCGGCTCCAGCACACGTACGTGCCGCGGCTCGGCGGCTGGGTCCTCGAGTGGCGCGTCCTGGAGCGCCTCCGGGCCGGCGACGAGCTGCTCGTGGACTACCCGGAGACGGACGACGGCGTCAAGCACGCGACCTGGCCCGCGAAGCCGCCCGTCGCGGAGAAGCGCGCGGCGCCGCCGGCGCCGAAGGCGCCCCGGGCCGTCACGTCGCGCGGCCGCAAGGTCTTCGCGCCCGCGTCCATCGAGGACAGCTCGAGCGACGACGACGACGGCGGCGGCGGCGAAACGGCCGCCGCCGCGCCCGCGGGCCACGAGGACGCGGCCGCGCTCCTCGCGCTCTTCGCCGCCGGCGCCGCGCCGGAGCCGCCGAGGAAGAAGAGCCGGTCCGGCGCGCGGCGGCCGGCCCCGCCGCGCGTCTACAAGTCGCGGGCGGAGCCGCCGCCGCCAAATCCGTCCAACCCCTGGGGCCTGAAGCGGCCGCCGTCCGTGCCGCGCGTGCCGCTGAACGCGTCGTTCCCGCGGACGCTCAAGCTCATCTGCGAGGACCCGAAGAACGCGGCTATCGTCACCTGGTGCCCCAAGGCCCGCGAGATCTCCGTCGTCGACAAGCCCACGTTCATCACGGACGTGCTCCCCAGGTACTTCCGGTCCAACGTCGCGTCCGGCCGCGGCAAGCCCGGCGCCGTCGACGACGACACGGCGACGGCGCACTTCGACGGCGTCCACAGCCGCCAGTTCGACTCCTTCGTGCGCCAGCTCAACTACTACGGCTTCCGCAAGGCCCGGCGCTGCACGAACCGCTACGTCTGCATGGACTACTCCATCAAGAGCCCCGCGGAGTTCGACCGCCTGAGCCGCTACGTGCCCGCGCACACGGCGTCGCGCGCGCTCGCGCGCGCGCCCATCCGCGACCGCCCCCAGCCGCCGCCGCCGGCCCTCCAGCCGTCGCTCAAGGGCGTGCACGCGGCGGACGCGCCGGCGCCGAAGCGGCCCCGGGGGCGGCCGCCGGGGTCCCGCAACAGGCCCCGGTCGGACGCGCCCGAGCCGCCGCGGAAGAGGGCGCGCGCGGCCTCGGGCCGCACGGGCGCCTACGCGTCCCCGGCGTCGCCGCCGGACGGCCGCCTCGCGGCGTCGAGCGCCGACTCCGACTCCGACTCCGACGAGTCCGCGCGCGCCGCGGACGAGAGCTCCGACTCGGACTTCGAGGCGCCGCGCGCGCCGCCGCCGCGGCCGCCCGTGCCGCAGGCCCTGGCGCCGCCGCCCCTCCCCGCCCCGCTCCCGCGCATCGCCGAGTAACTCACACGTGATGCAGCTTACGTCGGCGGCCCCGAGCCGCCGCCGTAAAGCGCCGCGCGACCTTGCCCGACGCGCCGCGCCGTCATCCTATCCGCCGGTCCTTGGCCGAGGAGCCCGAGCCCGCCTTGGTGCCCTGGTACCTGCGGAGGCGGCGCCGTCGGCACGCGCGCGCGACCGCGCCGCGGGCGCCGCGCGCGCGCTTGGCCGTGTTGCGCGATTTGTGGCGCAGCTTGTACTCCTTCCACTTGCGCCGGTAGACGCGCGCCGACCGCGAATCGCTCGTCGCCGCCCAGCCGACGAAGCCGACGGCCGCGACGACGGCGAGCAGCGCGGCGACCTGGACCATGAGCATCGTCTCCATATCGTGCGTGCGCGCGCGCGAGGTCGACGCCTGCGTCCGTCGGCAGCAGCGTTCGAAGCGCCGCACGCGCGGATGCCGGTGTGCTGGACGCGCGCAGCGGCAGCACGGCTCGGCGGCTCGACGCGATGCCTCGTTGCAGCAGCGATTGCAGAGTGGTTGCGGGCACCTCGGGGAGTCGTGACAGACAAAGGGGGCCCTGCACAACGGTGCGTGCCGCGGTCCCCGGCCACGTCCCCGGCCCGTGCCCGGGCCGTGCCCGGGGCCCCGTGCCGGGCCCGTGCCGGGCCTCCCCGGCCCGTGCCCGGCCCGTGCCCGGGGCCCGTGCCGAGTGCCGGGCCCGTGCCGGGCCGCGTGGCCCGTGCCCGGCCCGTGCCCGGGGGCCCGTGCCGAGTGCCGTGCCGCGTGCCGGGCCCGTGCCGGGCCGCGTGCCCGGAGCGCATTTACCGTGCCGGAACCCCCGTGCCCGCCGTCCCCGGCCCCCGTCCCGGGGCCGGACCGTCGTGCAGGGGCCCGTAGACAAGACCCCTAGTTAAGGAACGACGCCCCTGCGGACCCGAGCGCCTTCCCGCCGGCGATGCATCCGAAGGTGTCTCTCGAGCTCGGCGAACGTCATGTGTTTCGGGGCAATCTCATTCATGAGCGGCAAGGTCTTCCACATAGCCGCTTCGTACAACCGGCTGCTACGCTCGACCTTAGCGCGGTCGCTTTTCGCGAGCTCCTCGAGAGCTTCGCGCATCGCTTTTCCGTAATCTTCGACGCTCGCGCGTCGCCATCCGGAGGTCTTCGATTCGGGGTTTTGCTGCCGCGCCGGCGCGGCCGCGCGGGCGCGCGCCGCCTTCTCGTCGAGCTTATCGAGGAGGCTCAGGACAAACAAGGCGCCGCTGAGATCGGGGTTCTGATCATAGCTGTCATAGTCTTCCTGAAGCTCTTTACAAGTTTGCAGACACTCCTCGAGTTCAACTGATCGCCCTCCGCCAAGCTCTTTTTGCAACCCATTTCTTTCCGCTAACTTGATCGCTTCCCTCTGCGCGCGGAAGAGCTTCAACGCGTGGGCCGCGCTATGACCCCGCGCCAGCTGCACCATGAAGAAGCGCGTCGCCGCGGGCAGCTGTAATTCGATCTCGTCCTGGGGCAGCCCCATCTTCAGCAGCACGAGCCGTATCGTTCGCTCGGCATCTGCCTGTTTCTCCTCACTTTTCATGAATTTCCCGAGGCTGCTTGCTTGGTCGATGTCCTTTTTAAATTGAAGCTCCGCGGCGGCCCGACTGTTTCCTTCCGCCAGATACTCGTCAAAGTTGCGAAGAGCCTCGGGCATCGACTCGTCGATCATTTGCGCTGGGACGCCCGCGTGCTGCATCGTGTGACGGAGGAAAGACTCGGCGCTCATTTCTCAACCAGAGCTATGCACTCGCACCTCGGGCGCATTCGGCCATGCTGCGGGTAAAATCCCGGGTAATTGCCAGTGTTGAAGTCCCTGCTGAACTGCATGTTAGCGCTGAACTTAATTCACGGCGGGAGGCGACGTCAGAGACCCGACCGCCGACGAGTACGCGGACGCCTACTGGACGGAGGTCGCCTACGGCCCGCAAGAAAAGTGCGAGGTGTCGGTCCTGAAGGGCAGCCCGCCGGCGATGTGTGCGACGAGAAGGACAAGCGGCGGCGCACTCGGAGGATCCGGCGGGGTCGACTCGGCGGAAACTCTGGGCGGGAAAATTACAACCGAGGGGGGCACAGGTGGTGGTGTTCACCAGCGGCTGCCCGGCGGCGGGGGCTGGTTCGGGTAGGGGTCCCGCTCCACGGGGATGGGGATGGGCACGAGCGCGGGCTGGAACGCGGGGATGCCCACGCCGCCGTTGCAGCACATCTTGAAGAGGACGAAGTCGCAGCACTGCATGGGCGAGTCGCAGTCCCACATGTTCTCGCAGGTGCCCGGCTTGAGCTTGCCCAGCGGCGACTTCTTCTTGAGGTTCTTCGAGCGGCCGGCCTTCTTCGCCTTCGCGGGCGGCTCCGCGGCGACGTCCGTGCCGGAGAAGAGGACGTCGGCGTCCGTAACCGCGGCCTCGAGGCGGTGCCGCGCGTCGAACCAGGCCTGCGCGCCCGCGCCCGCCGGCGCGGGCGCGCCGTCGAGGCCCTGCAAGACGTACTGGCGGAACGCGAGCCAGCCGACGGAGTAGGGCGGGTTCATCATCTGGCCGTTGATCTGCACGCGGTCGACCTCGTGCTTGAAGATGCGGCCCTCCTCGTTGAGGTGGAAGTAGGACACCGCGTCGACGTGCGCGGGCGTCCGCGACCCGCGCGCGGTCCAGGAAGAGTACCACGTGACGATGATGCGCTTGCCGCTCCAGTCGTAGCGCAACCGATAGGTGACCTCGGCGCGGTCGATCATGACGCGGCGGAAGAGGCGGATCATGGCGAAGAACTGCTTGTAGGACGTGAGGCCCCGCGTCTGCACGCCCGTCGGGTCCGCGAGTTGGACGTCGGCCGTGTAGACCGCATAGTTCGGCTCGCGGTCGGGGAAGTCCGGCACGTCGGCCTTGAGGGCGTCGATGGCCTCGCCGAGGTTGAGCTCGAACTCGCTCGGGGACTTGCGCCCGTCGCCGGGCGCCGCGCCGAGTTTAGGGAGCTCGACGAAGTCGTCGCCCGCGCCGGGCAGCTCCACGGGCGCCTCCTCGCGCTCGCGCTCCATGACCTCGTTGAGGTTGAACTCCTCGGGGACCGACGTCGAGTTGTAGGCCGACAGGGGCGCGAGCGGCGCGGGGCGCGACGGCGTCGTTCGCCGGGCGACGCTCGGAACCGCGCGCTGGTAGGGCTTCGTCGGCCCGTAGGCCGCGGCGACGACCGCCAGGGCGAGCAGGCGGGCCATGGAAGGATCGGCGGGCGGAGCGGGCGGAGCGGGCTAAGGGGGGCGTATCGCCGGTGGCGTGGCGCTCGTTCTTGACCGACAGAGGTCGATCTTCTCTGCTTACGAGACGGCGTCGATCGAGCGTCGCGCGTGGCGGGCGGCAACCTTGAACGCTGATGCGAAACTTGCCCTTATGGCCGCACCGGACGCCTCCTAGCCGGGGCACGCTGCTACTGTAACGTTCGTCGTTTTTGGCGGGCCACAGCCGTATGGTGCCGTCGGCAGGAGAAGCAGCGGTTTTCCGAGCACCGCGTCCAGCGCCGTCGATTCAAGACACATCGGTCGTGCCGGACTCGTCCGACACGCGAGGCAACACCGCGAGATCTCGACCTGCGGGTGGATGCTCGCGACGAATATCGACGCGAGCGCGCGGAGGCGTACCTTGCCAGGCGCGCCGGGCAAGATGAGGCGTAAGATGCGGTCGATAACTTGAATCGAGCTCCGCCAACTCCGTCGTCTGCCTGAACGGCGTGTCCCAGCTTCGTCGCCACCCGTCTGGCGACGAAGATGATCTAAATCGCGCGCAGCCATGAGGACTCACCCGTGACAAAAATATGAGCGACTGGATCTCCGTAACGAATACGCCGAAGAGGAAGGACCAGGCCGAGGAGGCAGACCAGCAAGCGCCGCTCTCCAAAGCGCAGCAGAAGAACAAGAAGCGCGCGGAGAAGCGGCGCGAGCGCGTCGAGGTGCTCAAGGGCCTGGCCTGGAACGAGGACGACGAGGCGCTCGCCGCCGCCGCGCAGCACGAGCTGCTCCAGCGGACGAAGCCGCCGGACGCCAGGGGCCTCGCGCCGCGGCGCGAGCGGCGGTCGAACAGCAGCGGGAACCTCGCCGACGAGGACGACGACGACGAGGCCCCGCCTGTCGCCGAGGTCGAGGTGGACGTCGCGGAGCTGCACAAAAACCTCCGGAAGGCGACGAAAGCCTTGCGGCGGGCGGACGACGCGGCCGCCAAGGTCGCGGCGGGCAACGCGGACAAGGACCTCGTCGCCAAGGCCGGGCGGCGCGCCGCCCTGGAGGCGGACGAGAAGGCGGCGCGGCGGGCGGTCGAGGACGCGGACGCGAAACGCGCGGCGCGCGACGCGGCGCGGCGCGCGGAGCTCTCGCTCCTGTCGCGGCGGCGCGCGGAGACGGGCGCGAAGATGCTCGCCGTCGCCTTCGACGACAGGTTCGCCTGCCCCATCTGCACGGAGGTGCTCGAGGCCGCCGTCGACACGGGCGGCGCGTGCGGCCACGTCTTCTGTCGGGGGTGCCTCGAGGACCACGTCGCCAAGGCCGCGGGCCCGGCGGACTGCGTCTGCCCGATGTGCCGGGCGCCCCTCGTCGACGCCAAAACGGGCAGGGTCGAGGCCGCGGCCGCGGGCCTCGTCCGCGCGAACCTGAAGCACAAGCGCGCGACGTGCCACTGCGGCGCGACCGTGGCCCTCAGCGGCCTCCGCGAGCACCTCCGGTCCTGCGGGCCCGACGCGCACATGTACCCGCCGCGCCGCAAGTTCGGCCACGTCTTCAAGCAGCCCGCCTTCGTCGACAGGAAGAAGGACGCGCCGCGCGCCTTCGCGGTGACGGCCGCGGAGGAGAACGCCATGCTCCAGGCCGCCATCGCCGCGTCCCTCGCCGAGTCCTAGGGTGCTTGTAAGCGCGGCGCCTGTGCGTCCTGGCCGGCCGCGAAACTGGGTGCGACGCGGCACACATGCGTCGACACGCGGCGTTCCGCGCGCAGCTCGCGTGCGAGGGAGAAGGGCCAAGCGCGGGAAGACGGGGCCAGGGGTATGCGTCCAAACGCAGCCGATGGCGGACAATGCTCTGACGAAGGATGCACTCCAGGAGTGCGCGGTCTGGGACGGGCCCCTGCACGACGGTCCGGCCCCGGGACGGGGGCCGGGGACGGCGGGCACGGGGGTTCCGGCACGGTAAATGCGCTCCGGGCACGCGGCCCGGCACGGGCCCGGCACGCGGCACGGCACTCGGCACGGGCCCCCGGGCACGGGCCGGGCACGGGCCACGCGGCCCGGCACGGGCCCGGCACTCGGCACGGGCCCCGGGCACGGGCCGGGCACGGGCCGGGGAGGCCCGGCACGGGCCCGGCACGGGGCCCCGGGCACGGCCCGGGCACGGGCCGGGGACGTGGCCGGGGACCGCGGCACGCACCGTTGTGCAGGGCCCCCTTCTGGGAAGTTAACATGCGGTCGATGTTGACCATGTTAGGACTCATGTTGCAGCACAGCGGCCCCTGTCACCACCCGATGGCAGGGCCGAAAACGCCGCGTCGCAGCTAGGTCGCGGCGTCGATACGCGCTGCGCACCATGACTGACTCGCCTTTACGCGAGAGCAAGACGTGGGAGCCGAACTCGAGCGAGCGCTGGAGCGACTCGACGCCCACGCTCCCGTCCCCGCTGCGCCGCGTCAACTCGCAGTCCATGGACGGCGACGCGAGCCTCGACGCCCACACCCTGGGCCAGTTCGGCGTGCTGCGCGCGGGCTACCTCCACACGGGCGCGAGCCGCTGGGAGCGCACGGACGCGGCGCTCGGCGGCTCGCAGAAGCTGCGGTTCGTCGTGCTCACGCGCCAGGCCGTGACGTGGTTCAAGCGGTCGGCGACGGACGTGCTCTTCGGCGACGAGCGCGGGACGCTGCCCCTGGGCGAGATCGCGCGCGTCGCCGCGGGCGACGCGGACCCGCGGCGCGTCGAGCTCTACGGCCACCGGGGCGAGCTCCGGCGCTGGTTCTTATGCAAGGCCGGCGACGACACGTCCGAGGCCTGGCGCGGTGCCATCGAGGCCGCGCGGCGCGACGCCGTCGAGGGCGCCGTGGACTTCCGCGGGCCCGCGCCGTCGCCGTCGCACCGCGCGGCGTCGCCGACCGTCGTCTCGCTTGTGAAGTCCGTCGCCGGCGGCGATGCGAACCTCATCAGCCGCCGCGTCCAGGAAAACGAGGAGATCCGCGTCGGCGAGGTGAAAACGGACGAGACGCTGACGCTCGTCTGCGGCGACGGCGACCTCGACATCGACCCGGCCGTGCTCGCGGAGGCGCTCGACGTCGGCGAGGCGTTCGTCGAGGCGCTGCTGGGCCCCGCGGCCAAGCCCGTGCGCGTCAAGGTGCGCGCCGACGAGGACGACGACGACGACGCGGTCGTGGCGTCGGCGGCGTCCCCGACGGCACCCGCGCCGCCGCCGCCGCGGCGCGACTTCGCGGCCGCGCTCGCGGTTGTGGTCGCCTTACTCGGGGCGCTCTGGGCCGCCTTCGACGCCCTCGTGCGCTTCGACGTCGACGGCACGCGGCGCCGGGGCCCCGATGCCCTGGCGCGCTGCGCGGCGGCCCTCGCCGGCGCCGCGGCGGGCCCCGCGGCCGCGCGCGACGCGCGCGACGTCTTCGCGTTCGCCGTGTTGTTGGTCGCCGTCGCGCCCGCGGTCCGCGCCCAGGCCCGGCGCCTGCGGGCCGCGGCGCGCGCCCTCGGCGACGACGGCGACGGGACCCTGGCGCGCCACGACACGCCGCGCGCGCGGCGCCTCTCCGTGACGCTCGTCTCGGACGACGCCGGCAAGCCCGGCCCCGCCAAGCCCAAGCCCCGCGCGGCGCCGCGCAAGGTCGACCCGGGCGACGCCCGGGCCGTGCGCGACGCGTCGGCGCGCACGGGCGCGCCGGGCAAGTTCATCGTCGGCACGGGCGGCGACGTCCGCGAGGCGTCGCGGCGCTGGGCGGAGACGTCGCGGTGGCGGAGGGAGCGCGACGTCGACGCGGTCATGGGCGAGGCCCACCCCAAGTTCGCCGCCATCAAGCGCCACTACCCCCACTACTGGTGCGGCCGGGGCCGCCGGGGCGAGCTCATCTACGTCGAGCGCGTCGGCCACGTCGACGCCGCGGGCTTGAAGCGCGACGGCGTGACCATCGACCACCTCGTGCGCCACTACATCCTGCTCCACGAGTTCACCTGGTCCGTCCTCGCGCCGGCGCCCGACGGGCCGACGTCCTACCAGTGCGTCGTCCTCGACGTCGACGGCGTCCAGCTCAGCCAGTGCCGCGGCATCCGCTTCGACTACGTGCGCCGCTGCGCGGCCATAGCCAAGGAGCACTACCCGGAGCGCTGCTCCCGCATGGTCATCGCGAACGCGCCCCAGTGGTTCTCCGTCGTCTGGAAGATGGTGAGCCCCCTCGTGGACCCGAACACGAAGAAGAAGATCCGCATCACGCGGCCGGGCCTCGAGACGCTCGCCGCGCTCCGCGAGGTCGCCGACGACGACCAGATCCCCGAGATCTACGGCGGCAAGCTCCGCGACGCCCACGCCAGCGACCTCGAGCGCCAGCTCCTGGCGAAGCTCGGGAAGGCCTAATTCGCTGTTTTATCCGAAGCTCAGCGGCGCGGGCGCGAGCCGGCTCGCGACCGCGCCGGCCGCGGCGAGGACGGCGAAGAGGACGAGGCGCGACGACGACGACGGCCGGTACGTCGCGCCGGGCCCGCCGAACGTGTGGAGCGAGCCGCGCGCGATGCGCGCGCGCTTGCCCATGAGCGCGGGGAAGAAGTAGGTGCCTAAATGCGCGGGGCCGTCGAAGAGCATGAACTCGCGGCGCATGAGCGCGTGGGCCGTGTGGCTGTGCCCAAAGGCCTCGAAGGCCTTGGCCGCGTCCCGTCCGTGGTGCGTCGCGAGCGTCTCGCGGCCCCCCGGATGCTCGTAGGGCCAGCCGTCCAGGAACCGCGTGACGTCGAAGACGCGGCCGTGCAGCGAGAGGATGCACCTGTGCTGCGATCGCCTCGCCGCGACGGCGCAGGCCGCCGGCGCCAGGTGCTTGAGCTTCACCCAGGCCCGCAGCGTCGTCGCGCGCGGGCAGCACGCCGCGCCGTCCGCGCGCTCGACGAGCGCGCGCTCGACGGCCGCGACGTCCGCGTCGACGCGGCCCGCGCCGCTGCAGGCCGCGACGGCGGCGCGCACGGCGGCGGAGACGACGCTCTCCCAGAGCATGGCGTCGTCTCTCGCGAGCGCGAAGGCTTTCGCGGTCGGCGCGGCGTTGAGGATCTCCGCCGCGCGCAGGTAGCTGAGCACCAGACTCTGCACGTCCGCCGGCAGGTGCGCCATCGATGCAGCCATCGATGGCGCCAGCCGCCGAAGCCGAGGCGGGTGCCACGTAGTGCATCGTTGCTGCATCGTTGACGTTGTGAACCACGGCTGCCCTGTAACCCTGCGAGACCGCGAGCGCGGAGCTGCGTTCTGGGCTGCCCGGCAGCGACGCGCCGCCAGAGGAACAAATGCCGGCCAACAACAGGCGGCAGCAAAACCGCATCAACGCGCGGCGCAAGCGCGACAAGGCGGTGAAGCAGTTCAAAGAGGACCACGGCGTCGACCAGCGCGAGGTCGACGCCTGGGCCTGTCGCATCTACTTCTTTTTTGGCTGTATTCCGTGTTTGATCCTGAATTTCTTCGGCACAATCTTTTGGGAAAAAATTCTGAGGCGATCCTGCGACGCCGATTGTCCCACGGTGCACGAGTGGTGCGGCTGCCCGCAGTCCGTCGTCTTCGGCGACGCCACGACGAAGAAAGACTACAGCGGCATGCCCCACTGCGAGCCGAGCCACGGCGGCTCGCCGGGACACTACTGGGCCGACGAGGCGTACCAGCTGCCGGAGCGGCCCGGCCGGTCGAGCCAGGACGCGTTCGAGATGGTCATGGCCGCGCCGGAGCCGGAGCGCGAGGCCGTGTACCGCCGCCTCGCGGCGCCGGCGGAGGAGGCGGACGAGACGCGGGCGGAGGAGGTGGACGAGAAGCGGGGCTACGCGGGCAAGAAATGGCCGACGCCGGGCGCCGCCGCGCCGCCGCCGCCGGCCGACGAAGAGGCGCCGCCGCGCGACGAGGAATCCCCGCCGGACGTCGCCGAGTTTCGCAGGCTGCTCGACGTGATGCCGGAGGGCGCCGTGCGGCAGCGCATGGTCTTGGCGGGATTGGACCCGAACTTGCTCGACGCGCCCGACGAGGCGCCGCCGGCCGTCGTGATGGTCCGACCGGAGCACGTCACGGTCGAGGCGCCGCCGGTCGCCGAGCCCGCCCTGCCGGCCATGATCGCGGCCCTGCGGCGCCAGTTGCCGGGGCTGCCCCCGGACGGGACGACGAAGGAGGTCGTCGACGCCGCGTGCGCGGACCTCGGCGTCGACGCCCCGGGCGCGTCGCTCCTCGAGCGCGCGCGGCTCTGCTACGCGGAGGTCACCTAAGTATCAGGCCCCAACACCTAATTATCGTGGATGTGCTCCCAGGCGCGCTCGAAGCCCGGCACGATGGAGCGGAACGTGCAGCTGATCCGCGCCGCGTCGCCGCCGCGGAGCGGGAGCTCGTGCTCGTAGTCGTCCTGGGCGTCGCCCGTCATGACGAGCGCGCTGCCGGACGCGAGCGCGACGTCGGCGACGGCGTCCCCCGTCGCCTTGCGCCGGAGCCGGAAGGTCCGCGGCCCGCCGAGCGAGAGCGACGCGACGATGCGCTTGAAGCCTGGGCAGGAAAAGGGTGATTCAACGTCGCTTCAACGTGAGTGTTCCGCGCGCGCGCGTTCCGGAAAAAGCATCCACGCTTCGAGGCCGTTCCAAGAGATGATCGCTCGTCCAAAAGTCAGCCGAAACGAGTGGAAAACGGCCGAGATGGGAGCCTTTGAAGTTGGGAATTTCGCTCTCTTTTCCTGCCCTGCTTGAAGCCGTGCGCGCGGACCTCGTCGCTGTGGAAGGGGATGTGGCCCGCGCCCGCGGCGTACCTGTTGAGGAGGCAGGCCGTCAGCGACCGCGGCGGCAGGCCGAGGGCCGCTTCGAGCGACGGGCGGAGCGCGTCGAGGGCCGCCGGCCAGGGCCGCGGCTCGTGGCGGCAGCCGACGAAGCTGAAGACGCAGTCGTCGTCGCCGCAGTAGTAGGTCGGCCGGCCCTGGGCGCCAAAGTCGTCGGCGTGCACGGCCCAGGGGACGCCCGCGTCGAGCTCGGCGAAGAGCGCCGCGGCGGCCGCGGCCGAGAGGACGTCCGGGTGGTACGAGACGCCATCGGCGATCCGCCTCGCCTCGCTCGCGGCGGCGGCGGCGGGAGAGCCGGAACTCGAGGCAGAACCCCAGCTCGGCGTCGCCGCCGCGCCGGCCCGGGAGCCCGCACTCGGCGCCGCCCCTTTCCCGGACTGCCGCGCGGCGACGAACGACGAGAAGCTGCCGTCGCCCCGCGTTTCCGCCGCCGCGGCGCGCGGCGCCTCGGCGGGCGGCGGCGGCGGCCGCGGCGCCGCGGGCCTGCCCGCCGCCACGTAACTCTTGAAGGAGTCGAACTGCCGCGGCGCCCGGCGGCCCGCGCGGCGGATCGCGGCTTTTAGGGTCGCGGGCTCGTTCCGCAGGAAGTCGCCCTCCTCCTGGACGGCCGTCGCCGTGACCCAGCCCGCGAGCGGGAAGGCGAGCCGCACGCGCACCTTGCCGCCGGGCGCCGTCGCCGTCGCCGCGCGGCCGTCGGCGGCGAAGACCGTCGCGAGCGAGCCGCGCGCGAGCGTCCCGACGACCGCCGTGTCGAGCGCGACGCCCGCGCGGACGAGGGCGCCGTTCTTGCCCGAGACGCGGTACCGCAGGAGCGCGTCGGGCGCCTCCTCCTCCTCGCGCGACGCCGCCGCGTCGTCGCGCGCGGCGACGAGCAGCGCGTAGGCGTCGGTGAGCGCCGTGAAATGGGCCTCGCTGCCGCCCTTGTCGGGGTGCGCGAGCAGCGCCTTTTTTCGGTAGGCCTTGGCGATCTCCTTCTTCGTGCAGAGGTGCGACACGCCGAGGAGGCCCTCGGCGGCGCGGCGGGCTTCCATCGTGAGAGCTGAGGGGCAGCGTGTTCGGCACCATCGATGTAGTTGACGTCTTAGTTGACGTCATTTAGGCGCGAGGTGGACATGGCCTCGAGCACAGTTTGAGTGTTCCCCGCCCTCGCACGCCGCCGCGCCGCCGCGCCGTCAACGATGATCGAGGCGATCGCGCTCTGCTACGCGAGCGTCGCCTCCTTTGGCGTCTCCGGCACGCTGTGCTACTGGGTGGTCGCGTCCTTCCTCTCCTGGCTGCTCTGCGGCCTCTTCACGCGGGGCCGCAACGAGGACCTCGAGGCGCTGCTCGTGTCGTCGACGGAGGCCGCGACCGTGCCCGGCTGCCTCGGCGACGGCTGCGCCGGCGCCGCCGGCGTCGACCTCGCGGCGGCCGCGACGCCGGCGACGCCCGGCGTCCGCCGGTCCAAGTCCGGCGCGTCGCTCGAGGTCTTCTCGGAGGTGCGCGACGCCCACTCGTCCGTCGCGAACCCCTGGGTCAACGCGACGTGGCGCGTGACGGCGGCGGAGCGGCTGAAGATGGCGGTCCTCGCGCCCTGGGTCCTGCCCGCGCGGCTGTCGATACTCGTCGCGGCCGTCGCCGGCGCGTGCGTCTTCGCGAACCTCGCGACGGCGGGCTGGGACGGCACGCGGCCCGAGAGCCTGCTCGCGCGTGTCGCGGAGCGGCGGCGGCTCCGCTTCGCCGGCGCGGCGCGGAGCCCCGAGGCTTTGCCGCTCCGCGCGGCCGCGGAGGACCGCTCGCGCGTGCTGCCGGACACGGAGCGCATGCCGCGCTGGCGGCGCGCCGTCGGCGCGCCGGTCATGTGGTGCGTGCGCGCCGTGCTCGCGGGCATGGGCTTCTGGCGCGTGGAGGTGGCGGGCGCCGTCGATCCCGCGGCGCGCGTCGTCGTCTGCAACCACCTGTCGATGATCGAGCCGCTCGCGCTCCTCATCGCCACGGGCGGCGCGACGCCCGTGACGGCGTCCGACTTCGCCGCCCTGCCGGCGCTCGGGCCCGTGGGCAAGCTCTACCAGCTTCTGTGGCTCGACCGGTCGGACGCGACGAGCCGAGCGGTCGTCGTCGACGCGATCGCGCACCGGACCACGCGCACGTCCCCCGGCGCCTGGCCGCCCGTGCTCGTCTTCCCCGAGGGGACGACGTTGAACGGCCGCGCGCTCATCGCGTTCAAGCCCGGGGCCTTTGGGCCGGGCGCGGCCGTGCAGCCGTGCGTCGCGCGGTTCCCCTTCGCGGTGCGCTGCGGCCTGGGGCTGGACCCGTCGTGGACGACGGCGGGGCCCCAGTTCGGCGAGCTGAGCCTGCGCATGATGCTCCAGCCCTGGAACCGGCTGCGGCTCGAGTTCCTGCCCACGCGCGTCCCGGACGCGGCGGAGCGCGCGGACCCGGCGCTCTTCGCGCGGAACACGCGCGACGACATGGCGCGGGCGCTGCGGTGCCCCGTGACGGACCACTCCTGGGCCGACATGTGGCTCAACATGACCGCGCGGGACCTGGGCGAGCCGCCGCACAAGACGCTCGTCCAGCTCACGGCGCTCCGGCGGCTGCTGGGGCCCGCGGCGGAGCGCCACGCGGCCGCGGACGCGCTGAAGCGCTTCGCGTCGGCCGACGACGAGAAGGACGGGTCGCTGACGCTGGCCCAGTTCCGCGCGGCCCTGCGGGGCGACTCCGCGGAGATCGACGACGCCGACGGCGGCGGCGCGGACGACGCGCGCGCGTTGTTCAACCTGCTGCGCAAGGACGCGGATTCCGTCGACTTCTTCGCGTTCCTCGTCGGCGTCGCGCTCCTCGAGGCCGGCGGCGTCGGGTCCGGCGCGTCGGGCGCGCTCGAGCTCGTCTTCGGGCTTCTCGACGCGGACGGCACGGGCCTCGTCCCGCGGTCGCGCGCGGACCTCGCGCTCGACCCGGAGGCGAACGCGCGCGTCCCCGCCGACGAGGAGCGCGACGCCTTCATCGCCGCGACGAGCTCGGGCGCCGGCGACCCGCTCCTGGACTGCGCCGCGTTCTGCGACTACGTCCGCGCGAACTCCGCGCGCTTCGCGCGGCGCGGCGCGGACCTCGCGTAAACGCCCGCGCGCTAGCCTAGGTTGATCTCGCCGGAGAAGACGGGCCCGACGACGTCGCCGCCGACGCGGATGGCCGTGGTCTCGCCCTTGGACCGGTCGCAGTGCGCGAAGACGGACGACGGCCGGCCCATCTCGACGCCCTGCACGACGAGGATGGACACGGTGCCCTCGTCGGGGAAGCCCGGCTCGCACGTCGCGAGCAGCCCCAGGAGCGCCGCGTTCGCGGAGCCCGTCGCCGCGTCCTCGGCCGCGTCCTCGAGCGGGCAGAAGTTGCGCGCGCGGTACGAGTTGTCGCCGACCTTGGCGTAGGCGTGGACCATGCCGTTCGTGCCCGCGAGGGCCGCCCGCCACGCGGCGACGTCCGGCGTCGCGGACCTGAGCGCGTAGAGCGTCGAGAGCCGCACGAACACAAAGGGCAGCCCGACGCTCGCGACCAGGGGCGCGTGGAGCGACGCGTCGACGGCGTCCGCGGGCAGCCCCAGGCAGGCCGCGACGTCCGCGGGCTCGAAGGTCCGGCCCGCGGCGAAGGGCTCCGGCGCGGCGATCGTCGACCCGGCGACCTGGCCGTTGCCGTTGCGCGCGATCTCGACGGAGACGTCGCCCGCGGCCTCCTCGAAGACGAGCGCGTCGCCGACGGGGCGGCCGAACGCGACGCCGCGCCGCGCGAGCACGCAGGCCGTGCCGACGTTCGGGTGGCCGGCGAAGGGGTACTCCTCCAGCGGCGTGAAGATGCGCACGCGCGCGGTCTTCGTCGGATCCTCCGGCGGCAGCACGAACGCGATCTCGGCGTAGTTGAACTCGCGCGCGATGCGCTGCAGCGTCTCCGTGCTGCAGCCCTCGGCGCCGAAGACGACGGCCAGCGGGTTGCCGCCCTTGAACCTCTCGTCCGTGAAGACGTCGACGGTCTCGAAGGTCAATTTACGCGCGGGATCGACCTCGCAGAACAAGCCGCTGCTCATGAAATCGGAGAGCGAATGCTCGCTGGACACGCACATGAGCGCCTCCATCGCTTTGGCCAGCGAGCACGAGGCCGCCAGGCAGCTCGATGCGAGGCTGCCCAGCGAGGCAGCCAGCCTATGAATAGCCTATGAGCGCCTCGGAATTGGTTGAAGTTCAGTTTGAGCGGCATCTTTGCCCCAGGAGCAATACGAGAGTCTAAGCGGCCGCGCTGCCGTCGAGCCGCGCTGCCACGCCGACGCGACAAGCATGTCGTTCTTCGATTTGAAAGGCCGCACCAACGCCGGCGAGGCCGTGGACTTTGCCACCCACAAGGGCAAATGCGTGCTGGCAGTCAACGTGGCGCGGTTGTGAGACGTGACGAGCCCGCGGACTCGCATTCGACCGCGGGCTCCGACCACGACGCGCCGCGCTCCGGTCCGCCCCAAAAGTAAGCACGAAGACACGCTCGAACGCACGAGGACGCGAGCCTCGGAGTCCCGCGCGCGATCGTGCCCGGACCCCGCTGTTACGAGCTAAAATGCAGGCCCTTCTCGTTGAAGGCGACGAGGAGCGCGAGGAAGTCGTCGAGGTCCATCTTCGCCGCGCGCTTGTCCTTGAAGCGCGGGTCCTCCATGATGGCCTCGACGAGGGCCTTGACGTCCGGCGCGTCCGCGGCCTCGTCGGCGTCGGTCATGGACAGCGCCCGGAACGTCTTCCAGGACGTCTCGAGATCCGCGAGCGTCTTCTTGTTCGTGAACGTGGACCGGAGCGTCTTGTTCTTGCGGTTGAAGCAGAGCTTCACGAGGCCGTCCCACTCGACGAAGTTGACGGGCGGCGGCGGGTTGCGCACCTCGATCTTGACGACGCGCGAGTCGACCTTGGGCGGCGGCCGGAAGTTGTTGCGGCCGACCTTGATGAGCTGCGTGACCTTGGCGAGGAGCTGCGTGTTCACGCTGAGGCGGCAGTAGAGCGCGTCGCCGGGCTTCGCCGACAGCCGCTGGGCGAACTCCTCCTGGAACATGATGACCGCGGACCGGAAGTGGGGCCGGTGCGCGAGGAGCTTGAAGAGGAACGGCGACGAGATGTTGTACGGCAGGTTCGCGACGCAGACGTCGAAGTAGGGCAGCGCGACCTTGAGCACGTCGCCGTGGACCATCTCGAGGCGGTGCTTGCGCGGGTCGTTCTCCACGCGCTTGGCGACCTCGCGGACCATGCGCCGGTCGAACTCGACGCACGTGAGCTTCTTCGCCTGCGCGAGGAGCTTCACCGTGAGGTTGCCCGTGCCGGGGCCGATCTCGAGCACGCTGTCCGTCGGCTGGAGCTTCGCGCGCTCGACGATGGCGTCGACGATGGCCGGGTTCTTCAAAAAGTTCTGCCCGAGGTCCTTGTTCGCCGCGAGCAGGTGGCTCGACGCGCCCCGCTCCTCGCCGCCGCCCCGCGCCTCGTCGCGCTTGCGCTTGGGCATGGCGTCTTTTTAATATACTGCGGCGCGGCGACGAGCGTGCGAGGGATGTCGTGTGGCTGGCGGTGCGACGACGCTGGCTCCTGGGCCGACGATGGCACACTTCGGACAGCACCAGACCTGGTCCTATCGACGATTTTGGATGTTGATCGGCAAGTTGCAGTGCTCGGAGCGGGGCAGCGCACACGATGGTCGTCGCGCAGCGCCGGCTCGCGTTCCTCGTCGCCGCCGCGGCGTCCGCGGTGGAGCAGCCGCTCCTGCTGTGCAGCCCCGGCGGGCGCGACGGCTTCGGGTCCCAGTACTTCCACCACATGGCCGTCTTCGGCGCCTGCGCCGCCCACGGCGACTGCTGCTACGTGCACTCGTCGTTCCAGACGCTGGCCCACGGCGCGGACCCGCGCCGCGCCGAGGCGTTCACGGGCCTGCGGTCCGGCGACGCCTGCCGCCACCTGCTGTCGTCGCCGCGGCGCGACGAGACCCTGCCGCCGGACCCCGAGGGCGCGTCCATCGGCTGCAGCAACGGGCGGCTGCGGCGCGAGGGCGCGACGGCGGGCTGGCGGTTGTCGACCATCGAGTGGCCGCGGCCGGCGCCCAAGTACAGCCTCTGGACCTTCCTGCACAACGCGACGACGCGCGGGGCGCTCCGCCGGCTCTACGACGCCGCGCCGAAAGTCGGCTTCCCCGCGCCGCCGGACTGCGCCGTGCGCATCCACGCGCGCCGCGGGGACCACGTCGTCGCCGGCGGCGCCGCGGGCCACAAGGAGACGAACGCGACGCTGCTCTGCGTCGTCGACGCGGCGCTGCGGCGCGCGCCGGGCGCGACGGTCTGCGTCTACAGCGAGGGCCGGCCGGAGGACTTCGGGCCCGCGCTCGCGACGCACCCGCGCGTCCACTGGCGCCTCGGCGGCGACCCGTTGCACACCTTCCACGAGCTCGTCACGGCGCCGACGCTCTTCGTCGCGGCCAAGTCGACCTTCTCCGCCGCCGCGGCCGTGTTGAACGAGGGCGAGCTCCTCTACGCGCCCCTCAAGGCCTACGCCGTCCACCAGGCGAAGCAGGAGCACTACAACCCCCTCGCGGCCTGCTTCGGCCTCGCCTGCGCCTGCGTCGCCGACGCCGAGAGGCGGTCCTGGTCCCGCGCGGCGTCGGAGTGCTGCGCGGACCCGCGGCCCGCGTACGCGCGCGGGCCCCGGGGCCTCCCGGGCCAGCTCGGCCTGTCCGACTTCCGCTTTAGGCTGCTCAACTAGGTGGGGGGGGGTGTCAGTCAGCAGCCGCCGTCGCCGATGGACCAGGAGCTCGTGTGGAGGCCCGTGTGGGCCGTCTGCGCCGCGGGGCGGAGCCGCGGCGACACGGGGTCGTGCGTCAGCGACGACAGGGACAGGTCCGGCCCGTGGCGCAGGGACACGCCGCTGAAGTCGCGGGTCCGCGCGGCCGCCGGCGCGGGCTTGCGCCAGACCTTGCGCTTCTCGCGCGTCGCGACGCCCTCGGCCGCGGGCCCGCCGTCGTCGCCGATGTGGACCTGCGTGCCTGCGCAGGAACCAAGGGATGTGAGTCCGTCGTAAAAAAAAGGACGCGTCCGTCGCGGAAAAAGAAGGGACGCGTCCGTCGTAAGAAAGGACGCTCGAAGGCGCGCCGCTGTGGTAGAGCTCCGGGTGGCGCGCGAGCTTGCCCTCGGCCTTGGACGCGCCCGCGGCGCCCGCGGCGCGCGCCGCGGCCGCGGCCCACGCGTCCGCCTCGCCCGGCCCCGCGAGCCGCGCGGACGCCGCGAAGACGCCCCGCGCGCCTGTGTGGATTCCAAATCTTCAACCCAACTTCAATGTGCGCGTAATTGAACTATTTGGACCAGACTCTTTCACTGTGCTTCGAGAACTTGACAAGAGCAATCGATTCGTCCAAAAATCAGCCGAATCGACTTCGATGTGACCGAGCTAGAGAATTCTCAAGTTTGGTCAGGACCACCCAAACCAGTGGTTGGAATCCACACAGCCGCGCGCCCAGCGCCTGGAAGAGGCGCGCCTCCGTCCAGGGCTCGTCCGGGAAATCCGCGTCGCCGTCGTCGTCGACGTAGGCGATCGACCGTTCGCCGTCGCGGCCCGTGACGCACACCGCGAGCCGCCGTCGCGGCGCCGGGGCCGCCGTCGCCGCGCCGCAGGGCGGTCCGAGGCGCAACGCATACTTGGCGTCGCCGTCGGGCCCGTCGCCGCAGCAGTAGGACAGGTCCGCGCAGGCGTCGAGGAACGCGCGCCGCGACACGTCCGCGCGCGCGTCGAGCGCCGCCGCGGCCGCGAGCGACTCGCGGAAGAGGTCCGCGGCTTTTGGCGCGGGCAGCGCCCGCGCGAGGACCAGGGGGTGCTTCGACGCCGCGTAGTTCGCCAGGAGCGCGCCGACGCTCGCCGGCCCGCCGAGGGCCGCGAGCGCGGCGTCCGCGAGCGCCGCGCGCGGCCGCGCGGGCCGCTTGTCCGCGCGGAGCGCGTCCGCGAGGGCCGCCGGCGCGACGACGCGCGCGTCGCTGAGGTGGGCGCCCGGCGGCGCCGCGGAGAGCGCGTCGAAGAGGACGCGGAGCGACGCGTCCGGCGGCCGGCTCCGGCCCGCGAAGACGGCCGCGACGGCCGCGCGGAAGTCGCCGAGCGCGAGCCCCCGGGCATGCGCCGCGCAGCGGCGCTTGAGGGCCGCCAAGACCGCCAGGCCCGACTCGACGGTGCCCTGCGTCAGCGCCAGGCGCATGGCGTCCAAAGTCACCTCGACGTCGACGGCGAGCGCGCGCGCGCGCGGCCGCGGCGGCGCCCTCCCAGACGCGTCGTCGGGCGGCGCGAGCGCGTCTTTGACGCTCGCGCCTGGTACGGCGGAGAAGAGGACGACGTTCCGCTTGAGGGACGTGTGGGGCGGCGCGCCGGCGGCGACGTGGGCCGCGGCGCCGCGGGGCTCGAGGCCGTCCCTGGCGGCTTTGGCGTCGCGGACCGCGGCCGAGAGCGGCTTCGGGCCCCCGGCCGCGGCGGGCCGCGCGGCGCCGAGCGCCGCGGCGAGGGACGTGCCCGCCGGGCCCTTGACTACGGCGCGCGGCGGCGGCGGCGGCGCCGCGTGCCACGCGGCCGCGAGCAGCTCGTCGTAGTCGCCGGGCGCGTCCGGGAAGCCGCGGACGCCCCGGCAGTGGTCCACGTGGCCGTCGACCCAGGCCTCGCGCGACACGGCGCCGCCCTCGACGCGGAAGCAGTCGAGGAACGCCGGCGGCATGGCGCCGTTGACGAGGGCGCCGAGCGCCGGCGCCGGCGCGGCGCCGCCCGGGAACTTCGCGTCGAACGCGTTTTCGAGCGCGCGGACGACGGCCGGCGCGGCCGCGGCCCGGAAGGCCCGGGCCAGCACGAGGCCGTCGAGGGGCGTCGCCGCGGCGCGGGACCCGGCGTGGGCGCCGCCCGTGCGCGCGGCCCGGAAGAGGAACTCGAGCGCGCCGCGGCTCGGCGCGGCCCTGCCGTTCGCTTCCAGCACGGCGCCGCACGCGCGCGCGACGTCGTCGCCCGTCCAGAGGCCGGACCCAAAGTCGCCGACGCTCGACCCGCAGGCCGCCGCGAGCGCGCTCACGCCGCCGCAGGCCGCCAAAGTCTCGACGGTCCGGCGCGCCTCGTCGGCGTCGCTGATGCCCAGGCGCTTCTTCATCGCCGCGTCGCTCTTGCCGATGAGGGCGCCGACGCTCGACTGCTGCACGCCGATGCCCTCGTGGTCGTGCGAATGCCGCTTGCCCCCCATGGCGTAGGCCTTCTGGCGCGGCGTGTTGACCATAATTGGCTGGCGGGGCAGCTCTAAACGTCGCGGCGCGCTAGATCGTCGGTTTTTACGGCTGCATGGTGCAGCTGCAACCCAAATAGTTAACCCTTATCGTTACTCGTACATGAAGTCCGTGTAGGGCCGGTACTCCTTGGAGAAGGAGAGGAAGCCGAGCTTCTTGAAGTCGTACTTGCAGGCGTAGTCCTTGCGCGGGTTGTTGCACCAGTCCGTGCCGTCGAAGAGGCGCGACTGGCGGTGGACGCCGCGCTGGTAGCAGCCGACGCCGACGTCGCAGCGCGGCTGGTCGCGCATGCACTCCTGGCCGCAGTGGTCGACGAGCTCGAGGGGGCACTGGTGGTCGTCGAGGGGCTGGAAGAGCTTGAGCCAGATGCGGCCGCCCGCGCGGACGCGCCGCAGGCAGAACTCGTACATGCGCGCGACGGCGACGTTGTGGATCTGGAGCGTGTTGAGGAGGTGCCGCTCGCCCGTGAGGCCGCCGTGGCGGCTGCCGTCCGTCGCGCCGGAGTAGTTGGCGATGGTGTCGACGCGCGTGAGGTAGGCGTCGACCATGGCGTCGCGCTGGCCCATGGCGAAGCGGTCGTTCATGAGCAGGTCGCCGTTGATCGAGCACCCGAAGTGCGGGATGAAGAGCTTCGCGACGGGGCTCCGGCGCACGTACTCGTAGATGGCGCCGGGCACCTCGCGCGTGAAGATCGTGTCGACGCGCACGGACACGACCGTGTGGTAGCGCCGCTGGAGCTCGAGCTCGCGCGCCTCGACGAGGTGCGCGGACTGCTTGAGCGAGTAGAGCGCGCGGAGCAGGTTCTTGATCGAGTCGCCGTTGTCGCCGTAAAAGTCCTTGCCGTGCTCGACGACGCGCCGCCGCAGCCGCGCGAGCTTGATGTCGAGCACGTCCTGGTCCTCGAGCGTGTAGCGGCACGGCGCGAAGCGCGCCCAGTCGACGTAGCCCGGCAGGACCTCGTGGTCCTCGTTCGTCCGCGCGTTCGTGATCTTCGCGACGACGTTGGCGTGGAGGAAGACGTCCATCGTGTACTGGTGGCCCCGGTGCGCGAGGAGCGGCGCGACGAGGAACCGCTCGAAGTTGGCCATGGTGCAGTTGTGGCGCACGAGGCCGAAGAGGGCCACGGCGATGCGCGTCGACCGGCCCGGATCGTGCGGCACGTTCTGCAGGCCGCAGCGCTGCGGCGGGATGGTCACGTAGGTCGGCGCGGCCCCGGCGAGCGACGCCAGGGCCAGCAGGGCCGCGGCGGCGACCATCGTCGCGTCGGGGAGATGCGTCGGGGCTGCCCCAGACTTGAACTTTATCTTGAAAAATGCAAGTTGACGTGTCCGAAAACGTTGTGTCCGAAAGCAAAAGCGCGTCGCCCATCACTCAGATTTTTAAGCTCTGCGTGGTGTGTCGCCTACTCGCTCCTGAGCTCGGCGCCATGCACGCCGTCTTGCTCGTCGCCGCCCTGCTCGCCGCGACCGGCGAGGCGCGGTCGTGCACCTGCGGCGCTGGCAACTACAGCAACTACCCGTCCAGGCCCTGTGGATGCCTGCCGTGCCTGCGGGGCACCCACCAGCCCGGCGAGGCGCCCTGGAGTCTCGAGGGCATGTTCACGGCCTGCCTCGTCTGCGAGGCCGGCCGCCACGCCATGGCCGAGGGCAGCGCGGTGTGCGAGGAGTGCCCGCGCGGCACGTACGCGCCGGAGCCCGGCTGGGGCGAGGAGTGCCTGGAGTGCGAGGTCGGCGGCGTGCCCAACGCCAATCGGACGGCGTGCGCGCCCTGCGAAGCGGGCACCTACTGGAACGCGTCGGCGACCTGCGCGGCGTGCCCCGCGGGCACCTTCAAGCCCGGGACCGGCGGCACGCTCCTCGACTGCGCGACGTGCCCCAGCGTCAGGGCGAACGACGACGGCACGGCGTGCCTCTGCAGCACGGACCCAACGCGGGTCGAGCACGCCTGCCCGGCGAACTGGACCTGCCCGGAGGCGGGCCTCCCCGACCGCGACGTCGCGTGCGTCCGGGACGCCTAGATTTCGCGCTCCATACACAAATCGAAACTCGCCTTCTCTAAAGCGGCGCGCGCGCGCCGTCGCCCCCCCGCACACACGGTCAGTCCTTCGTCCGCGGGTGGACGACCTCGTCGACGACGCCGAAGTCCATGGCCTCCTGCGCGGTGAAGTAGCTGTCGCGGTCCATGACCTTCTCGACGTCGGCGAGGGGCTTCTTCGTGTGGTGGACGTAGATGTCGTTGAGCTTGGCGCGGGTCTTGAGGATCTCCTTGGCGACGATGGCGATGTCGCTCGCCTGGCCCTGCGCGCCGCCGGACGGCTGGTGGAGCATGATCTGCGCGTTCGGCAGCGCCCTGCGCATGCCGTCCGCGCCCGCGGCGAGGAGGAGGGAGCCCATGGACGCGGCCTGGCCCATGCAGAGCGTCGCGACGGCGGGCTGGATGTACTGCATCGTGTCGTAGATGGCGAGCCCGGCGGTGACGACGCCGCCGGGCGAGTTGATGTACATGGAGATGGGGCTCGTCGGGTCCTCGGACTCGAGGAAGAGGAGCTGGGCCGTGACGACGCTCGCGAGCTCGTCGTGGACGGGGCCGTTGAGGATGATGATGCGCTCCTTGAGCAGGCGCGAGTAGATGTCGAAGGCGCGCTCGCCGCGGCTGCTCCGCTCGATGACCATGGGCACCATGGGCAGGGAGCGCCGCGCGAGCGTCACCGACGGCGGCCGCGCGGCCGCGACGCGCGCCATGGCGCCGAACCGCTGCATCTCGTCGCGTCGGAAGGCGCGCGTTCGCACGGCGTGGTGCTGCCACAAGAGCGCGAGCTTCGACCTCAAACTGCGCGCGCTCGTTGCCGTTCACGATGCAGCCCTTGGCGCTCCGTCGGCGCATCTCGTCGGCGCCTTCGGGGGCGGTTCCCTGTGTTGTGTGTTCGGGTCGCGGCGCGCCCAGCCCGGCCGCGTGCGCGTGCAGCCCCTCCATCGTCCGCATCGGGAGCGGCCTTCGCTTCGACCCCGGTGGTGTGTGTTCGGGTCGCGCTGTGGCTGAAACGATGCTCGAGGGCGAGTACGAGAAGCCCGAGGAGGAGGACGACGACGACGTCGACGCCCTGCTCGCGCAGGTCGACGCGCAGATCACGCGCGACTGGGGCCAGCACGGGCCGCGGAGCCGGAGCCTGCCCCTCGACGTGGCGTCGCCCGAGCAGGCGCGGCGGGCCAAGGACGTCGCCCGGAAGAGGCAGTACGGCACGCTCGCCGCGCTCGTCGTCGTCGGCCTGCTGAACAAGGTGCTCTCGAAGCTCGTGACGCTGCCCATGGCCAACTACCCGAACGCGCTGAACCTGCTGACGACGGCCGTCTACGTGCCCCTCTCCTACGCGTACATTGTGCCCGTCGCGCGGCTCCGGCCGCGGCGCATCACCGCGGCGCACCGCGCGCTCCCCTGCGCGCCCTTCGCGACGATGGGCGCGCTCGACGCGGCGGCGGCGACGCTCCAGGTCTTCGCGACGACGGCGTTGCCCGGCGCGCTCGTCGTGCTGCTGCTCCAGGCCGCGATCCCCGTGAGCATGGGCCTGTCGAAGCGGCTGTTGGGCGCGGAGTACGCGCGGGACCAGGTCGTCGGCGCGGCGGTGACGGCGCTCGGCGTCGCCGTGGCCATCGGGCCGGCGCTCTTCGCGGGCGGCGCCGAGGGCGACCCGGACTCGGCCAAGGGCCAGGCCATCCTCTGGGGGTCGCTGCTGGTCCTGTCGACGGTGCCCATGTGCCTGAGCTCCATCTACAAGGAGATCCGGCTCAAGGACCACGACCTCGACGCGGTCTTCCTCAACGGCCGCATCGCCGCGTTCCAGCTGCTCTTCGCCGTGCCGCTGGCGCTGCCGCTCGCCGCCGCGTCGTCGCCGCCCGTCGACCCGGGGGCGCTCCCGGGGAACCTCGCCGACGGCCTCGCGTGCGCCTTCGCCGGCGTCGACGCCGTCCGGTCCTGCGACGACGACGACGGCGGCTGCGTCGTCGACGACTGCTGGCCGCGCGCGCCGGCCTACGTGTGCTGCTACGTCCTGGCGAACGTCGCCTACAACGTGCTCATCATCCTGACGCTCAAGGTCGGCGACGCGAACCTCCTCTGGCTCGCGATGACGCTGCTCGTGCCGCTGTCAACCGTGGCCTTCAGCCTGCCCTTCGTGCCGGACCACGCGCCGCCGCGGCCCACGGACGCCGCCGCGCTCGTCCTGATCTCCGGGGGGCTCGCGCTCTACCGCTTCGGCGTGCCCGGCGCGCTCAAGGACCGGCTCTGCCGCAAGGCGGCGGCGGGGGACGACGACCGGAGCGCGAGCCTCCTCCCCAACGACAGCGCCGAGTTCTTCTAACTAAGGGGGGCGGCCGTTCATGCGCCATTATCGAGGTAGTGGTGCGCGAGCACGATGCACTGGCTCGTGAGGAGGCTGGCCGCGCCGAAGGACACGCGCGTCGCGCGGGCGTCGGCCGCGAAGAACGCGTCCTCGGCGTCGCTGAAGCCGAGCTGGTCCGCGACGACGACGACGGCGTCGCGAGCTTCCGCGCGGGCGCTCCAGGCGCCGCCGGCCTCGTGGAGGAGCACGTAGGCGCCGCCGCCGAGCGCGTCGAGCCGGTCCTCGAAGCGCTCGCCCCGGCGCACGACGAAGCCCGGCGGCGCCGGGAGCTTGGCGACGCGGCGCCGCGCGACGAGCCGGTCGAGGTTCCGCTGCGACTTGCCCGTCGGCGCCGCCGCCTTCGCCGGCGGCGCGTCGGGCTGGTCCGCGGCGAGCGCGCGCCGGAGGAAGAGGCCCGCGGTCTTCTCGTCCGGGTTCAGGCCGCGGACGTCGGCGCCGCGGATTTCGACGGTGTCGCGGCCGAGGCAGAGCCAGAGCGTCGCGTCCTCGCGGACGCCGTTCGACACCCAGAGCGCCGCCGTGAGGCACCGCGCGAGCACGTCGACGCGGCCCTCGAGCAGGTTGTTCACCGAGAACTCGCCGCGCGCGAAGGCGTCGCCCACGTCGTGGCAGAGGACCAGGAAGTGGCGCGCGGCTGGCGCTTTCGGTGGAGCGGCGGTCGCCGCGAGCGGCGCTGCACTCTTGCGCGCAGCATTCGTGCGAGCGAACGCGGTGGGCGCTGCTCCGCTGGGCGCTGCGATGTGCCTCGCGCCGGCGCTGGGCGACGCCAGCGGCGCTGGGTAGAAAGTGGAGCAAATTGGCAGGAAAAAAAGCAAATTGGCTCCTGCCAGCGCACGCATCGATGCTTCGGGCCAACTGCTAGAAGGTCTAGGAAGCTGGCGGCCGCTAGTGGCTGCGCCTATTGCACGCATAGGACGCCGCCATCCCCTCGTTTGACTGCTCGTTTGCCCTCAAAATCAACCCACATCGACGATTGATAGCCCGAGCCGCCCAGTCAGACGCACTGCCACGACGATGGCCGCTCTCAGCACGCTCGTCCTCCTCGCGTCGGCGTCGGCCTTCGCGCCGGCGGCCCACCGCCTCCGCGCGCCCAAGATCCGCGGCGGCAGCGAGCTCGAGGCCGCGAAGAACAGCGCCTTCGTCTTCGTCAAGCCCCATGCCGTGACGGCGCCGACCATCGACCTCGTGCGCGAGAAGCTCGAGGGCGCGGGCCTGTCGATCCTGAGCGAGGGCGACATCGCGTCCGAGGCAGCGTCGAGCGACGGGAGTGTTTTTTCGCGTGAATGTCGCCTGCAGATGTGAAGAAATCCGACCCCGTCGCACTTGGTAGGTCCGAGGACATCGACAGCAAGAAGCTCGTGGACCAGCACTACTACGCCATCGCGTCGAAGGCGACGATCACGCCGCCCGCGGAGCTCGCGGTGCCCGAGGCGACGTTCAAGGAGTTCTTCGGCGAGGAGTGGAGCGACGTGCTCGCCGACGGCCGCGCCATGACGGCCATCGACGCCTGCAAGAATTTGGGGTTGTCCGGCGCGGAGATGGACGAGGCCTGGGGGAAGGCCAAGGGCGCGGGCGACATCATCAAGCTCGGCGGCGGCTTCTACTGCGGCAAGCTCATGAAGGGCGACACGGCGACCTACACCTTCAACGCCTTCTACATGTCCATGCGCGACCGCTTCACCGTGCCCGGCGGCTCCATCCACTACTTCGCCGTCGAGTGGGACGCGGCGACGCTCAAGTGGGCCGACTTCCGCGGCAAGCTGCTCGGACCGACGGACCCGGCCGCGGCGCCCGCGGACTCCATCCGGGGCCTCATCTTCTCCCAGTGGGAGAGCCTGGGCCTCGCGGGCGAGCCGAACACGGGCGACAACGGCGTCCACGCGTCCGCGTCGCCCTTCGAGGGCCTCGCGGAGAAGATGAACTGGCTCGAGACGAACCCGGCCGAGGACGCGTTCGGCGCCCAGGTCCTCGACCTCGGCGTCGACCTCAAGGCCTGGACGCTGGACCCCGTCGTCGCCTACTCCGCCGACGACAAGGGCTCCCTCTTCGACGCCCTCGAGGACATGGACGTCGCGGACTGCGCCGCCAAGCTCGCGGACCTCAAGGCCCTCGCGGACCCCGAGAAGGCCGTCGGCGTCGGCACGCCCCTCTTCGGGAAGAAGAAGTAGGGTCGGCGTCGTAATAAATGAGCCCCGAGCTTGTACGTTAGGGCGCAGCGACGCCCGGGGCGTCGTAGAGCGTAGCGACGCCCGCCGGCGAATCCGCCAGCGCGTCGTCGTCGGCGTCGTTGGCGTCGTCGGCGTCGTCGTCGGCGTCGTCGTCGGCATCGCCGCCTTCCGCCGCGCCTTCCGCCGCCGCGTCGGCCGTCGCGTTCGGCGCCTTCTTGAAGGTGGAGAAGAGGTTCGCGAGGAACGAGGGCGACGCGGCCTCGGTCTCGTTCGGCGGCGGCGGCTTCGGCGGCGGCGCGCGGGGCGCCGGGTTCGCGAACTTCCACCGCAGGGTCTCCGCGACGTCGGCGTCGAGGTACTCGTCCAACAACAGGTTCCGGCAGACGGCCGCGGCGCCGCGCCGCGGCGGGTCCCTCGCGGCCTTTTTCAGCGCCTTTTCGAGGTCGCGGTCCGCGAAGGGGTCCGAGTCCGGCCCCAGCAGGAGCGCCGCCAGGGCCGCGCGGCTCCGGTCGCCCGCCTCGCGGAACCGCGACGCGTCGTCGCCCTTGTCGCGGCGGTCGTAGGCCGCGACGCCGAGCGTCGCGGCGACGAGGAGGAACGACGACAGGAACGCCTCCTCCGCGGCCGTCGCCCAGGCCTGGTCCAGCGACTCCGGCTGGCTGTCGCTGAAGAGGAAGAGCTTGCCCGCGTAGAAGATGGACGTGAGCGCGAGCCCCTTGAAGGCCGCCGCGCCGGCGACGCCGGCCTTGGCCGCGGCGCCGAGCGTCGTGCCGCCGAGCGCCGCGCCAGCCTTGCCGCCGAGCAGGATGTTGAGCGACCCCTTGGCCGCGGCGCCGCCGACGACGCCGCCCGCGCCCGCCTCGACGTAGGACACGAGCAGCGACGCGTTCGCCGTGTCCGACACCGTGTCGACGACCTCCTTGAGGCCCTCGGACACCGCGGGGGGCAGCTGCTGGAGCACGAGCCGGTCCCAGATGCCGACGACGAGCAGGCGGCTCAGCGACTCGTAGGCCTCGGGCGGGAGCGCCGCGAGCGTGTCCAGGCTGAGGGCGATGAGCAGCTCCGGGTTCAGCTCGTTGACGACGTCCAGGAGGACGGCCTCCAGCGGGACCTCGCCCTCGGACTCGTCCTCCCGCGTCCCGCCGCGGAGCCCGTTCAGATCCTGCTGCTTCTCGAGGAAGAGGCGCTTCAGCGACCCCGCGAGGTCCGGCTTCTGGTCCACGTCGGCCTCCGCCTCGACCTTCGACGGCGCCCCGGCGCCCATCATGGACCGGAGCGTGTCGTACTCCGCGCCCTTCGCCGCGGCCGCGTCCAAAGCCCGGAGCACGGCGTTCTGGATCGTCGCGCCGGGCGTCGCCTCGAGGATCTGCTTCACCTTGGCCGCGAGGTTCTTCGGCGGCGCGCCTCGTAACAGGGTCTTCGCCGTCGACCGCAGGAGGCCGACGTCGTACGCGTTCACGGCGACGGCGAGCGACTGCAGCGTCACCACACCGCCCGTGAGCTCGCCGCCCGTCGCCCGGAGCCGACTCTGCGCGGCCAAGTCGAGCAGCCGGCCCGCGAGGCGCCGCAGCACGCCCTCGGGCGCCGCGTCGACGAGGCCGACGGTCGCGTCGACGAGCTCGTCCGCCGGCAGCGTGCCCAGGAGCGTCACGGCCTCCGCGCGCACGAAGTCCGCGGGCAACCGCGCCACGAGCGTCCGCAGCTGCTTCGCGACGAGCGCCGGCGGCAGCGTGTCCACGGCGTCGGACACGGCCGTCTCCGCGACGGTCTTGACGGCGTCGGCCGTCTCGACCGTCGGCCCGGGGCCCGTCGCGGGCACGAGGAAGTCGCCGTCGGGCTTCCGCTCGCCCACTCTTGGCCGGCTGACTATCGGAATATTCGCGAAGGGCACGGAGACGTCGCGCGGCGTCGACAGCGCCTTGACGGCCGCGCGCATGACGCGCGCCTCGAGGTCGCGGTCGCGCGCGATCCTCGCGACGTCCCTCGCCTGCAGCAGGCGCCCCTCCGTCGTCGGCGCGAGGTTCGGCGCCGTGCCGACGCCCAGGAGCCGCAGGGCGCCGTCGGCGGCGCGCCGCGCCTCGGGGAAGGAGCGGAAGAGGAAGTCGTTCGTGAGGTACGGCGCGAGCGACTTCACGAGATCGTTCTTGACGTCCGTCGGCAACCGCCGCGCGAGCGCGCGCTCGCCGTTGCGCGGCTCCGACGGGTCGCTCAGCGCGATGTCGACGACGTCCGCGAGCTGGCGGTCGCGGTCGCCGCGGCCCGCGCCCGCCCAGGACAGGCTCAGGTCGTTGAGCAAGGCGCGCGCGTCGCCGTCGCTCAGGCCCGCGATCGCGCGGAGCAAGGCCGCGCGGCGCCGGTCCCGCCCGAGCGCGAGCGCGAGGCGCGGCGCGGCCCAGGCGGCGACCGTCGCCGGGAGCACGACGGGCTCCTCGGCGGGCGGCGCCGCGGGCGGCGGCGGAGCGACCCGCGGCCGCTCGCCGAAGATCGCGGCCAAACAGACCGGCGCGAGCTCCGCGAGCCGGCCGGGCCCGAGCTTCGCGAGGCCCGACGTCACGACGCGCTTGAGCTCCACGGCGTCGGCGTCCCGCAGCCAGCGGTTCACGAGCGTCTTGGCGACGCGCCGCGGCAGCGCGCGGCCGAGCGCGGCGCGCGACGCGTTCCGCCCCAGGTCGCCGTAGCCCGCGAGCGCCGTCCGATCTAAAAGCCGGCTCACGGCGTCGGGCGCGAGGAGGAGCACGAGGTTCTTGTGGACGCGCGGGGCGAGGTTCGCGCCGATGGAGAGGAGCAGCGCCTTGAACTCGTCCGGCGGCAGGCTCGCGCAGAAGTTGTCGAGCATGCGCTTGAGCTCCTCGCCGGGCAGCACGCCGAGGGCCATGACGCTCGACGCGACGACGGACAGCGACCGCGCCTCGGGCGCGTCGGGCGGCGGCGCCGACGCGCCGTTGGTCTGCGGCGGGGGGGGCGCGCGCGGCGGCGCCTCCGCCGGCGCGGCCAGGAGCCGCGCGAGGCGCGCCCGCACGGGCCCGCTCACGACGCAGGGCGCCGGGCGGGCAATCGAGGGTCGCGGCCGTCGTCGCGCCGGGGCGAGGACGAACGGCGACACCGTCGCGACCAGGGCCCAGAGGCCGAGGCAGCACCGGTGCATGCCCAACATCGTCGACGAGTGCGTCGAGAGCAGATCCTCAGGTGCATTGATGTTGCTGATTTTTTCGGCTCGCCTCGCCGCCGCCGCAGCGCTCCCCAACTCCTCACGCATGCTCCCCGGGAAGTGTCACGTTCTCGTTAGTGCGGCCTCCGCCGGGGTCGGGTCGGGCCGCGGCGCCGTTCGGCGGCGTGGATCGCGCGGCGCGCGGGGGCCCCCGCCGCCCCGGCGGCGGCGGCGGCCCGCGCGCGCCCTAGAAGTAGTCGCTCTCCTTGGACCAGAGCTCGTCGTCGCCGCCGCCCTTGGCCTGGGCCTTGGCCCCGGCGCCCCCGCTGCTCTTGGCGCCCTTGGCCTCGGCCTTGGCGCCGGCCGCGCCCTTGGACTCGGCCTTGGCGGACGCCTTCTCGCCCTTGGCGGACGCGTACTTCGACTCGTAGGACTTGCACTGCGCGTTGCTGTCCTCGGGGATGTACTTGTAGAAGGCCTTGTTGTGCATGATGAGCTTGTCGCCGACGAAGTAGAAGCTGTCGGAGCTCGTCTCGTAGGGGTGCGCGATCATATCCGACACGAGCGCGTTGTCCATCGGCGGCAGCGCGTAGACGGCCTCCCACGTGTTCGTCGACCCGGGGATGCAGAACCCGAAGGAGAAGTCTGCGCGGGGGCGGGGGGCGTGAGCGCCCGGAGGGGGGGCGCCGCGCGCGCGCGCGCGCGGCCCGGCGCCGCGCTTCCGCGCGCGCCGCGGCGGGCGCGCGCCGCGCCGTTTCGGACGCCGCCGCTCCGCCGTAGGACTTGATGAGCTGGTCCCGAAAGTAGTGGCGCTCGATCATGCGGAAGTCGCTCAGGGGCTCCTGGCCCACGCTGAAGACCAACGTCGTCGAGATGTTGGGCAGCCGCAAAAAGTCTTCCGATAGTTCGTAGTTGATTTTCCGCAGGCTGTCCGGGTCCATGGCGTCGTGCATGGAGAAGTCGATGGGCAGGGGGCGGTCCCGCGACACCTCGAAGATCGTCAGCTTACTGTCGTAGTCCTGGATCACGAAGCTCAGGAACTCGATGCCGTACTCGTTCGCGCTCAGGGGACAGAGGAAGTTCTTCGTGGGGGCCTCGTGCCTCAACACCTCCTTTGGCGTCGCCATGGCGGGAGACCAACGCGCGGGAACGCCCTTGGTCTTGCTCGGCACCGAAAGCGCACCGGCGAGTGTCCGGCGGACGGCCCGGTCTGCGACTGATTTCGAAATGCTGCCCCGGCCGCGAGCACCTGAGCTCGGTACCCATTTGAGTTCAAAGTGGCAGCAAGTTTGACTGCAAGTCCGCGCCGCGGCTAGCTCCGGCGCATGGACGTGCATGCGCCCTCGGTGCGCCGCCGCATGGCTGCCCTCGGCCGTGCTCGAAGCGCTAGATAAGCGATATCGCACTTGTTCAAAGGCCGGACGGTAGACGGAGCAGCATCGCACCGCTTGCTCGTCGCGCCGGACGCGAGGCAGCATCGCTAGCCACTTGCTCGACGGCAGGCGCAGCATCGCACCGCTTGGACGCGAGGCAGCGCAGGGCCGCCATGCTCGCCCTGCGAAAACTCGCTCGGAGCTACGACCGCGCGCTGCAAACCCAGCCGCTAATAACGAAGGCACTCTCCTCAGGCGTCATCGTCGGCGCGTCCGACGCCTGCAACCAGGCGATCGGCCCGGCGCCCTACGACGCGCCGCGCACGGCGATCGTCGGCGTCGGATACGGGGCGCTCTGGTTCGCGCCCGTCATGCACGGCGTCACGTCGGCCTGGGCGCGCTATCTGCCGTCGACGGCGCCGGGGCCCGTGCTCTTCAAGACGGCCGCGGACATGGCCGTGTCCTTCCCGGTGAACATCTCGGCGTGCATCGCGATCCAGGCCGCCTCGCGCGACGGCGCCGCCGCGGACGTCGCCGCGGCCCTGGAGACGAACCTGTGGCCCGCGCTGACGGCGGGCTGGTCCGTCTGGCCCTTCATCACGGCGGCCATCTACGGCGGCGCGGTGCCGCTGCGGTACCGCGTCCTCGCGATGAACGCGTGTTCCTTCGCCTGGAACGCGTTCCTCCTGCGCCAGTTCCGATGACGATCGAGGGTATTTACCATAAAAACCGGGGCCTCCTAGCTCTCTTCGGGGATGGCCTCCGGGGCGGGCGAGTTCGCGCGGTCGTCGACGCTGGACTGCGTCTCCGCGGCGTCGGGCTGGACGAAGGGGTGGGTCCAGTCGAAGGAGCCCGCGACGAAGATGGGCCGGAGCTCGTCGCGGGGGACGCCGTAGCGCTCGTCCTCGTCGTCGAAGAGGATCGCGTAGGTGCCGTCCTCCTTGGCCTCGGAGACGAGGCCCGGGTACCACTCGACCTCGCCGTCGGGCCAGTCGTCCTCGTGCCAGCTGCAGACGACGCGCGCGTTGATGGCGAGCCGCCGGGGCCGCAGCGGCGCTCCCGCGTCCGCCGCGCGCCGCGCGACGTCCCAGAGCTCGCGCGCGCGCGCGAGCGCGGGCGCGTAGGCGTCGCGGAAGTAGCGCCGCGTCGCGTCCGCGAGGCCCGGCCCGTCCAGGGGCACCGTCGCCTCCGCGCGCCGCGCGAGGTCCACGCCCGCGTCGACCAACCGCTCGAGGTCGCGGACGCGGTCCGCCGCGCGCGCGGCCGACACGGCGAGGTCCGCGCGGTGCGCGGCGACGCGGAGCGCCGCCGCCGCCGCGTCGGCGGGCGCCGCCGCCGGCCGCGGCGACGCCGCGGAGCCCGCGGACGCGAGCGACTCCGCGCGGCCGCGCGCGCCGCCCGCGCCCGGCGGCAAACTCGCCTCGTGGACCCAGACGCGGTGCAGCGACGCCTTGAGCACGTTCGCGAAGCCCCGGGCCCGCAGGAGCTCCTCCATGGGCTCGTAGTCCCCCGGCGGGTCGCGCTCGTAGTAGACGCATTTCACGGAGTCGAGCAGCTGGGGGAACTCGCGCAACGCGGGGATGAGGCCGCCCTCGCAGTCCGCGACGAGCACGGTCGGCGCGCCGCCGAGGAGCGCGGCGACGGTGTCTAACCCAAAACCCCGCACCGTGCCCCGGCTCCGGCCACCGCCGTTGACCGTGCCCCACATCCAGGCCCGCGGGTGGTTCGGGTCGACGTCGCCGGACCCGAAGGGCACGGCGTCCTTGTCGCTGAGCACGCCTCGGAGCACGGCGAACGTGGACCGGTAGCGGTCGCGGTTGTGCGCCAGGGGCCCGTCGGCCAGGGCGCCGTTGGGCTCGAAGACGACGTGGGGCGCGCCCGGGTCGAGCATCTCGATCATCTGCTGGATCATCGTGCTCACGGCGCCGATGCCGCCGCCGAGCTCCAACACCCGGAGCCTCTCGAGGCCCGGCGGCGGCGACCGCCGGCGCGCGGCGGGCACGGGCCCGTCGTCCGTCGCCTCGCGCCGGTTCGGCGCGTGGCAGTAGAGGGGCACGACCTCGTTGAAGAGCCAGCAGATGACGAACTGCTCGAACGCCTCGTGCGCCTCGTTCGGAATCTCCAGGTTGTCGCAGTTCCAGAGCTTGAACGTGGGCATGATCGTGCGGTTCCGCGGGAAGGCGCGCGTGCCGTCGAAGTCCGGGTGGAGCTCGCGCAGCGCGTCGAACGCGCGGAGCGCGGACGGCGACCCGCCGTCGCGCGGCGACGGCGGGCCCTTGCGGCGCCGCTTCTTCGGCGGCAGCGACTCCCGCGCCGCCTCGGCGGGGTCCGCGGGGGCGGCGGCCCCGGCGGGGTCCGCGGGGGCGGCGGCCTCGGCGGGGTCCGCGGAAGCGGCGGCCCCGGCCGGCGCCGCGACCGCCTCGCCCGCGGCGGCCGGCGCGGCGCAGGCCGCGGCCTCCGCGGCGGTCAGCGTCGCGGGCTCGACCTGCGCGCGCCGCAGCGAGACGACGGCGCCCGCCGTCGTCGCGAGGTCGACGTAGACGTGGCCGTTGCCCTTCTCGAAGACGCGCCGGCAGACGCCGCGCGTCGCGGGCTCCCTGGCCACGCGCAGCTCCGCGCCGACGGCGACGTCGCGCGCCGCGGCCGCCGGCGGCGCCTTCGCGGGCGTCGCGCGCGCGGCCGCGGGCGACGCCTTCGGCGACCGCTTCTTCGCCTTCTTCGCGCTCGGCCGCGGCGACGGCGCGTCGGCGCTCGCGGCGCCGGACGCCGGGGCCGGCGCCTCGGCCAGCGCCGACAGGGCGCGGTTCAGGGAGCCGCCAACCTTGAGGAGCACGGCCGTCGCCCGCGGCGCGTCGTAGCCCATCTCCCGCAGGACCGCCAGCGTGCTCAGCTGCGTGACGCTCAGCGTCGGCGGCATCGTTGCGGGCGGCGTGTGTGTGGACGGCGCGCTGCGCTGCAGCCACTCTTCCAGCAGCCAGCCGAACTCTTGCCGCAGAGGGCAACACACGGATTCATGCGATAGTGATGCGAAACGGACCTCTGAGGGTGCTGTGAGGCGTCCTCCCGCCGCGGACGCTCCCCGCGCCCGAGCTCGGCCCAAGTCTCTCCGTGCCTTAAGGCCGACCTTCGCCGCGCGCGCCGCCGCCCGCCGGCCGCGCCTAGATCATCTCCTCCTCGTCGTCCTCTTCCTCCTCCTCCTCGTCGTCGCCCTCGTCGTCGACGGCCTCGAAGAGGTCCTCGGAGGCCTCGTCCATGGCCGCGCGCTTCTTCGCCTCGCGCTCGCGCTGCTCCTTGAAGGCCTTCTTGAGCTCCTCGGCCGTCTCGGGCTTCTTGAGCTTCTCGGCGGCGGCGGCCGCCGCGGCGTCGGCGGAGAAGTCCTTGCCGCCGGAGATCTTCGTCTTCTTCGGGGGCTTGAGCTTCTTGGACCGGCGGTAGATGCCGAACTTGTCCATGTGCTTGCCGACGTCCACGAGCTTGGCGTAGGGCGCGTCGTCGGAGTCGAGCGAGACCGTCGATAGGAACGCGCCGAGCGCGTCCGTCGTCAGGGGCCCCTTGTGGGCGAGGGCGCGCAGCGTCGGCGCGCCGGAGACGTTGCGGAAGTAGATGGCCCGGTGGGAGCCCGCCTCGAAGCGGCGGAGCTTGAGGTCGTCGCCGAGCTCGAAGCCCTCGAAGGGCAGCTTGTGCTCCTGCGCGTCCATGGCCACGAAGGCGACGGCGCTCTTGTCCTCGGCGGAGGCGCCCTTGCGGCCCTTGCCCCCCTGGCTGTGGTGGCCCGCGACGGCGTGGAGCGCCTTCTCGACGTGGCCCTCGAGCGACCCGCCCTGCAGGATCAAGAGGCACCGCGGCTTGCCCCAGCACTTCTCGCGGAGGAGCTCCGTGTTCTTCGCCATGTAGGGCCGGCGCATGCTCAGCAGGCGGAGCTCGCGCACGAGGTCGTACTCGCTCTTGAAGTACTGGGGCTCGATCTGCGTCACCTGGACGCCGTTGCTGATGAAGAGCACGGGCGTCGCCTTGTCCTCCTTGCGGAGCTTCCAGCGCTGCATCATGTTGTAGGCCTTGCCGGGGAGCTTGGTCTTGCAGTCGACGGCGCCGAAGCTCATCTCGCCGCCGAGGCGGTGCGCGACGGCCTCGATGGCCTCGGGCAGCGGCTGCGAGTCGTCGGACGACGAGCACGCGACGGCCCAGACCTCGCCGCTGAAGAAGACCTTGCGGAGCATGGCCTCGTCGCTGACGTCGAGGTACGTCAGCGGGCCCGACCCGCCGGACGTCGCGAAGACGAGGGCCGCGAAGACCGCGACGCACGCCGCGCCGACCTTGGCGCCCGTCGACATGCCGCCGCCCTTCTTGCTCGAGCTACCGCCCGAGCTCGACGCGCCCCAGTCGTCGAGCGCCGCGGCCGCGGCGTCCTTGGGCGCCTTCGCCTTCTTCTCCTTCTTCGTCGGCATGGCTGCGGTGGCTGAGGCGACGCTCGCGGCGAGGCACCCAATCTGCGAGTCCTGCTCCAACGCGTCGACTTCAAGTGCACGGATGTTGTCCTGCGTGACGTCCGCGGCCGCGTCGGGACCGAGGCACCAAGCCAGGCAACGGGCGCCCTTGCTAGGTAAACATACACGTGTTCAACCTAGTCTTCAAGGACTTGAAGAGTGCCTCAAAAGCAACCAGCAGGTGGTCGCCAATAGCAACTTCTCCGCCCCGCCGCGGTCTCCAGGCTCCCCTTCGCCGCAAGTTACGGGTCCAGCGCGGGCATGCGCCCCTTGGCGCGCGCGGGGGCCGGCGGCGCGCCGCCGCCGAGGTCCTCGCCGAGGAGCGCGCAGAGCCGCTGCGTCGCGACGCCGTGGTGCGCCGCGAGCGCGCGGAGCTCGGCGCGGAGGTCGTCCGCGCGGGCGCCGTCGCGCGCCGCGCGCCGGTCCCGCGTCGCGACGATCATCGTGTTCTTCGCCGTGTGCTCGAGGGAGATCCACTCGATGATGCGCGCGTCGTCGAAGCCGTGGAGCCGGAGCGCGAGGCAGCGGAGCGCGTCCGTGACCGCCTCCGCGTGGCGGTCCGCGAGCGCGCCGTGCCCCGCCTGCGTGGAATTCGAATCTTCAACCCGACTTCAATGTGCGCATATGCGACAGTTTCGACGCAAGCTCTTCGGCCGTGCTTCGAGAACTCGACGAGAGCAATCGATCCGTCCAAAAATCAGCCGAATCGACTTCGATGTGACCGAGCTCGAGAATTTCAAAGTTTGGTCAGGACCACCCAAACCAGTGGTTGAATTCCACACAGCGCCCCGCGACGGCCGCGAGCGCGAGGTCCCCGGGGCCGCCGCCGCCCGCCCGGATTTTCGCGACGCGCGCGTCGAGCTGGGGCCGGAGCTCCTTGTGGCAGCACGGCGCCGCGAGGACGACGGCCGCGCCGCCGACGACGGCCGCGTGGAGCGCGTCGTCCGTCGCCGTGTCGCACGCGTGGAGCGCGAGGAGGACGTCGAAGGCGCCGCGGGGCCCGATCCAGCCCTCGCGAAACGTCAGGGAGTCGCCGTGGCCGAGGGACGCCGCCGCGCGGTTCGACGCGTCGACGAGCGACCGTCGCGCCTCGACGCCCTCGACTCTCGCGCTCCCGAACCTCCCCGCGAGGAGCTCGCGCGCGGCGAAGGTGAGGTAGCCCTTGCCGCAGCCCATGTCGACGACGCGCGGCGCGGCGCCGACGTCGGCCCGCCGCACGGCGTGGTCCAGGAGCTCCGCGAAGCGGAAGATCTGCCGGAGCTTCCGCTCGCGGCCGGGCCGCGCGCCGCCGGCCGCGTTCGTCACGTTCAGCGCCGCGAGGAAGGGCGCCGCCGGCGAGATGGCGCGGCGCTTCGCGCGGTCGTGGGGCGCCGCCGCCGCCGGCCGCGCCGCCGCCGCCGCGCGCGTCGCGTCGAGGCCCGCGCGCCCGAGGCGGAGCGTCGTCGTCGCGTCCGCCGCGAGGATCGTCGCGCGGGCCTCGTCGCAGGCGCCGGCGAGCGCCAGGGCGACGGCGCGGCGGGCGGAGGCGCCCTTGGGCGCGAGGCCGTCGGCCGCGGCGCCGCCGGCCGCGGCGCCGCGCGCGCCGCGCGCGGCCGCGGCGCCGAAATTCCGCGCGACGTCGCACGCGCCCCGCCGCTTGTAGTTGAGCTGGAGCACGCGCTTCTTCTTGATGTCCACGGCGCGGCCCGACAGGGACGCGATCTGCGCGTCGCCCGCGCCGCGCTTCACGGAGAGCTCGATCTGGTCTTTCCGCTCGAGGGCCTCGGCGACGAGCGTGGCGAACTCGGCGGCGTCGCCGGCGGGGAGCGCGCGCGGCGCACACGCCTCGGGAGCGCGACGCAGCGCTCCCGGTCGAGCCGCGGGCGCGAAGGCACGGCCGCAAGCGAGTATGACTAGACAGAAACGCGCCATTCTTGGCGGGACCATGGATCGTCGAAGGTGCAACGAAGCTTTGCTTGCCGTCGCCGATCAGCCACAAGCCGAGCCGTCTCCGACGCCGCCGGCCACCTGTCGAGATTCTCATCGGCCGCGCGTCGTCGTCGTCGTCGTCGTCCTCGTCGCCGAGGTCCACCTCCGCGTCCTCCTCCTCCTCCTCGTCCTCCGCACGCACAACCATGGCCCAGCAGCCGAACGCGAACATGCCGAACCAGCAGCAGCTCGCGACGATGGAGCCCGGCGAGGCCGCGGCGACGGCCGTGGGCGTGCTCGCCAAGGCGACGCTGGCGACGGCGAAGAACCACCCGAAGATCACGGGGTCCTGGGCCCTGGGCCTCGTCCTCGTCATCTTCGCGACGGGCTTCAAGGTGTCGGCGGACGTCGCGCGATCCTACGAGGCGGACATGCAGGCCGTGGACCTGTCCGAGCCCATCGCGCGCGCCGCGAGCAAGCTCCGGGGCGCGCAGCAGCGCCAGTACGAGGCGAGCGGCTTCTTCTCCTGCGACGCGCGCTGCCAGCACTACAAGCAGGCCGCGGCCGCCGCGCAGGCCGAGCTCGACGGCCTGCAGCGCACCGAGGCCGCGGGCCTCTCGGACGCGAAGCGCGGCGTCGGCGTGCTGAGCGAGTACGCCGTCGCGGAGACGCGCGACACGTTCTGGACGTCCTTCGCCGGCGGCAAGTCCTTCGCCAAGCGCCAGTCCATGTGGGACCTGCTCTTCACGGGGCTCCGCTACTCGTCGCGCGACGAGTCGACGGCGTCCGTCGTCCTCCGCTGGCTCGTCCAGCTCCTCTTCAACTTCACCCTGGGCCTCTGCGGCGCCCTCGCCGTCTTCCTCTACAAGCTCTGGGGCCTCACCATGTCCTACCAGCCCGACCCGCTCTCCGCCGTCGCCTTCGCCGCGGCCGCCGCGCTCGCGGCGACGTCCATGGTCGCGACGTACCTCTTCGCCATGTACTTCTGCGCCGCGTCGGGCGTCGCCGCCGTCGGCGCCGCCGCCGCGGCCCAGGCGCGCATCGAGGGCCAGCGCCGCCAGGACCCGCGGTACCGCATGCAGCAGGACGCGGCGCGCGCGGCCTACGCGGACCAGCGGCGCGGCGGCGGCGGCCAGCCGCGCTACCGCGCGCACTACTACTAGGGGCGTGGGCGCCGCTCTTAAGCCGCGCGGGACCGCGCGCCGGTGCGCCTAGCGCAGGGGCGTCGCGAGGCAGCAGGCCGTCGCCTCGTAGCGCGGCGGCGGGCCCGGGACGCGCTCGCCGGCGACGTTGACCGCGCGCGCCTCGACGAGGGGGATCGTCGCGAGGCCCGGCGCGCCGGGCGCGTCGTGCCCCGCGCCGACGGCGACGGCGCGGACGACGTCCCGGGGCACGTGGTCCGGCGCCGCGAGGCTGAGCGTGAGGTCGCCGCGGGGCTCGATCATGACCGTGTGCAGCGCGCCGTCCGCGAAGCGGCTCAGGGGCAGGGGCTGCGTCTCGCCCAGGGGCGAGTCCGGCAGGAGCTCGTTGGGCGCGAACAGCTCGAACTGGACGCAGAGGTCCGCGCCGCGGAGCGCCGCCGCGGGGATCTCGAGCTCGAGCGTCGACCCGCGCGCCGCGGGCGACCAGCGCCAGCTCGGACCGCCGCCGCCGCTCCGGCGCGCCGGGTCCGACGTCGCCGCGCAGAGCCGGTCGACGCGCGGCGCGCCGTCGCCGACGCGGCCGCGGCGCCGCGCGAGGAGGCGCGCGACGACGTAGACGTCCATGGACGCGAGGACGCCGATGTCGTAGAGGCCCCGGGCCAGGTCGAGGTGCACGACGACCTTGCGCGCCGCGCGGCCGTCGGGCGACAGCGCGACGGCCGGCGGCCGCGCGGCCGCCGCGCGCGGCGGCGGCGGCGGCGCGGGGCGGAACGCCGCGGGCGAGAAGGGGTCGTTCTCGGCCTCGTGGGCCGCGACGCAGGCGCCGAAATCCCAGTCGCGCGCCTCGAGGCGCGCGACGCAGTCCTCGAGGGGCAGCCGCGTCGCCGCGCGCAGCCGCCGCGCGACGACGTCGCGCGTCTGCGCCTGCACCGGCGCGGGCCGCCCGGCCGGCGACGGCGGGATGGCCAGCACCGCGACGCCCTGCACGTTGTCGCCGTCGAGCTTGTTGAGCGTCCGCAGCGCCCGCGCGGAGACGGCGTACTTGAGGCAGAGGCCCGCGAGCGTGTCCCCGGGAACGACGACGTGCTCCCGGGCCTCGCCGGCGAAGTCCTGGGCCGCGCCGGCGTCGAAGGCGCCGCTCGAGTCCAGCGAGCTCGACGACTGATGCTGCTCCTCCGTCATCATCGCGCCGCGCGGGGGCGTGCGGCACGGGCCGAGTAGAGTGCGTCGCGTCTGTCGCGTCGTCGCGCCGGCCGGCCGAAGTGGCCGAAGCGGTTTGGCCAAAGTTTGCCCCACAAGTCGTCGGTGTCGACGCTGCCCCGACGTGATGATGCGATGCGCCCTCGCGGCCCTCCTCGTGCCGTGCATCGCCGTCGAAGACGGCGAGAAGCCGACCCTGTTCTGGATGCGCGCATGCCGGCGCCCGCGACCCACTTTTCCGTCCGATCGGCTCCGGTAGGCACGTCCCCAAAACGGGGTCCTTCTTCGCCCAAACGATACGGCGCGTCGCCTGCCCGTCCTACTACCAGGCCCTGCGCAACGGCAGCGCGCCGCCGGGCCCGGAGCCGGAGCTCCGCGACTGGCCGAAAACCTGCGACATGAATCTCGGCGCCGGCTCGAGCACGCACACGCCCTACGACCCGCGGCGCCGCGAAAAGGGCACGGCCGTGACGCTGCTGCGGTCGCCGACGTCGCGGCTCGTGAGCGCCTGGTACTTCGACCCGCGGGCGGCCGGGGTCGACGCATCGCGCGCGCGCCGCGCGCGGTCGTTCCTAGAGCGCGCGGTCGCGTCGCGCGCGCTCGCTCGCGCCGCTCGCCCGCGCGACGCGCGAGCCGCCGCGCGGGGCGATCGCGCGCGCTCCCCAGGCGCAGCCCGATGGCGCCGGGCGGCCACCCGATGCACCGCGCGAACGCGACGGCGCGCGCGGCGTTCAAGGCGAGCCTGCCGACGATCCGCGACTACGCCGAGTCGCCGGGCATCCCGTCCTGCGCGTGCAAGATGGTGCTCGGGCGGCCCTGCGGCGGCGCCGCGCGGCTCACGGCCGCGGACGCCGCGGAGGCCGTGCGCCGCGTCACCGAGGACTTCCTCTTCGTCGGCTCCCAGGACCACTTCCGCGCGTCCGTCGCGCTCGCGCACGCGATGCTCGCGCCGGGCCTGCCGCCGGACTACGCGAAGCAGGTCGAGACGACGTCCGCGCGCCACGGCTACACGCGGGCCGACCGGGACGCCGCCGTCGCGAACCTCACGGGCTACGTCGACGCCTGCGACGAGGCGCTCTACGCCGCGGGCCTCGCGCTCTTCGAGGCACGCTGCGCCAAATACGGCGTCCCCGTGGACGGCAACGCGCACGAGTCCTGGAAGGGCGAGCGGCCGCCGGAGGCGCGCGAGACCGACGCCGCGCGCCTCGAGCGCCGCTCCGCGAAGCGCGCGCGCGCCGAGGCCCGGGAGCGGCTCAAGCGGGACGCGGCCGGCGCGCGCGGCGGCAGCAGCGTGTGGACGCGGACCGCGCCCGGCTTCGAGCGGCGGGACCACTGCGCGCGCGGCGCGGCCTGGATCCGCGAGGAGTGCAAGAGGGACGCCGCGGCCTAGGTCGCCCGTACTTAGGAGTAGGAGCGCAGGGGCGGCGGGTGGCCGTGCTGCTCGTAGGGCCGCGGCGCGTGGCCGCGCGGCGGGCCCGGCGGCGGCGGGAGACCTGCGCGCGGCGGCGTCCGCGGGGGGGGCGCGCGCGGGTCGCGGCGCGGCGCGACGCGCGGTGGTGCGGCGGGGGCTGCGGCGGCGGGTAGCGGTCGTCGTAGCCGCGGCGGTCGTCGTAGGCGCGGTCGTCGTAGCGCGGCGGCGGCGCGCGGCCGGCCGGCGGCGGGCCGCGGCGGTCGTCCGCGCGGGGCGGCCGGCGGTCGTAGGGCGCCGGCGGGCGGTCGTCGCGGTAGGCGCCGGGCGGCGGGCCGAAGTCGCCCGCGCGCGGCGCGTACGCGTCGTAGTCGCGCGGCGGCGGCGCGAAGAAGCGGTCGCCGTCGGCCGGCGGGCCGCGGCCGCGCGGCGACCGCGCGGCCGCGGCGTAGGGCGCGCGCGCGCGCGGCGGCGACGCCGGCGGCGGGCGGCGCTGCGTCGTCGGCGGCGGCGGCCGTTGGAACGTCGGCGGCGGCGGCCGCTGGAACGTCGGCGGCGGCGGCCGTTGGAACGTCGGCGGCGGCGGTCGTTGCCCTGTCTGCGGCGGCGGTCGTTGCGCGGTCTGCGGCGGCGGTCGTTGCGCGGTCTGCGGCGGTCTCTGCGGTCTCGGCTGGCTCTGTCGCTGGTAGTCGTCCGTCGCACGCGAGCTAAAATAGGAATACTGACGCGCGCGAAACGGGCACTCCGTGCAATCTCGCGCGCGCGCGGGAAAGGCGAGACGCTCCAGTGTGATGCAAAGAAGCCATTGAATTGTGCGGGTTTCCTCGTTCTGACGCGCGTGATTCACCTTTGGCGGTCCTTGGACGGTCGGCCGCGGCCCTCGGGCGACTTTGACTTGCGGCGGCGCCTCCGCGGCGCGGCGGAGCCGCTCCGCGACCGGCTCCGCGGGGACCGGCGCCGCCCGGCGCGGGGCGAGCCCGACGCCGACGACCGCGTCCGGGACCGCGAGGACCGGGACCGCGACCGCCGGCGCCGCGGCGACGGCCCGCCGTCGGAGCCGGCCTCTGAAGGCTTGGGCTTTGTGAGAGCGTCGCGTAGCTTGGCCGCAATTTTCGCCTGAAACACAGACCATGAGCGCTAAGTTCCGAAATCTAACGGTAAGAGACTGGCAAGCGTCCGGAAAAAGGCTAGGAGTCCCAGAGAAGCGTCCAATCCGTCCTTTGAAGCGGTAGCGCTAGCGTCTCCCAGGAGTCCAGTGTGAAAGCCAGCCATGTGCGTCTCCCTCTCCAGTGCCAGTCTCCAGCCACCCCCTCTCTCACACCCGCAGCCAAGGGGACCTAACCGCGAGGAAGCCGAAAAGGCCCGAAAAATAGTCTACTCCGAAAATGAACCTCTTTCGCCTGCAGGGAGAGCTTGAGGTCCCGCTGCTTCATCGCGGCCGCGGCCTGCTCCCGGAGCTGGACCTGCGCCTCGTCCTCTTCGTCCTCTGCCTCGAAACAGTAGCCCGCGTCGTCCTCCGCGGCGCCGGCAAACGGGTCGTACATTTCGTCGGCGGCGGCCGGCGACGGCGCGCCGGGGGGCGGCGGCGGCGGCGGCGCGCCCGGGGCGGCCGCCTCCTCCTCGGGGTCGTACTCCGAGTCCGAGTCGTCCGAGCCCATCGTAAAAGTAACGTGCCAAAAAGAAGGGAAAAAACGCAAAAGTCCGCCTCCGAGTCGAAAACTAGCTTCCGCCCGTCGAAAAAAAGCGGGGTCTGCGTGCCCGGCGAGGGCGTGCGGTCACCTACCGCGGGGCGAAAAAGCCCGGCGAATGAAGCGGCACCGGCGCGGAGGGCCGGCTGCTGAAAGCGCGAAAGCGCCGCGACCACAAGAGCGCGCAGCGTGTCCAGAGGGCAACTCAGCAGCTCGTTGGTGATGCCGTCATCCAAAGCGACCGAGTCTGGGTGGTGCGCAGCAACTGCGACGGATGGCCGGCGTCGACGCGGCCGACGCGTCGCCGCCGTCGCCGCCGTCGAACTCGTCGGACGACGAGGGCTTCGGCGTGCACCATGATCCGGTGCACCAGTCGCCGCCGCGGGCGTCGCCGCCGCCGCGACCCAAAAACACGCCGCCGCCGCCGCTGCCGGGCCTGCGCGGCGCGTCGCCGCCGTCGCCGCCGTCGACGCCGCCGCCGCCCCCGACGACGCCGTCGTCGCCGCTGCGCCGGTCCGCGTCCGCGCCGGGCGTCATGATGGAGAGCGTGCGCCGGGAGCTCGCCGCGGAGCACGAGAGGCGCGTGCGCGCCGAGGAGGAGTCGCGGCTCATCCGCTACCTGTCGCCCTTCGAGAGGTTCCTGCTCTTCTGCTACGCGCGCGTCGCGCGCCTCGCGCACATCCCGCGGCCCCGGTTCCTCGTCTGCGGCGGCCCGCTCTTCTGGTGCCTCGTCGTGCCCGGCCTCTGGTTCCGCTGGGCCTACGGCGTGTCGCCGCTCGCGCTCGTCGCGCCCGGCGAGGACCCCCACGCGGACCCCTGGTTCGCCGACGCGCGGCGGCCCGCGACGGACGTGCTGCGGCGGCGGGGGCCGCCGACGCGCAAGCTGCCCGTGCTCATGCTGCCGGGCATGACGCGCGCGGCCCGCGTCCGCCCGCCCCGGCCGCGGGGCGCCGCGCGCCGGGCGACCGCCGCCCGTCCCGCGCGCGCGGCGCGCGGCCGCGACGGGCGCGCCCGCCGCGCAGGTCCACGGCGCTCGAGGTCTGGCAGGGCGTGGGCTGCTTCGCGGGCAGCCACCGGCGGCGGCTCTGGAGCTCGCCGAGCATGCTGTCCCAGTTCGTGCTGCGGCCCGCGTGCCTCCAGCGGCACCTCGCGCTCAACGGGACGACGTGGGACGACCCGGCGGACATCAAGGTCCGCGCGAGCAGCGGCCTCGGCGCGGCGGACGCGTTCGGCCCGCTGAACCTCTGGGGCGAGCTCATGGCGAACCTGGCGATCCTGGGCTACGACGAGACGTCGCTGCGGCTCCTGGGCTTCGACTGGCGGCTCTCGGCGCAGCGCCTCGAGGCGCGCGACGGCTTCTTCACGCAGGTCAAGGCCGAGGTCGAGCTGCTGGGCGCGCTGAGCGGCGCCAAGGTCGCCGTCCTCGCCCACTCCCTCGGCGCGAACCACTTCGTCCACTTCATGCGCTGGGTCGAGGCGCGCGAGCCCGGCTGGGTCGAGCGCCGCGTCGCGCGCTTCGTGCCCATCTGCGGCGCGCTCCTCGGGTCGGCCAAGGCGCTGGCGTACCTGGTCACGGGCGAGATGACCGACGCCGTCGGCATGGGCCCGCTCCTCGCCCAGCTCTTCGAGAGCCACGGCGGCATCCAGCGCCGCGCCGTCGCGGACCTCACGCGGTCCTGGGCGTCCGTGCCGGCGCTCCTGCCCAAGGGCGGCGACGCCTTCTGGCGCACGGACGACTTCGTCGTCCTCGACGAGCCGCCGGCCGACGTCCGCGCGGCCCTCGAGCGCGACGCGGCCGCGAACGGCACCGTCGCGGCCGCGCTCCTCGCCGCGCTCGCGAAGAACCGGACCATGGCCGTCGACGCGGCCCTCGACTGGCTCCGCGCCATGCTCCCGGCCTACGGCGCGCTCCTCGACGGCGAGTACGACCTCACGGGGCCGCCGGCCGCCGGCCGGCGCCGCCGGCGGCCGCCGCTCCCGGCGCGCGCGTGGGGCAACGGCCTCCTCGCGCCGCTGCCCAAGGCGCCGAGCCTCGAGATCTACTGCCTCTACGGCACGGGCCGCAGCACGCCCAAGACCTTCGAGTTCGCCTGGACGCGGCCGCCGCGCGCGGCGCCGGCCTTCGACGACGCGCGAGCGCCGCGCCCCCCGCTCCCTCCTTGCTTCCGCCCCCCGCGCGACGCGGAGTCCGCGCCAGGTCCCCGAGCGCTACCTCGTGATCTCCGACGCGGGCGCGCCGGGCAGCGGCGTCATCGCCGGCGACGGCGACGGCACGGTGCCGATCCTGTCCCTGGGCTACCTCTGCGCGTCCGGCTACGGCACGAAGGCGCGGAACCCGGCGCGCGTCCGCGTGCGCACGAAGGAGTACGCGCACGAGCACACGACGACCTACGACGCCCTCCGGAGCCCGCTCGACACGATCTCGGGCCTGGCCAACGACAAGGACTCGGACCACATCACGAGCGCGGCGCCGCGTCCTCCCTTCGCGATCGCGTTTCTTTCTCGTCTTCCTTTCGCGATTGCATTTCTCGCGCGCGGCGCCCGTAGTCCTCGGCAACCGCGAGATGACCTACGACGTCATCGACGTCGTCGCGTACGGGGGGGCGCACTTCGAGGAGCGCGTCGAGTCCGACATCTGCGACCTCGCCGCGGAGCTCCGCGCCGAGCTCCCGGAGGAGCGCGTCCTCGACGACGGCGCGCTCACGGCGTGCCGGGACAGAGGGCACGCGCCGAGGCCGTCGTCTACGTTCCAGCGCGTCATCGACGGCCGGAAGCGGCGCATGGACCTCGGGCCGACGCCGCCGGGCCAGCCGCCAGAACTTTAGATGGCATACTTCCGCTTGCGGAGCACGTGGAGCGTGCCGCGGACGGGGTAGCCGCTCTCCGTCCGCGGCTGGAACCGCGTCTGCTCGACGACGCCGAGGCCCGCGGCCGCGGCGACGCGCGCGACGTAGGCGTCGTCGTGGGCGTACCGCTCCTGGCACTGGAGCACCCAGGCGTAGTCGCCCTCGGGCAGCGTCTCCACGGAGAAGACGAGGTCGCCGCCCGGCGCGAGGCGCGCCGCGAGGCCCGCGACGACGGGTTCGAGGTCCCCAAAGTAGCAGAGCACGTCGGCGGCCACGACGAGGTCGAAGGCGCCCTCCGGGAGGCCGTCGACGGACGAGAGGTCCAATAAATTCCCGACGGACACACCGTCGTAGAGCCGGGGCCAGCCCATGGCCCGCCGCGCCGCGGCCTCGCTCCGCGACGGCGGGTTCTCCGGCCCGTCCTCGTAGCAGAGCTCCTCGGCCAACCGGGCCATGTCCGGGCTCAGGTCGACGCCGTAGAGCGCGGCGACGTGCGGCCGCAGGCCGTGCGCGGCGAGGCCCGTGCCGCAGCCCGCGTCGAGGCAGGCGCCGTAGGGCTCGGCCCGCGACGCGGCGAGCGCGGCGACGGCGTCGCCGACGAACTTGGGCGCGCAGTAGTCGAGCGACTCCAGCACCTCCTCGAAGTTCTCCGCGAAGCTGTCGAAGAGCGTCGCGACGTAGTCCGACGTGATCTTCGTCTCCGGGTTCGCCGCCTGGTTCTGCGACGCCGCGCGCCGCGGCGCGCATCGATGGTGTTTGTTGCGCCGCGGCGCCGCGCATCGATGGTGTCTAAGCTGCGGCGGCGGCGCGAAGGCGCCGGCGCCGGCGCAGAGCAGCAGGATTTTGAGCATTGGTGTTTTTAGTGCTTCGAGGCTGTCTTTGCGATTGCTCAAGCTCGCTCGTTCGTCATGTTTGCACGCTCCATGTCACAGGCTTCACCATCACTGCACCAGACGTTCAAGAAGTGTCGCTGCGCAAAAAACAAGGCGACGGGGCATCGGCGAGGCAGCGTCGAGTGCCGCCGGCGCGTGTCACCTATCGTCGCCGCCGACCCGGCGCAGCGCCGCTCGTCTCCATGGCGTCGCTGCTCGCGCGGCGCGGGTCCTACGCGGTCATCGCCGGCAGCGGCCTGCTCTGCGGCCACCGGCTCGCCTTCGCGGAGCCGGAGCCCGAGCCCGCCGCGGGCGAGGCGCCGACGCCGCCGGGCATCTACAGCAAGGGGGCCTTCGACCCGGCGCCCGTCGAGGCCGTCGCCGAGCTGCTGCGGTCGGCCAAGGGCAAGAGCGACCTCCAGTACAAAAAGGCGGAGGAGCAGAAGAAGCAGGCCGCGGAGCGGACGACGCAGAAGGAGTACCGCGCGGCGCTCGCGCAGGCGACGCGGGAGGCGCGCCAGGCGCAGCGCGTCGAGGCGGAGCAGACGCGGGGCGTGCAGCGCCAGCACATGGACCACCGCGCGCAGTACAAGGCGTCGCTCGCGCAGGAGACGCAGGCGCTCGCGGGCAGGCTCGACGAGGCGCTCAAGGACGGCGAGGAGGAGCGGCGCGCGGCGCACGAGGCGGCCCTCGAGAAGATCCGCAAGGAGACGGCGGAGCTCGAGCAGGAGCTGCGCCGCGAGTCCGACGCCGCGTACCTCGCGGCGCGGTCCAAGGCGGACGCTAGGTCCGAGCGCGACCTGCAGGACCTGCGGCTGGAGGGCATCAAGGAGCGGGCCAAGGTCGCCCGGGACACGACGCTGGAGGCCGTCAAGGCGACGTTCTCGTCGCTGGGCGCCGGCGCGACGGCGCTCCTCGGCGACGAGAAGCGGCTCGCGGCGCTCGCGGCCGTCGGCACCGCGGCGGCCGGCGGCGTCTTCGCCGCGCGCAAGTTCACCAAGGTCATGGGCACCTACGTCGCGGCGCGGCTGCAGAAGCCGGCCCTCGTGCGCGAGACGTCGCGGGGCTTCGCCGTCGCGTCGTCGGCCTTTGGGGGCGGCCGCGCGGGCAATTTGGCGTCGCGGCTCTCGGGCCTCGGCCGGCCCGCGCTCGAGAAGGGCGCGCTCATGGCCGGCGCGCACTTCGAGGCCAAGCTGGAGGCGCGGCTCCTGCAGATCGCCGAGTCGGCGGCGATGACGCGGAAGCGCGGCGCCGTCTTCCGCCACTGCCTCTTCTACGGGCCGCCCGGCACGGGAAAGACGCTCTTCGCGAAGAAGCTCGCGGCGAACGCGGGCATGGACTACGCCGTGGCCTCCGGCGGCGACGTGGCGCCCCTGGGCCGCGACGCCGTCACGGAGATGCACAAGCTCTTCGACTGGGCGAAGACGTCGCCGCGGGGGCTCCTGCTGCTCATCGACGAGGCGGACGCGTTCGTCCGGAAGCGGTCCAAGTTCATGTCCGAGGACGCGCGCAACGCGCTCAACGCCTTCCTCTACCGCACGGGGTCGCCGAACGCCGACGTCATGGTCGTCTTCGCGACGAACGCGCCCGAGCTCTTCGACCGCGCGATCCACGACCGCGTCGACGAGACGGTCTTCTTCGACCTGCCGGGCGAGGCGGAGCGCCTCAAGATCCTCAAGGAGGCCGTCGAGGCCATGGTCGCCGAGAAGCCGCCGGCGTCGTGGTGGCGACCGCCGCCGGCGACGGTCAAGCTGGACGAGGCCATCGACGACGCGGCGATCCGCGACGCGGCGGCGCGGACGGAGGGCCTGTCCGCGCGCGAGGTCGCGAAGCTCGCGCTCGCCTGGCAGGCGAACGCGCTCGCGAGCGAGGGCGCGCGGCTGACGCGGGACCTCTTCGAGGAGACCATCGAGTCCCAGAAAGCCCAGACCATGCTCAAGCGCGAGTGGAAGGCGCTCGAGCGGGGGAAGAAGCGCCCGAAGGCCCACTAGTTTGCTTCGCTAAACCGACGATCGCCCGTGGTGTCCTAGTGGTGAAGTTCATATCGTAGTGCACATTGGGTGCGCAAAGTATTTTTGACTTTGGAGCATTTCAAACATATTAGTCACTTTGGAAGTATCCCATACCCTAGTTCGCCACCTCGTCGAAGGTGAAGTGCATCGGCCCCCGCCGCCGCTTCGCGCGGCCGCCGGCCGCGGGCGCCGCGGCCGGCTCGTTGGCCTCCGCGGAGGCGTGGAGCGCCTGGCGGCCCGTCGACGGCGGCGGCATGACCGGCGGCGACAGGAGGATGTCCTGCATGAGGTCCGCGTGGGGGAGGTCGTCGCCGAGGTCCGCGTCGACGGTGTCGCCGTGGGACCGCATGAGGCTCTGCTTCGCGGCGGCGACGACGAGGGAGCACGTCAGGGGCGTGTGGAGCGGCCGGTCCGCCGCGGGCTTCGGGTTGAGGTAGTAGGAGGCCTTCATCATCGGCGGCGGCACGTTCATCTCGCGCCGCGCGGCGACGCTGAGCTTGCGCTTCCGGGGCCGCGCGCCGCCGGGCGCCGCGGCCGGCGGCCGCGCGCCCGACGGGTCGAGGAGCATGTCGAGGAGCGCGTCCTCGTTGACGGCGCCGACGGCGAGCACGGAATCTGGTAGCGGGTCCTCCATGGCCGCGGCGACGGCTTCGTCGGCGGCGTCGGCGGCGGCGCTTGCCGGGGCTGCCTCGTCCTTCTCTGCCTCGTCCTTCGTGCTCGCCTTGGCCCTGGGCGCTTTGGCCCTGGGCTTGGCGTCCTTCGCCTTGGCCTCGTCGGCGGCGTCGGCGGCCTCGTCGGCGGCGTCGGCGGCGGCGCTTGCCGGGGCTGCCTCGTCCTTCGTGCTCGCCTTGGCCCTGGGCGCCTTGGCCCTGGGCTTGGCGTCCTTCGCCTTGGCCTCGGCCTTGGGCCTGGCGTCCTTTGCTTTGGCCTCCGTCGGTTTGGATGACCCAGCCATGCTTCTGAAACTCCGCCAGTGAAACACCAACCGCCTCAACATCGCCTCACGAAACTGTTCAACTTGATCTTCAAGCGGTGGTTTTTCAGAGGCTCCCACCTTCCATACGTTTCCATCGGTGCGATGGGGTGGCGGGCCTGGCTGTGCGTCGTCTCCGCCGCGCGGGCGGCGTCCGACGATCTCGTCGTGGACCTCGTGCGGACCTGCGCGGCCACCGGCGGCGGGGACGGCGCCTTCGGCCCCGTCTGCGCCCGGGCGCGCGCCGAGGCCGGGCTGCCCGCGGACGCGCCCGACGCGGCGCACGCGCCCGACGCGGCGCCCGCGCCCGACGCGGCGCCCGCGCCCGACGCGGCGCCCGCGCCCGACGCGGCGCCCGCGCGGCCCGCGGCGCGCGCGCCGCGGCGCCTCGACGACGTGGCGTCGTCGGCCTACGCCGCGACCTTCGACGCGCTCGCGGACGCCTGCGAGGCCGGCGTCGCGACCGTCGCGGCGACGGCCGCGTTCTACGCGTTCGCGCGCGAAGTCGTCGTCGCCGACGCCGTGACGCTCTACTCGGGCGTCGGGAGCGTCTTCGACGGCAACGGGACGACGCGCCTCTTCTTCCTCGACGGCGCGAACGCGAGCCTGACGCTCAGCGGCGTCACGCTGGCCGGCGGCTTCTCGGCGACGTACGGCGGCGCCGTCTTCAACGACGGCGGCGCGCTCGTCCTCTCGAGCGTCGACTTCTACGGCAACGAGGCGACGGACGGCGGCGCCGTCGCGAGCCTCTACGGGTCCGTGACGGTCAACGGCGGCGTCTTCGAGGGCAACGCCGCGAACGGCACCGGCGGCGGCGTCGCCGTCTACTTCGGCGAGCTCGCGGTCTACTACGCGACCTTCCGCAACTGCTCGTCGGGCGGCGACGGCGGCGCTTTATTCGCCCGGGAGAGCGCGACGTCCATGACCGTCGCCGTCGTCGGCGCGACGTTCGCCGACAACTTCGCGGCCGGCGGCGGCGCGGCGGTCGCGGTCGACTCCTACAACACGCTCTACGTCGCGTCGTCGACCTTCGAGCGCAACATCGGCCACGGCGCCGCGGGCTGCCTCCAGGCGTCGAACCTCTGGGCCGGCGCGCTCACCGTGGCGGGGTCGACGTTCCGCCGCAACGCGAACTTCGCGGACTCGCGCGGCACGGACAGCCCCGCGGTCTTCGGTCTGCAGGGCGGCGTCTACAGCGTGCTCTCGAACAACGTCTTCGAGCACAACTACGGCACGGCGAACGTCTGGGGCTGCACGCTCGTCGGGTTCTGCAACTTCGACGGCGACGTCTTCCGCAACAACACGGGCGCGGTCCGGGGCACGCTGACCATGGTCTACGTGTACTACTCGGCGACGGTGACCGGCGCCACGTTCGAGGACAACGCCGCGGCCTTCGGCGGGGCCATCTCCATCGCGGACTACATGGGCGCCGCCTACTCCGTGTCCGGGTCGACGTTCGCGCGCAACGTCGCCGCGGAGGACCCGGACGCGGAGAACCTGAGGCCCGGGACCGTCGTCGACGGCGGCTCGACGACGGGCGCCTACTACTCCGGCGGCGGCGCCATCTTCTTCGGGGGCGAGAAGATCGGGTCGCTCTCCGTGGCGTCGTGCGTCTTCGCGGGGAACCGCGCGGCGGGCCAGCCGGGCGGCGCGATCCGGTCCTACGGCGCCGTCGCATTGGCGGACTCCACGTTCGCTTCGAACCGCGCGGCGGACGGCGGCGCGCTCCACGTCTCCGCGATCCACTACCGGTTCTTCTCGTCGGACCTTGGCGGCTTCTACGACTGGGCCTACTACGGGAGCGCGGCCGTGTCGAACTGCGCCTTCACCGGCAACGGCGCCGAGGACTCGGGCGGCGCCATCTACAGCCTCGACGCGGAGACGAGCTTCGCGCGCGCGAATTTCACGGCAAACGCCGCGGGCGTCGACGGCGGCGCGCTCTACTACACCGTGGACCAGGGCCTGTCGTCGGGCGTCGTCGACCTCGACGCCTGCGTCCTCGAAAACAACTACGCGGGCATCGACGGCGGCGCGGTCTACGGCCTCGACGTCGCGGCCATCGTCGGCCGCGGCGCGACGGTCTTCCGGGGCAACGCGGCGCACCGCGGCGCGGCCGTCTGGGTCTCGTCGGCGGCCGCGACCATCGCCGACGTCGCGCTCGTCGGCAACGCGGCGGACCTGGGCGCCGGCGTCTTCGTCGACGCCCAGAGCGGCGTGTCTTTAGCAAACGTGACGTCCGCGGGCAACGTCGCGTCCGTCGGCGGGGGCCTGCTCTACTGCGGCGACTACGCGGCCTGCGCCGCAAACGACGTCGTCTCCGAGGGCGACGCGTCGTCGCAGACCGCGGGGGCGGCCTACCTCGCCGTCGGCGTCGTCGCGACGTTCCGAAATTTTGGCTGCGTCCGCGCGACCGCGCTCCGCGGCGGCTGCGTCAGCGGCAACACGGTCGCGTCGCTGACCGTGTCGGCGTCGACCTTCGAGGGCTGCGTCGCCGGCCTCGAGGGCGGCGCCATCTACCTCTCGGCGACGAGCGGGCTCGCCGCGATCTCCGACTCCGTCGTCCGCGGCGCTTCCGCGGAGGCGGCGGCCGTCTACGTGGTCATGGGGTCCATCGCGCTCGACGGCGTCGCCTTCGAGGACAACGCGGCGACGGCCGGCGGCGGCGCGCTCGCGCTGGGCTACGAGGCGACGGGGACGCTCGAGGGCTGCGCGTTCGTCGGCAACGAGAACGGCGGCTCCGGCGGCGCCGCGGCCGTCGGCCCCTACTCGTCGCTCGCCTGCGTCGCCTGCGCGTTCACCGGCAACGCCGCGGCCCTCAACGGCGGCGCGGTGCACGTCTCCGACGCGACGTCCGCGCTCTCGCTCGCGAACTCGACGCTCTCGGGCAACGCCGCGGCGTACGCGGGCGGCGGCCTCTACGTGAGCGGCGCCGCGGCGTCCCTCGGCGGCAACGTCTTCGAGGCCAACGCCGCGGCGCTCTCGGGCGGCGGCGCCGTCTACCTCGCCGGCGCGAACGCGTCCTTCGCCGTCTCCGCGTCGGACGCGTTCCGCGGCAACGCGGCGGCGCGCGGCGGCGGCGGCGTCTTCATGTTCGACGCGCAGACGACCGCGGCGCCCGTCGTCCCCGCGGGCGCGACCCTGGCCAACAACTCGGCGCTCTACGGGAACACGACGGCGTCGACGGTCTTCGCCATATCGCTCGCGCACGACGACGCCGTCGCCGAGGCGTCGAACGTGCCGCTCGCGGCGCCGCTCGTCGTCACGGCGCTCGACGCGCTGGGCCAGGTCGTCGCGACGGTCGACGCGGACTCCTGGGACGGGCTCCTCTCCGAGCGCGTCGTGCTGAGCTCGCGGTGGACGAACGCGTCGCTGACGGGCACGCTCAAGCTCGAGTTCGCCCGTGGCGTCGCGGCGGCGGACGACCTGACGGTGACCTGCGCGCCGGACGCGGCCGTGCCCATGGTCGCGTCCTGGACCAGCGCCGACGTCGACTTCGAGGCGAGTGCCGTGCTGCCGCTGCGCGCGTGCGAGCCCGGCGAGGCCGTCGTCAACGGGGGCGCGGCGTGCGCGACGTGCCCCGCGGGCTCCTACGGCTTCGACCCGGCGGAGGCCTGCGCGGGCTGCCCGGACTACGCGACCTGCGCGGGCGGGCTGAGCGTCGTCCTCGACCGGGGCTACTGGCGGAGCGCCTACGACTCCGTGAACATCCGCAAGTGCCCCTTCGAGGCGTACTGCAACGCGGCCGACGTCGAGCTCTGGAACGGGTCCGCCGTCGACCCATCGGCCCAGTGCGACCGCGACCACGCGGGGCCCCTGTGCGCGCTGTGCCGCCGCGGCTACAAGCTCGACTCGGGCGACGGCGAGTGCGTCAAGTGCTCCGGCGGCGGCGGGTCGTCCTACGAGCGCATCTACGGCATCCTCGTCGGCCTCGCGCTCTGCGCGCTCCTCGTCGCGCTCTGCAAGCGCTTCGCGGCGCCGTGCTTCGAGGCCGGCGCCGAGGTCGCGGTCCAGCTGTCCTACTACTTCGACGAGATCCGCGCGATCTTCAAGATCCTCCTCGTCTTCTACCAGATCGTGGGCAACGTGCCGCGCTGCTTCCCGCGCCTCGAGCTGCCGCGGATCTTCAGCGGCTTCACGGCGCGGCTCCAGTTCCTCGACTTCGATTTGGCCGCGTGGGCGGGCGCGACGTGCGTCGGCTCCTACGACTTTTTAGACAAACTGCTGGGCCTCACGGTCGCGCCGCTGGTCGTCGGCGTCGCGCTCTTCCTGGGCTACGCGGTCAGCGCGCTGTGGGACCCGGAGAAGCGCGGCAAGCGCAAGGAGCAGATCTCCATGGTCGCGCTCATCGTCACGTTCCTCGTGTTCACGACGTGCAGCAGCGTCGTCATCCGGGCGCTGCAGTGCGACGGCGACTTCGACGACCGGAGCGAGAAGGCGCACAGCCCCTACTACGGCAACACCTTCCTCTTCGTCGACTACTCGGTGAGCTGCGAGAGCGGCCGCTACCGCGCGTACCGCGCGTACGCGCTCCTCATGGTCTTCGTCTACCCGCTCGGCATCCCCGCGGTCTACGTGGTCCTCCTGCTCTGCGAGAAGCAGAACATCGCGCCGGCGGACGAGACGGCCTTAGCGCGGCGCGTCCTCGACGAGAGCGACGGCGTCGACGACGCGCTCGCGGCGGAGGAGCTCCGCTTCGTCGCCGCCGTCGACGCGGTGCGCGAGCACCGGCGGAACCACGAGGAAATGGTAAAGCGCAAGCTGGACAAGCACACGCAATTTGCGGCGGCGAAGGGCGGCGGCGCGTTCGAGAGCCTGAAGCACGCGCAGAAGGCCGTCGGCGGCGCGGACCACGCCGTGCACGTCCTCGCGTCGCGCCGCGCGAAGCGGCTGCTCAAGGTGAAGCTCATCCGCGCGAGGAACCTAGTCATGCGCCGCGACTGCGCGCTGGAATACCTCCGGCTGCAGACGCACGCCATCGGCGGGAACAAGGCCGGCGCGGCCCCGGGGCCGGCGAAGCGGCGCGCGTCGCGCTTCGAGTCCGGCGCGACCGCGGCGGCGGAGTTCGCGCTCGGCGCGAACCTCGTGACGCGGCACCGCGAGGTCTGCCCGGAGTGTAAGCACCTCGCCTTCCTCTTCCAGGAGTACGACCCGGCCTGCTGGTACTTCGAGGTTTTGGAGTGCGCGCGGCGCCTCGCGCTGACCTGCGTGCTCCCTCTCCCGCAGAGCCTCGTGGACCCGGAGTCGCTGTCGCGCGCGGCGTCCCGCGGCCGGGGCGATCTTCGAGAGACGTCGACGGGGAAAACGACGAAAAAGTAGCCACCGACCCTTCCGTAGGTCGCACACGGCCTTCGCGACGATGGTGGCGCTCGTCTTCGCGCTGCTCTACGCGCACCTGAAGCCCTTCGCGTCCGACGAGCTCGACACGTTCGCGAACATCATGCAGGCCGTGCTCTTCCTGAATCTGTTCGTCGTCCTCGTCATGAACAGCGACAACAGCGCGGAGCAGGCGAAGATGCGCACGGGCATCTCCCACGCCATCCTGGGCGGGCTGCTCATCGTCGCGAACACGCTCGGCGCGTCGGCCGCGGCGTGCGCGGCGCTCGCGCGGAGCGACGCGGACGAGGCCGCGAGCCACGTGTCCCTCCTGGAGCGGGGCCGGAGCTTCTTCGGCAAGGGGGGCGACGAGGCCAAGGGCGGCGACGCGGGCGACGAGGCCACGCGCGGCGACGCCGCGCCGCCGGCCCCGGTCGGGGCCGACGCGCCGCGGCCGCGGAAGCCGCCGACGGCCGTCAACGAGGCGTCGGCGCACGGCCGCGCGGCGGCCGTCGCGGCCCACGCGTCCCTCTTCCGGGACGGCGACGCGCCGGGCACGTCGGCGACGCCGGGGTTGTTCGTGGACCCGCCGCCGCCGGACCTCGACGACGTCGTCATCGCGCCGCGGCCGAGCTTCAGCGAGGCCCAGGTCGACCTCCACTACGACGACTCGAGCGCGCCGCCCCTGAGCGGCGACGAGATCGTCCAGCTCGTCGTGCTCGGCTACACGCGCGCGGACGCGGAGACCGTCGCGCCCACCGAGGGCCGCCGCTTCATCCACGCCGCGCAGGGCTGGGACGACCACTTCGAGGAGTCCCCCTAGGAGCCCAGGATGCCTCTTTAATTAGCCATTTTACTAGGGGGCGTTTTGGAGCTCGCTGAGACACTGGGCGGCATCCCTGTGGCCCTTGGAGGCCGCGCGCGCGAACCAACGCGCGGCCTCGTCGTTGTCAACTTCCACGCCGCAGTCGGCGCGCCTATAGACGAGTCCAAGACTATGCTCGGCCTCAGTGAAGCCTTGATCTGCGGAAAGCCTATAGTAGCGCAGAGCCTCCTCGTTCTTTCCGGTCATGCGCATCGCATTGGCGAAGTTGCACTGCGCGCACGCGTCACCGCTATCGGATGCCATTTTTGAAAGCTGCAACGCCTTCCTCATGTCCATCTTGACACCTTCGCCCATGCCGTACAGAGAGCCAAGGTTCACCATTGCATCTATGTTTCCGAGCTCCACGGCACGCTTATAAAGCTTCGCGCCCTACGAAAAGCGACAGGGTTAGATCGCCTCAGATTTCCACGGACGCGGCTCACGACCTTCTTCGCCGATCTCACGAGGCCGTAGCGACCAGCGCAGTACGCATCACCCAGCGTCTTAATCGCTTCCGGCACATCATTCTCCACGTGGCGAAGGAGCTGAGCAAGTTCTTCCTTTCCATTTTTCGCAGCCGGTGCCCGGCAGAGAGGACACGGAGCACCGAAGGCGATCTTGCTATCGCACGACGTGCAGACCAGGCGGCAGCAACAGCACCGAAGAGTTTCCTCATCATTCACGTCCCACTCATCGAGGCAGATCGGGCACCGCGACCCCCACCGCGCCGACAGCGGCTGCCGCTCCGGGTTCGCCTCGCGCCGCGCGCGGGCGGCTTCGTGTTCCGCGGCGATGCGCGCGCGAATCTCGTCGGCTTGCGACCGCGGCGCGGGGCCGTAGACGACGGGCTTCGGGGGCGACGGCGGCGTCGGCGCCTCCGCCCGCGCCGCCTCCGCCGCGCGCTCGTCTCGGATCTTCTTGCACGCCTTGCGGTGGCCCCGTTCGCGCCAGTCGATCTTCTGACAGGCGACGCTGCAATACTGTGTGGTCCCACAGGGACAGTTGAGCTTGGCCTTGTCCCCGCAGATGGTGCAGGTCAGGCGGAGTTTGAGGGCCTTCGCTCTGGCCTTCTTCACCTCATACTCAAGCTGTTTCTCCTGCCAGGTCACAGCGCCGCCCGGCGCGTCCTTGGTCATCGTCGTCGGCGGGAAGCGAGCTCAGGGCGCGGTGTGGGTCGGAGGTGTGTCACGTGTGCGAGGGGGGCGACGCGGGGGCGGACGCCTGCTTGCGACTCGAGGTTGCTCGAGAGAGGACTCGCCGAAGATCTGCCATATCTGCCGAAGTCCTACAGCTGTAGGCTGAGCGGCAAATTTGCGCCGCTCACACACAGCGGCGCGGCGCGGCGCTCAAGTCGCCGTGAGACGTGTGCCGCGGCGCTCAAGTCGCCGTGAGACGTGTGCTTTGGCGCTCGAGTCGCCGTGAGACCTAGTGATTACGACGGTTATGTGGTGGTTACCACTCCTCATGCCCAAGCAAGCTTACGCCGACACGGAGTGTTTCGCCTTCTGCGGCCGCGGCCAGGGCGGCTTGAACAACTACATGGCCTACGTCAACGGCGCCTACGCCTACGCGCGCCGGAAAAACCTGAGATTCCTCGCGACGGCGATCGACCCGCCGAGCCGCGTCAACAACATCTCGACGGGCGAGTTCGCGGACCTCTTCGGCGCGCGCGAGTGGCGCTGCGACGCGCCGCGCGATGCGAACGGCGCGACGGCGGTCAGGGAGCTCGTCTGGACGCCGAGCGAGCGCTACGACGCCCCGGACGCCGCCGCGCTCGACCGGGGCCTCGGCGTCGCGCGCGCGTGGCGGACGAGCGCCGCGGTCGAGGGCTGCGACGCGGTGCTGCAGTGGGCCGTCGACGACAAGGCGGGCCGCGGCTTCGTCTCCTTCGACTACTCTTCGTCCCGCGACTTTTTCCGACGGCGGTACCGCGCCGCGCGCGCGGCCCCGCCGCGGCCGCCGCGCGACGTCGTCGACGTCGTCGTGCACTACCGCCTCGGCGACGTCGCCTCGGCGACCGAGGCGGACCTGCAGCACGTCCACGACCATCACCGCACCTCGGCCTACGAGTTCCGGAAGCGGTCGACGCCCGCGCGCCTCGCGCCGCTCGTCGCCGTCCTGGAGCGGACGGCGTCCCTGGGGCCCTGGGCCCTGGCCTGCCGCGTCGTCTCGGACTCGCCGGACCACGCGGAGGTCGCGGCGCTCGAGGCGGCGCTCGCGCGCTTCTGCGCGCCCGGCGCCGCGCCGGGGCCGTCCGCGCGCGCGCACCTGGATGCTCTGGCGGGCGCGGAGGTGACCGTGTGCCGCTCCTCCGGCTTCTGCCACTTCGCGGCCGTGCTCTCCGACGGCGCCGTCCTCGGCAGCAAGAGCCACCAGCTCCCCCCGTCCTTCGGGAACGTCGTCGGCCTGCGCCATGGCCTGGGAAACGTCACCGGCGACGGGCCCGTCCGCAGGGCCGCGGCCCAGCTCGACCGGCTCCTCCGCGAGCTCCGCGCCGCGGCCGGGTAACAGGAGTGTTGCAAAGTCCAGTTACCACGCCGCCCGTCACTGCGTCTCCTTCTGGTGATGGTGGTGGTGGTGCTTCTTCTTGCCGTCGTCGGCCGCGGCCTTGGCGTGCTTCTTCTTGCCGTCGTCGTCCGGCTTGTGGTGCTTCTTGTGGCGCGGCTTCGCCGCGGGCGCGGCGTCCGCGCCGTCTCCGGCCTTCCTCGCGGCGTCCGCGCCGCCGGCCTTCTTCGCCGCGTGCGCTCGCTCGACGTTCTGGAGGTGGGAGCTCATCTTCGCGAGCTCCGGGTCGTCCGTGACCCAGGGCGGCGTCCGCGCGAGGAGCCGGTCGCGGATGCCGTGGGGCGCGCGGCGGGTAAAAAACGCGAACGCGACGGGGTTTGCCCGGGGGAACACCTTCTCCAGGAAGCCCGCGATGACGGCCAGCGCCGCGGGCACGTGCGCCGCCGCGGCGCGCTGGGGCCCCGTGCGGCCCTGGACGACGAGGATCTCGTGGTTCGTCGTCACCTTGCCGTCGTCGACGGACCGGCGCCGCCCTTTGCCCGCGGCGGCGCCGCGGAGGACCCCGTTGAGCTCCTGCGCGTGGGACGCGGCCACGGACCCCTGCGCGTCGTGCTCGCCGATGACGAGCACGGGCTTGTCCTTGAAGAGGCGGTTGCCGCACTCCTTGGCGGGGTCGACGTCGTCGAGGCGAAAGTCCGCGCGCCGCTTGAGCCGCTCGTCGACGAAGCCCGCGATCTCCTGCACGAGCTGCTCCCGGTAGGGCGCGTCGGGCTTGAGCGCGTCCTTGAGCACCTCGAGCACGTGGTCCCGGAGCCGCGCGGGCGCGGAGTCGAGCACGAGGCCCTCGACGGACGGGTCCAACCGCGACGCGCACAACAGCGCGGCGACGGCCCCCGACGACGCGCCGCCCCAGACGACGACGCGCGAGCCCGGGTGCTCGCGCCGCGCGTGCTCCACGACGGCGGCGACGTCGTAGCGCTCCCACCAGCCGAACGACGTCACGCCGTCGTCCGAGCCGCCGGACCCGACGAAGTCGAAGGCGACGAGGGCCGCCCGCAGCTCGAGGGCGACGGCGAGCGCGCCGGACGAGATGGCGTCGGCACGGCCGCTCGAGTTCGTGCCGCTGCAGTAGACGATCGTCGGGCGGTGCGCGGCCTTTTCGACGGGCGCCCACGTCGCGACGGCGACGGCCGCGCCGCGCCGCGTCGGCACGCGCGCGTCCGTGCGGTAGTAGGGCGCGACGTCGCCCTGCGGTCCCGCGCCGCCGAAGGCGCGGTAGGCGAAGACGCGGGGCCCGAGCGCGTCGGGCTCGACGACGACGCGCGGCGGCCGCGTGAGCCGCTCGAGGACCCGCTTCGCGGCCTTCTGGGCCACGACCCAGGTCGCGCCGTCGCGCCGCGCCATGGTCGACGCGAAGTCGTCGTCGCCGCCGGCGGCACCGCCGCGGGGGCCGACGACGGTCGGCCGCGCGTGCTCGGGCAGGAACTTCTGCGCCTTCGGGTCCGCGGGCGCGTCGAGGAGCAGCGTGCGGTCGTGGACCTTGCTCAGGTGCTTCCACCAGGCGTAGAGCTCGACGTCGTCGGCGAACTGGAGCTCGACGACGCCGTGCAGCTTCGTCTCCAGCTCCAGAACCCGGTCGCGGCGCGCGCGGTCGCCGCAGACGAACGTGTCGGCCCAGTGCGCCGAGACGGCGCAGTCCCTACGGAGCTCGTGGGTTCGCCCGCGAAGAGGCGAAGGAAGACGCGGGAAGAAACGGTTTTTCGAGGGCCTTCGCGCAGGCGTCGGCGCCGCCCCAGGCGCGGACGCTGTAGCGGAGGTAGGGCGACCGGTCCGCGTGGGGCACGCGCGCGTGCGGGCCGAGCACGAGCCACCGGTCGCGGCCTGCGCGGAACTCAAATCTTCGACCCGACTTCAATGTGCGCGTATGCGAACGTTTCGACGCGAGCTCTTCGACCGTGCTTCGAGAACTCGACGAGAACGGTCGATCCGTCCAAACATCAGCCGAATCGACGTCGACGTGACCGAGCTCGAGAAGTTTGGTGGGGACCCCCCGAACCGGCGGTCGAGTTCCACGCCGGTCGCGGCCCGGGCCGCGCGTCGCGGGGCCCACGGTGTCGTCGGCGCCGAGGGGCACGTCGCGGTCCCGCGAGTCGACGCAGCAGAACGCGAGCCAGGGGAACGCGGCGCCCAGCGCCGGGAAGGGCGCGTCCGCGGCGCCGGCGCCGTCGCCGCGCTCGAAGCGGAGCTTCGCGGGCCCCCGGCAGAAGGCCCAGTCGTCGTCGAAGGACTCGTCGCCCTGGTCCTCGGCGCCGCCGGCGGTGCCGGCGTCGCTCTTCTCGACGGCCGGCGGCAGGAAGACGACCTCGACGTCGACCTCGCCGCGCGCGTCGCCGCAGCCCGCGGCGGCCGCGACGCGGTGCCAGCGCCGCGACGTCCGCGGCGCGCCGTCGAGGCCCTTGGCCAGGAGGTACTCGGAGGCGACGTCGACGTCGACGCGCCCCAGCGGGGCGGGCGAGAGCTTCTTCCGGTAGTGGAAGAGTTCGACGGACGCGACCTCGCCGCGCATGCCGTGGTCGCCCCGGAAGACGTCCTTCGGCCGCGACAGCGCGACCTTGAAGTCCCAGGTCGGGTCGCAGCTGTCGAGCTGGGGCTTCGACTGGCCGAGGTGGCGCCCGTCGACGGACACGACCGCGAAGGGGCTCGACGACGCCGGCGACGCCGACGTGCAGCCGGCGCCGCGGGGCTCCGCGACGTTGGCGAGGTTGCGCGCGCCGCGGACGACGACGTCGACGCCCGACGGCAGGGCGTTCCGCGCGACGGCCTCCGCGGCCTTCCGGAGCTCCTCGAAGGACACGGCGCCGTCGCCGTCGGCGTCGACGGCTTTCATGGACAGGTGGAGCGCGTGCGCCGGGTCGCCGCCGCCGACGGCTTCGCCGCCGTGGGCGTGCGCGGCCTCGTAGTCCTTGAGCTTCGCGTACAAACGCCGGAACTCGTCCCTGTCGAGCCGGCCCGTGCGATCCGCGTCGCACTCGTCGAAGAGGGTGCCCAGGAGCCGCAGGGACCGCACGTCGCCGTCGAGGAAGCCGCCGCCGCCGCCGACGTCGCCGCCGTCCTCGTAGTCCACGCTCAGCTCCACCTGGCCCCAGTCCCGGCGGCTCCCCAACTGCGACGGCGCCTCGACGTCGTACCACTTCTTCGGGATGGCCAGGCGCCGCTCGAGGGCGCCGCCGAGGTGGCCGACGTCGACGACGACGCGGCCCAGGGCGTCGTCGCGCGTGCCCGCGTCCTCGTCGAAGAGCTCGAGCGTGACCTTCTTGTGCGGCTTCCGGCACGGCGGGCCGTGCGTCGCGCAGTGGACCAGACCGTCGCGCCAGACGGGGTTCGTCGTGTGCTTGACGACGCCCGTCTTGCCCACGAGCGTCTCGCCGTAGTAGACGTTGACGTAGGGGTCCGAGGCGCTCGTCCAGCGGTCCATGGCGGCGAGGCGCCGGCCCCGCGTGATGTGGATCTTGAGCGTGCCGTCGCCGTCGCCGTCGACGTGGTGCACCGTGCCGAGCGGCGGCGGCGGCGGCGGTTGATCCGCGGCTTTCTTTCCCATCTTTTTGGTAGCCCAGAGCCCACACTACACCGCCATGCTCAAATCACGAAAATTGTAAAGTTGAATCAAGCCTTGACTTCAAGTGAAGCGGAATTGTAGGAAGCTCCAATGGTGGTGTGCTGCTCGTGTGCTGCGAGATAGCGGTGCTGGAGCCGAGGCTCTGCAGTCGTGCAATCTAGTGCTAGCATGACGGCCGAGGAGCAAGTGTGCATCATACTCGGCGGCTGGTCTCCCGGTCCCCTGCCCGTGCTCATGGAGGCGCTGCGCCATCGCGGCCTCCGCTGCCGGCACGTGTCGATCCCGATGCCGCCCTGCGGTTGTTTCTGGCTGATCAATCCCTTCGTGCCCGTGCTCTTTGTTTTGCTCCCCTGGGCGACGCTCGTTGCGTGCGACGCGGCCGCCGAGGTCTCGGCCGCGCTCGTCGTCGCCGTCGCCGCCGCCGCCGCGGTCCTCGCGCGGCTCTGCGTCGCCGCGCTCGTCCGCTTCAGCGTCGCGCACGGCATCTTCAACGCCCAGCGACACATCCGGACGGGCCGCGTCGCCTTCGTCGTCGGCTTCTCCTGGGGCGGCGGCGTCGCGCACGAGCTCGCGCGGCGCCACGCGCTGCCGACGCTGCTCCTCGCGCCGACGACGGTCCTGAACTGCACGTACGCGCTCGCGGTCCCCGGCCGCGTCGACCCGAGCCGCGCGGCCGTCGTGCTCGCGCGCGGGGACCCCTTCACGCCACCGGCGACGACGGCGCTCTACGAGCGCCTCGGCGTCGACGTCGCCGCGGTGCGCGACGACCACAGTCTCAACGGGCGCGACGCGTACGAGGCGATCCTCGACGCCGTCGAGCGGCTCCTCCCGGCGCGGCCGCTCCTCGGCGCCCCCGCGACGTAGACGGGGCGGGCGGTTACGTCGGCGCGTTGAGGCGCTGCGCGCCGTCGAGCGCGGCCGCGTCGAGGAGCGGGAGCTCGAGGAGGGACGCGTTGAGCAGGCCGACGAGGCCGCCGTGCCAGCGGAGGCGGCACCTGTCGCCGAGGACGACGCGGCAGGCCGTCGCGTGCTTCCGGAGCGCGGCGACGTAGAACGCGTTCTCCGTCTCGAGGTACGCGGCGCATCTGGGCCAGTCGCCGCTGCGCTTGAGGCTCGCGACGACGTCGCGGGGCGAGACGTCGGTCTTGGCCTTGTTCGCGCGCTTCCGGTTCCGGTAGCGGTTCCACATGGCCGGCGACGCCTCGTCGCCGTCGAGGACGTGCGTCAGCAGGTCCAGCGTCGTCTGCCACGACTCCACCGCGCCGACGACGGCGACGTTCTCGAGGTGCTGCAGCGCGAAGTGGAGCTTGTTCGCCGCCGACGCGCGCTTCGTGCGGCTCGCCTCGATGAGGTACGTGATCGCGTTCGCGTAGTGGCCCCGCTTCTCCATCTCCGACGTCATCGCCGTCGTGAGCTTCGCGACGGAGTCGAGGTGCTTGTTGTTGTAGCGCAGGCCCGAGATCCACGTCGCGAGCGGCTCGCGGACGACCGTGAAGTAGAGGTAGGGCCGCTCGGGCGGGAGGATCGCGTGCATGCCGTAGTGGTAGTGGCCGCCGATGATGTGCGCGCCGACGCCGAGGCCCGCGGCGTCCGGGTTCCGCCGCATGGCCCGCGCGCCGGTCTGCGCGCCGTTGGGCTGGACGACGGACGCGCGGTTGAGGTTCACCGTGTCGCGGAGCCGGCACGGCAAGACGCCCCGGTCCGTGGCCTGCCCGCCGTTCGCGCACTGCACGAGGCACGCCCAGCGCCGGCCGCAGCGCTCCGCGTAGCGCCGGAAGAGCTCGCGCACCGACGACCCGGCGGCCTTGAAGACGTGGATGAAGAGCAGCACCGGCTCGTCGGCGACGGTCCGCGCCTTGTCGACGACGGCGTCCTTCTCGCACGTGAGCCGCGGCAGGCTCGCGAGGCGAGCCTGGTGCGACCGGTACTGGTCGGGACGGTAGGGCTGGCCCGCGCACCACGCGACGACGAGCGGCCACGCGAGCCGCATGCCTGCGGCGACCGCGCGGCGCTCGGTAGGATTCAACGCGCGCGCCTTGCTGAGATCAAACAGCGCGAAGAGGCGGCGCGCCTTGTCCTTGACGCCGTCGGCGCGGTCCGCGCCGCCGAGGCCGGCGCGCGAGCAGCTCGAGGCGCGAGGTCACGCCCTCGCTTTTTTAGAGCGCTTCAGGAATGGTTCACCCATTTTGGTGAAGCGTTGGGGTATGGCGCGCGCTGGGCTGCCCATCAGCAGAGTGCTGACGAGCCAAACGGCAGCGCACTAGCCTAAGACGACCTCAACAAACAGCCATGCAGCCCGCGCAGCTTCGGTCCGCGACGGGCAAGCGCGGCGCCGACGACGACGTGGAGAGCCGGCGCTACATGGACGAAGGGAACCACGCGCTCGTCTCCAGCGCCCGGAACACGGGCGAGGCGGCGGCGATCCTGCCCGTGGTGTCGACGCTCTCCTTCGGCTTCGCGACCGGCGAGCTCCTCGCGCAGCGCGGCGCCGACGCGCACGGGCCTGCTCGTGCTCCTGTCGCTCTCGGCGGTGTTCAGCCTCTTCACGACGACGTACAGCGTGCTCGAGTACTACTACATCTCCATGCTTACGGCGTCGGACACCCAGTCCCACTACGGGAACAACACGGCGCGGTCCGGTCTGGACGAGGCGCAGCGCGACGAACTGGCGCGCCACGTCTGGGACTTCCTGCTGTCGTTCGAGCCGTGGCGGCGGCAGGCGCGCAACGCGCTGTGGCTGTCCGTCATGCTCATCCTCGCCGCGGGCGGGGCCCAGACCGCGCTCGAGCACGGGTCGTCCTGGGAGTCCTACGCCGTGTGCCTCGTCCTCGTCTGCGGCATCTATCTGGTGCCGCGGACCGTGCTGAAATTCCGCCGACGCTTCGTGCCCCTGCTCAAGGCGTACCGCGAGCTCAAGGGGTTCCAGGGCGACGGCGCGGCGCCGCCGGGCGACGTGAGCGCCATCGTGCCGTCGGCGCTCTAACACTATTAGGCGGCCACGCGCGCGAGCTCGAAGCGCCCGGCGGCGACGATGCCCGCGGCGTCGACGGTCGCGCGGATGCACTCCCGCCGGTCGTGCGCGAGGAGCAGCAGGCCGCCGGCCGGGTCGTCGCCCTCGGGGTCCGGCGCGCAGGGCGCGAGCGAGTAGCGCCGCCCCCGCTTCTTCGCCACGTCCGCGGAGAAGAGCGCCTCGAAGCGGACGGCGGCTCGATACGCGACGATCTCCTTTTGGTAGTCCCGCGGGCAGCCGCCGCCGCTGACCGGGCAGACGGTGACCTTGATCGGGCAGTCGCCGAGCATGGGGTGCTTCTCGACGCCCTCGAACGCGTCGCCCGCGCGCAGCGGCGCGGCCGCGGCCGCGGTCGGCGGCGCGGCGCGCGCCGGCGCGTCGACGCGGCGCGCGACGGGTCGATCCGCGAGCGCCGGCGCCGCGCCGACGGCGACGGCCGCCGCGAGCGCCGGCTCCGCGACGACGGGCTCGGCGACGCGCGGGCAGCGCGACTCGAGCACGGCGACGATCGCGGGCGGCTGCCCCGGCTCGTACGTCTCGTCGCCGCCGGCGAGCGTCATCGTCGCCTCGTCGAGGTAGAGGACGACGACGCCGAGCTCGGGCTTCGTCGGCGAGAGGAGGAAGCACCGCAGGGCGCCGCCGCAGAGGTCGACGGCGCAGTACATGGGCTCTCCGTCGAGGCCCATCGCCGGCAGCGCGCACGCGGCGCGGAGGAAGCAGAGCACGGGCGCGTCGGCGCCGAACGTCTCGCGCCGCTTTTCCGCCACAAAGGGCGGCGGCTGCGGGAGCACCTCGCCGATGGCGTAGGTGACGGCCATGGTCCCGTTGAGCGTCCCCACGAAGGACTGGTGCAGGAGCTTCTTCGCCTCTTGGTCCAGGGTCCGCGCGAGCACGTGGTCGTTGGACAGAATCATGTCGTCGTCGGCGCAGCGCACGAGCGCCGCGGCCCCCATCGTCGCGTGCGCTGGGCTGGCCTACCCAAGCACTCGGTCTGGCGTGTGCTGGGCTGGCCTATCCTAGCACTCGGCCTGCTGGGCTGGCCTCTCCCGGCGCGCGCTCCATGCCACGACAGGGGGCGCTGCCCCGCCAAGTTTGAACATCAACCAATGCTTGATTGAAGTTTACTCGAACAAGTCTTATGGTGAGACCAGTAGTGCGTGAGGCGTCCGAAGACCTCGACGACCTCGATCCAGTAGAACTGAGAGCGGTAGTTGGCCGTGAGCGTCGCCAAAGGCCCGTCGATAGCGCGACGATGCCCGCGCACCCCCCTCGCGCGCCGTTGCGGCGCGCACCATTCATCGCGGCGCTGGTCCTCGGAGCGACGCGCGCGCTCGCGCCGCCGCCGCTCGCGGCGGCGGGCGCGCGGCTCCACCACAGCGCCGTGCGCACGCGGGACATCGAGCGGTCGCTCCAGTTCTACTCGCTGCTGGGCCTCGACGAGGAGCGGCGCTTCAAGAGCGGCGCCGCGCGCTGCGCGTGGCTGCGGTCCGCCGAGGGCGCCGCGCGCCTCGAGCTCGTCGAGGTGCCGGACTACGTGGACGCGGGCCGCGCGGCCGACGGCCTCGCACCGGCGCACGTCGGCCTCAACCACGTCGCGCTCGACGTCGGCCACCTCTGCGACGACCTCGGCGACTTTCTGCGGCGCCTCAACGACGACTCGGAGCGCCTCTTCGAGCGGTCCCTGGGCCTCGCGCTCGCGCCGCGCCAGCAGATCATCGGCCAGGAGGTCTACGAGCTCGCGTTCGTCCGGGACGCGGACGGCGTCCTCGTGGAGCTCCTGCGGCGGCAGGCGACGCTCGACGCGCCCATGGAGCCCGACTGGTAACATGGTGATACTGGCCGCGGTCGTGTTAGGTGTCACCCCGAGGCCGCCTCGGCGGGGATGCGCGCCTCGCGCGCCGCGGCCGTCGCCGCCGCGGCCTCGAGCGCGGCGCGCTGCCCCCGGAGGTAGAGGCGCGCGTGGGCGCGGTTCGGCGGGTCGTCGGGCGCCGGGTCGTGGGGCGCGAGCGCGTCCGCCGCCGCGAGCGCCGCGGACCGCAGCGCGCGGAGCGCCGCGCGCTCGTTGCCCTCGGACACGAACGGCGCCGTCGCGAGGCCCGCCGCGACGGCCCGCGCCTGGAGGTGGGGCCGGGGCAACCCGTCGAAGGCCGCCTGCGCGCGCTTCGGCCGCAGGTGGCCCGTTTCCAACATCTCGAACTCGGACGGCGTCGCGACGGACACGCGGTACGCGGACAGCGCGGCCGAAAAGTCGCCGTCGTCGTCGCCGTTCAGGCGGATGCGCAGCTTCGGCGCGTCGCCGTCGTCGCCCGGCGGCATCCAGGCCGAAGACTTGGCGCCCGCGTCGACGAGCAGCGCGACGTCGAGCGCGGCGTCGTCGAGCAGCCGGCCGGCCTCGTCGCGGTTGTCGGCCATGGCGAAGCCGTAGTTCAGCAGGTAGCGCGCGTTGGACTTGGGGCCGTAGGAGTCGGTGACGGGCTCGCCCGCCGCGCCGCGGCGCACCGCGCGCATGACGAACGCGCCGCGCTCGAAGGCGAAGTCGACGTGGCGCTCGTGGTGCCGCGCGGTGTTCATGAGGTCCGCGAAGGGCACCATCGCGCGCGTGCCGTTGAAGGCGAAGGCCCGGCTCAGCACCTGGGCCTCGGCGAAGGCGAAGGCCTGGCGGTCCTCGACGGCCGTCAAGCCGAGCGACCGGCAGTCGCGGCGGATCTCGTCGCGGCGCCGGACGACGTCCTCGCCGAGCGGCGACCCGGCGAGGAGCGCCTCGTCGGCCGTGGGCCAGAAGCAGGGCAGGTGGCTCACGGACCGCGAGATGACGTTGCGGTAGGGCCGCCACGCCTCGGAGCGGTCGCCCGCGAGGAAGAGCGCGAGCGCGAGGTTCCCTCCGTTCGCGTCGACGCCGCGCGCGCGCGCGGCGCCGAGCGACGCCGCGACGTCGGCGCGCCGCGACGCTTTGTCGACCGTGAGGAGGAGCGCCTCCGGGACACTGAGCAGGGTCTCGCCGGGCTCGTAGGCCGCCGTGGCGACGACGCCGCGCCCCAGGGCCGTGTGCTTGATGGCGAGCTTGTCGAAGGACGCGCCGCCGGCGCGCAGCCACGCGACGAACTCCGACGTCACCACGGCGCTGCTGCCGGGCAGCCAGCGGCGCGGCGTCCGCAGCATCGGCGCGAGCTCGTGCCGGCAAGGCGACGTGCCGAGCGGCTGAAGAGCACTGACCTCGAGCCAAGGGGAAGGTGACTCGCCGAATGCTTGCCCTTGCCGAGGTCGAGCAGCATCGGCTATATACTCAAGTATCATCTCAGAAAAACTCTCAGCGCTTAGAGTCGGTCTGGGGTTCGACTTCGGCTGCCCCCGGAACCCCGTCAGCTCGAGGCGCCGGCTCGGGCGCACCCCGGGTCGCCAGGCGTCGCGCCCGTTTCGGCCTCCGGGCGCGTCCCCGCGGCCGGCGGCGGCGGGCCGCGCGGCGGCGACACCCCGGCCCGGCCATGCGCGGCCCGCGCGTGCTGCCGGTGCTCAGCAAGGAGCCCCAGGACGGCGGCGAGCTCTCGGAGCTCGGCGACGCCGTCGCGGCGGGCGACAACGGCGCCGTCCAGGGGTCGAGCCGGTCGTCGTCCCCGGAAGGGGGCGCGGCGTACTACGACGGCGGCGAGTCGCCCGCGCGGCCGCGGACGCTCGAGCCCCTCGGTTTGCCCAAGGCGGAGACGACCGGCGCCGAGGACCGCAAGGAGGGCGAGCGGCGGGCGCAGTTCGCCGGGCGCGCGCCGCCGGAGCCGGCCGCGGCCGCGTCGCCGCCGTTCGCGCCGTTCTCCTCTCCGGGCGGGAAGCCGCGCATGCTCCAGAAGATGGGCACGTCGACCATGCTCAAGAACGGCGCGTTCTGGGTCCACATCCGCGGCGCCGAGCAGCTCTACCTCAGTAACAACACGTTCATCTCCTGCGTCTACGACGGCGGCGAGATCGGCCGGTCCGAGGCGCGGTGCGACGGCCCGAATCCCCTCTACAACAGCCACTTCGAGATCCGCCTCGAGATGGGCGAGTCCGTCGCGGACCTCAAGCTCCAGGTCACGGACCGCGTGTTGGACTTCGTCATCGGCGAGGTCACCATCGACGGCGAGAATTTGTGCCGGAAGGTCGCGGCCGCGCGGCACTACAAGCGGCCGCACGTCCTGTCGCGGGCAGCAAAAGGGTGATTCAACTTCGCTTCAACATGAGTGTTCCGCGCGCGCGCGTTCCGAAAAAAGCATCCACGCTTCGAGACCGTTCCGAGAGATGATCGCTCGTCCAAAAATCAGCCAAAACGAGTGGAAACCGGCCGAGATATGAGCCTTTGAAGTTGGGAATTTCGCTCTCTTTTGCTGCCCAGGTCCTGTCGCGGAACGAGTGCGTCCTCTGCCACCCCACGACCAAGAAGAAGCGCAAGAGCTTGTTGGGGCGCCTGAGCTCCCAGCTCCAGAAGACGGTGCGGCCGTTGCGGCGCGGGGGCGTCGGCGTGCAGCGGCGCGCGCAGCTCGACCCCGCGAAGCACCGCGAGGCGCAGGCGGAGGTCCGCGTGCGCAAGCAGTACGGCGCGTTGCGCGAGGAGGGCGCGCCCGTGCGCAACGTCGGCAAGAAGAGTAGCCCCCACCTCCTGGTGACGATCCACGAGAACGAGATGGACCTGCGGGAGGAGATGGCGTCCGTCGCGCTCGTCCACGCCAAGGTCGAGCACCTGCGCAACGCCCCGCGGTCCTACTGCTGCGCGATGACGCCGAAGCGCGTCGTCGAGGGCCGGGGCCTCCACCGCGCGACGCTCATGCCGACGAACCTCTACGTGCAGCGCTGGGACGTCGTCACGATCGTCGCGCTCGTCTACTGCGCGGTCATCACGCCCTACGAGGTCGGGGTCATGGGCTCGGGGTCGCGGTCCGTGGGGCTCACGCTGGCGAACACGCTCGCGGACGTCATCTTCGGCCTCGACTTCATCCTCCAGCACTTCATCGCGTACTACGACGAGTTCTACAGCATGTGGGTCTACGACGGCCTCGCGATCTCGCGGCGCTACATGAGCCAGTGGGGCATGATCGACATCATGGCGATCCTGCCGCTGCACCTGCTGAACCAGAAGCTGCGCGTCATGCGGCTCCTGAAGATCCTGCGCCTCGCGAAGCTCATGAAGATCGTCCGGGCGTCGCGGACGCTGGCCCAGATCCAGCAGCGCATGGGCGTGCGCTTCGCCTTCGTGAGCCTCATCAAGTACGCCGTCGGGTCCATCTTCCTCATGCACTGGGTCGCCTGCGGCTGGGCGTTCCTGCCGGACATGCAGAACGGGTTCCGCATCAACGAGAAGCGGCGGCGGCCCCAGGGCCGCGCGCCGTCGTGGCTCGACCAGTTCGACGACCTGCGCTGGGACCACGGCCACCGGAGGCTGAGCCACAACTACGGGACCCACGACGCCGAGGAGTTCGCCGGGCGGTCGCTCGACGACAGCGACTGGCGCGTCTACACGCAGTCGTTCGAGTTCGCGGTCATGACCATGGTGCTGGGCTACGGCATCGCCGAGCCCGTGACCCAGATCGAGCAGGGTTATGCGATTGTGTGCATGATCTGCATGGGCTCCTTCTACGCCTACATGATCGCGTCCGTCTGCGGCATCATCTCGGTGATGGACCCGGCGATGACGGAGTTCCACAACAACATGGACCTGCTGAACCAGTTCATGAAGGAGTCGAAGCTCCCGCCGGAGACGCGGAACCGGTGCCGCGACTACTTCCGCTTCTGCAAGGACCACTTCACGTCCAAGTACTACACGCGGATCCTGCTGCAGCTGTCGCCGACGATCCGCGGCGAGTTCGCGGAGCACTTCCACGGCGTCTGGATCCGCCAGATCTCCTTCTTCAACTGCCCGAACCTCGAGGAGCGGGGCCGCTTCGTCATCGAGGTCGCGGTGTCGCTCACGCTCGAGGGCTTCGCGCGCGGCGAGTTCGTCTACCACCGCGGCGACCCGTGCCTGGCCATGTTCATCATCCGGCGGGGCATCGCGGGCTGCAACGGGCGCGTCCTCCGGCCGGGCCGCTTCTTCGGCGAGGACATGATCGTGACGAACCTGCGCATGTCGTCCGCGTCCGTGCTGAGCTTCCTCGACGTGCACCGGCTGTCCAAGGACAGACTCGACAAGGTGCTCAGCAAGGGCACCTTCCCCCACACGCGCGCGCTCATCCACCGCCAGCGCGTGAAGATGAAGTTCCACAAGGCCTTCGACACGCTGCTCAAGGGCCTGCGCATGAAGGCGGGCTACGCGCGCGTGACGCGCGCCGAGCTCGAGGTCTGGAAGGTGAAGCGCGAGGCGGCGCTGCAGCAGTCCTGGGAGCGCATGTGCTCGTTGCGCGTGCGGTCCGTCGAGGAGGGCATGTCCGCGCGCGACCGCGTGGACATCGACCGCCGGTTCGGGACGTCCCGACCGAACTTTGACATTCTCGAGCTCGGTCGCGTCGAAGTCGATTCGGCTGATTTTTGGACGGATCGAGTGCTCGCATCGAGTGCTCGAAGCGCAGTCAAAGCGGTCGCGTCGAAATTGTCGCCTTACATTGACGTCGGGTTGAAGATTTGATTCCCACGCAGGTGCGCGATCTCCTCAAGGTCGGCGACCCGGAGGCCATCGAGAAGACGTACCACGTGGACCGCGCCGCGCGGGCGCGCCTGGACCAGATGCTCCACGAGGTGTCCGCGGCGCAGAAGAAGCTCCTCGAAACCACCGGCGAGACGGTCATCGCCAACGCCGACTTCCTGCAGAAGACCGTCGACGAGAAGCTCAACACGATGCGCGACATGCTCGAGCGCCTCGACGAGAACCTCGACGGCATGATGGAGAAATTCCGGGGCTTCGAGGCGGAGCTCGCGGAGGTCAAGGCCGCGGCGACGCCCCCGGCGCCGAATAGGACGCACGACGACTTCCCCGCGGACGCCCCGCCCCACTTCGTCCGCGCGGTGCCGGACGACGACGAGTCCGTCTTCCCGGACCACGACGACGTCTCCGTCATGCCCGATACGGAGCCCGAGCCGGGCCTCCGACCGCACCTCTAAGCCGCGCCGCTCACCCTGCTGTATCTCGCCTCAGGCTGGCTGGGGGGGCCGGGAGGCCTTCAAGGTGAAGTCACTGAAGAGAGCTGCCCAACGATTACGAGCGCTGCCCCAACGACGCGACGATGGGCGCGCGCTTCTAGGCGACGGCCGCGGCGAGCGCATCGCATCGCGCCACTCTCCTGAGCGCGCGGCGCCGACGCCGCGGAGCGCGCTCTCGTCGCGGCGCGGCGCGCGCGGCGCGTCCTCGGGCCGCCGACCATGGGCAAGGGCCGGGGCATGCTCGACGGGCTGCGCAAGAGCAAGAAGCAGAAGGAGGCGGAGAAGGGGGCGGCGGCGGAGAAGCAGGAGCGGGACCAGAAGCGCGCCGACGAGAAGGTCGAGGAGCAGACCCTGTCCTACCAGCGGCACAGCGACCGGCCGCCGAACACGCTCCGGATCACGGTGATCCGCGCGAAGGACCTGCAGGTCATGGACGGCGGCATGTTCAGCAAGGGCGGCTCGGACCCCTTCCCGACCTGCGCCGTCGAGGGCAAGAAGGCCAAGGGCACGGTGAAGAAGAAGTGCCTCGCGCCCATCTGGCTCGAGGTCTTCGACCTGCCCGCGGAGGACCCCGACTCTGTCTTCACGTTCCAGATCGACGACCACGACCTCGTCGGCGCTTCCGACTTCATGGGCTTGTGCCGGGTGCGCCTGGGCTCGCTGAGCGACGAGAAGGCGCACCGCAAGTGGCACCCGCTGGGCAACGTCAAGGGCGAGGTCGACGAGATCCCGCGCGGCGAGGTCGAGCTGTGCCTGCGCTGGTGCCACGAGAAGCACCGGGCCTACGAGCTCCCGAAGGAGTTCAAGGAGGGCGAGAAGCCGCTGCACGAGAAGGAGGCGGCGAACGAGCTCCACGTGCTCCTCATCCGCGCGCGCGACCTCGAGGTCAAGGACGGCAAGCTCTTCGGCCCGGGGTCCAGCGACCCCCTCGTGACCTTCGACCTCGGCGGCTCGAAGCAGAAGTCGACGGTGAAGAAGAAGGAGCTCAACCCCGTCTGGCAGGAGACGTTCATCTTCACGTGCGAGGACGAGTCCGCGACGCTCCACTGCACGCTCGACGACTACGACCCCCTCTCCGGCAACGACTTCATGGGCCTCGCGTCCGTGCCCGTGAGGACCCTCGCGAACCGCAAGATCCACCGGGGCTGGCACAAGCTCGGGCCCGCCAAGGGCAAGGACGACAAGGGCAAGAAGCGCGGCCGCCTCGAGATGGCGCTCCGCTGGAAGCACAACCCGTCGCTCGTCATCCCGCTCTGCGCCGAGCTGCTCAAGCCCGAGCTCAACATGATGAAGCCGAAGAACGAGCTCGAGATCTTCCTCATCCGCGGCGCCGGTCGCGCGCGGCGCGACGCGCGGCGCGCACGCGCCGCGGACCGACGCCCCCGCGCGCAGGCCTGAAGATCATGGACAAGAACCTCCTGAGCAAGGGCGGCTCGTCGGACCCGCTCATGAAGTTCGAGCTCTGCGGGGAGACGGCGACGTCGACGACGAAGAAGAAGGACCTGAACCCCCAGCGCGGCCGCGGCGCGCGCGGCGCGCGCGCGCGCCGGACGCCCGCGCGCGCAGGTGGCTCGAGTACTTCGCGCTGAACTGCGAGGAGGCGGGCGAGAGCTTCAAGGCGACGATGGAGGACTACGACCTCGCGAGCGGCAACGACTTCATGGGCGTCGTGTCGCTGTCGATGTCGACGCTCGTCGACCGCCGCGTGCGGCGCCAGTGGTTCGACCTCATGGACAAGGGCGGCAAGGCGCCCAAGGAGAGCCTCGGCAAGGTCGAGCTCGCCCTGCGCTGGCGGCACAACCCCGACAAGGTGCTGCACCTGCCGGAGCAGATGGAGGCCGACGACGACCTCCAGAAGACGCCGAACGTGCTCCGGATCTGCCTCGTCCGAGCGCGCGGCATCAAGGTCATGGACAAGAAGCTCTTCGGCAAGGGCGGCAGCAGCGACCCCTTCGTCACCTTCAGCCTCGACGGCGAGGTGCGCAAGAGCACGGTCCAGAAGAAGAGCCTCCGGCCGACGTGGCTCGAGCGCGTCGCCCCGCGCCCGTCCGCCGCGCCGCCGCGCGCGAGCCCCGCCCGCCCAGGTACTTCGAGATGCCCTGCGAGGACGTGGACCTGAGCCTGCTGCTGACCATGGAGGACTACGACCTCGCCGGCAGCAACGACTTCATGGGCGAGGTCCGCGTCGAGATCGAGACGTTCGAGGACCGCGAGCTGCGGCGCTGGTGGATCAACCTGCGCGGCGGGCCGGACCGCGACGAGGCCGCGGGCAGCGTCGAGATCGCCTGCAAGTGGGCCCACGACCCGTCGAACGTGCTGGAGCTCCCGGAGGAGTTCGTCGCGGACGAGCCGCCCGAGCACATCGCGTCCGAGGCCAACGAGCTCCTCTGCATCCTCATGCGGGGCAAGAACCTGCCCATCAAGGACAAGAACCTCCTGTCCAAGGGCGGCACGAGCGACCCGCTCTGCGAGCTGAACCTGGACGGCGTCGTCCACAAGTCCAAGTGCGTGAAGAAGAACCTGAACCCGCTCTGGATGGAGCGCTTCGAGTTCCCCTGCGAGGACCTCGAGCAGGCCCTGAGCCTCGTCGTGGAAGACTACGACTTCGTGAGCGGCAACGACTTCATGGGCCAGGCGACGATCCAGCTCGGCCACTTCCCGAAGATCGACGAGCGCGAGGTCATGCGGTCCTGGTTCCAGCTCGCGCCGCGCGGCGTCAAGCTCGAGCCCAAGCAAGCCTCCGACAAGAAGAGCCGGCTCCTGAAGCGGAAGAAGAAGAACGCCAAGGGCGGCGACGCGGACGCGAACCTCGGGCGCGTCGAGGTCGCGCTGCGGTGGGTGCACAACCCCGCGCGCGTCGTCCACCTGCCGCCGAGCATCCTCGCGGAGGAGGAGAAGCCCGAGGAGCCGCCGAACTCGCTGCTCATCGTCCTCGTGCGGGGGCGGAACCTGCCCATCATGGACCAGGCCATGTTCGGGGCAGGAAAAGAGAGCGAAATTCCCAACTTCAAAGGCCCCTATCTCGGCCGTTTCTCACTCGTTTCGGCTGATTTTTGGACGAGCGATCATCTCTCGAAACGGTCTCGAAGCATGGATGCTTTTTCCGGAACAATCGCGCGCGGAACCCTCATGTCGAAGCGAACTTGAATCACTCTTTTCCTGCCCAGGCCATGTTCGGCAAGGGCGGCACGTCGGACCCCTTCGTCGTCTTCGAGTGCGACGGCGAGCGGACGAAGAGCACGGTGAAGAAGAAGGACCTGAACCCCCAGTGGACGGAGAGCTTCGAGCTGCCCTGCGCGTCGTCCGGCGTCGCGTCGTTTCTACGGTTCCCCCGAAACCGATTCTTTTTAGGCGCGGACTCGAAGGGCAAGCTCACGGTGACGGTGCTGGACTACGACGTCATGTCGGAGCCGGACCACATGGGCCACTTCGAGCTGAGCTTCGTGGCGCTGGCGGACCGCAAGGTGACGCGGCGCTGGTTCGGTCTGCGCGACGCAAAGAAGCAGAAGGTCGGCGGCAAGATCGAGTGCGCGTTCCGCTGGTACCACAACCCCGCGTTCAGCATCACGCTGCCCCGGGACATGCTCGAGGAGGAGGCCATGCTCGACATGCCGCCGAACCAGCTGCGCATCTGCCTCATGCGCGCGCGGGAGCTGCCCGTCATGGACAAGGCGCTCCTCGGCGGCGGGTCGTCGGACCCGTACGCGAAGGTGAGTTTAGGCGAGTACTGCTTCAAGTCCGAGGTCAAGGAGAAGTGCCTCTGCCCCGTGTGGATGGAGCGCTACGACGTGCCCGTCGACGACGTCGAGGGCCGCGTGCTCGACGTCGCGCTCTACGACCGCGACGAGGGCTCGAAGAAGAAGGACGACCTCATGGGCAAGATCAAGATCCCGCTCAAGCCGACGCTCCAGCGCGTGCTGCTGCAGCGCTGGCACACGCTGTCGAACAACGAGCGCGCGGCGAAGCGCGAGATGGAGAAGATGGCGCGCCGCGACGAGGACGAGGACGAGCGGAGCCACACGGACACGAAGACGGGCGAGGTCCAGGTCGCGCTGCGCCTCGTCTACAACCCCAAGTGCCGCGTGTCCTACTACGACCTCGACGACCCGGCGGACCTGGAGCGCATCTCGGAGATCTGCGTGCGGGCCGTCGAGGACCAGAAGGACGACCCGCTGAAGCTCCTCGCAGGGCAGCACAAGAGAGCGAAATTCCCAACTTCAAAGGCTCCGATCTCGGCCACTTTCCACTCGTTGCGGCTGATTTTTGGACGAGCGATCATCTCTCGGAACGATCTCGAAGCGTGGATGCTTTTTCCGGAACGCGCGCGCGCGGAACACTCACGTTGAAGCGACGTCGAATCACTATTGTGCTGCCCAGGCTCCTCGTCGTCCGCTGCGCGACGTGCGGCCACGTGCTCGTCGACAAGACGCGCCGGATCACGCCGGCCATGGTCGCCGCGGCGCGGCCCGCGGCGACGCTGACCATGAACCTGCTCTACCGCCTCAAGTGCGACCTGGACCAGCAGGACGGCGCGGGCCGCTCCGCGATGCACATCGCCGCGCGCTACGACTCGCACGCCGTCGTGCGGGTCCTGGCCCAGCTCGACGGCGACGTGGAACTCGCGGACACGTACGGCAAGACGCCGGCGCACTACGCGGCGGAGATGGGCAACGAGGCCGCGCTCCGGACGCTGTCGCGGCTCGGCGCGGCGCTCGACGTCGAGACGGACAACGGCAAGACGTGCGCGGCGCTCGCGGCGGCCAACGGCCACAACAACATGCTCCTGCTGCTCCACTCGTTGGGCGCCGACGTCGACCAGCGCGCGCTGAACTTCGCGGGCCGCACGCCGCTCCACTTCGCCGCGGGCAACGGCCACCTGCAGTGCGCGCGGACGCTCCTGCGGCTCGGGGCCGACATCAACGCGACGGACACGGCGCTGAACACGCCCGTGCTCCACGCGGCGCTCAACGGGCGCAAGGACGTCGTCGAGGCCCTCGAGGAGCTCGAGTGCGACATGGACCACGAGAACAGCGACGGCCACGACGCCAAGGTGCTCCTCGCGCTCAACTTCGACCAGGCCAAGGCCGACGAGGACCTCCAGTCCCTCGGGTCCTACAGGTAAGCTCGTGCTTAGGGACAGCGCCCCCGCGCCGCGCGCTCACGAGATCGCGCAGCCGAAATCCGCGACGCAGCTCGGCGCGGCGCCGCCGCCGTCGCCGGCGCCGCAGGGCTCGCCGTCGCCGGGGACCCAGCACGTGAACAGGGCGTCCTCGTCGCGCCAGGACCGCCGCCCCGGCTCGCTCGCCTTGCGGAGGTGGCGGAGGCCGCCGACGCCCGCGAGGCGCACGTACGAGTCCTCGGCGCGCTGCAGCTTGCGGTAGGCGGCCATGGCGCCGTGGACGCTCTCCGGCGGGCTCCCGGGCCGCCGGTACAGCTCCTTCGGCGGCGGCGTGTACGCCGCGGCGCAGATGTCGAAGTCCAGGTCGTCCTCGAGGCCGCCCTCGCAGGACACGGGCGTCGCCTCCGGCGGCGCGCGCTTCCGCAGGGACTGCTTCGGCGTCAGCGTCCGCGGCGTCTTCACGGCGCGCGGCGCCAGCTCCGTGTTCGACGTCGGCAGGTCCCGCAGGACGAAGCCCCGCGCGGCGTCGAGGTTGTCCATTTCCAAACTGTGAGAGCGCTTCAGCGGGCTGCCGCGGCCATGCGCCAACGGGTAAATACAGCTTCACTAATGACCCGTATCTAGCTGCCAGCGTTACGACGAGGTGAGGTATAGCTGCCCCCGCGGCTAACCTCGCGGCCACCATGAGCGGGACGATGAACTACGGCTACGGCATCTGCGGCCACAAGAACTCGTTCAGCACGAACGCGCTGCTGGGTAATTACGTCGAGGACCAGTTCGGGCGGGACCTCGCGTCCAACGCGAACCGGGGCATGATCCCGACGCCCACGTCGGAGCTCCAGAGCGCCTACATCGACCCGAAGGACATGCCGGACCGCATGAAGGACGCGCCCGTCGTCATGCCCGACCCCATCATGAACGGGCGCGACGGCCTCACCGCGGACATGATGTTCCGGCACAACGGCGACGACTCGTCCAAGAACCACAAGGCGCTGCCCCAGTCCCTCAAGATCGGCACGCTGCCGGGGTCCACGGACAAGATGCGCAACCGGAGCAAGGAGCTCGCGCGCGCGGACCGCGAGGCGACGAACCGCTGCTCCGAGGCCGTCGCGTGCACCAAGTTCGTGCCCAAGACGGAGTTCGTCGTCGACGACGACGGCGAGGAGCCCCTGCCCATCTTCACGCGCCGCAAGCTCCAATGCTAGGGGGCGCGTAAGAGAGGTTTGTGGGTGCTCTTTCGGGGCCCGGGGGGGGGCAGGGTTCATGCAGTGGAACTGGAGGCCTGACTGGAGAGGCGGCTTGCGCCGAGCACGTCGAGCTCGCTGATTGGCTTGCCACAAGAGCATGGCGCTCCCAAATTGATCACGCTGCAGCACACAGATGGGCCTGTCCACGCGCGACCGGAATTTGCTGAAGGTCGCGTGCTTCCTGCCCGTCGCCGTGGGTGCGACGGTGCAATCGCTGCGCTGGTTCGTCGTGCGCGCGGGCGTCGACGGCAGCTTCCTGAGCGCCCTGGGCCTCGTCTTCGGCGCCTACGCCGCGGCGCGGGCCTGGGTCGGGCTCCGGGGCTTCGTGCCGCGCTTCCTGCGGCCGTCGCGGGCCGCGCGCCTCGCGCGCGACGGCGCGTTCCTGCGCGACCGCTGCGGCGGCTGCGCGCTCGTCACCGGGTGCACGGCGGGGCTCGGCCGCGCGTGGGCCTTCGGCCTCGCGCGCCGGGGCTGCGCGCTCATATTGGTAAGCCGCGACGCCGCGAAGCTCGCGGCGCTCGAGGAGGCGCTGCGGGCGGAGGTCGCGGGCTGCGACGCGCGGTCCGTCGTCCACGACTTCGACGGCGGCGACCCGGCGCCGTTCTGGGACCGCGCGCTGCCCGCGGCTTTGGACGCCGCCGCAAACGGCGGCCGCTACTGCGGCCTCGTCGTCAACAACGTGGGCGTCGGCACGGAGGACCCGCTGGCCATCGACGAGGTCGACGACGCCGCCGTCGCGGCGATGGTCCGCGTCAACTGTTTAGGCACCGCGCGCGCGTGCCGCGCGCTGATCCCGGACCTCGCGCGGCGCGGCGGCGGCGCCGTGATCAACGTCAGCTCCGGCTCCGCCGTCCAGCCGACGCCCTACCTCGCCGTCTACGGCGCGACGAAGGCATTCGTGCACCAGCTGTCCCGGTCGCTCGACCGCGAGTGGCGGTCCCGCGGCGTCCGCGTGCTCTGCGCGCAGCCCTACTACATCGCCGGCACGGGCCTCTTCGCGTCGACGCGGCCGTCCTTCAACGCGCCGCCACCCGACGTCGTCGTCGACGGCGCGCTCGACGCGCTCGTGCGCCCGCGGACGGCCGCCGTCGAGACGACGCGCACGTGCCTCGCGCACGCGGCCATCGCCTTCCTCTTCGAAACCATCGCCGAGGACCCCGTCCTCGGGCCCCTGTCGCGGCCCGTGGCCCGCGCCTTCGGCGTCAACGGCTCCATGCTCGAGGTCATGGCCAAGGCGCGCGCGCGCTTCCTCGCGAAGCGGTCGCGCTAGCGGATTTTAGTATGGCAACCTGTCTGAGCGTGGAATACGACGCTTTTCTGATTAAGAGTCCTGCACGAATGGCGTTGTCCTTTCAGAAGTACCCCACTCGTCGAAGGGGATATTTTTCAGCTTCGACAATTCCGCTGACATATGCTCCTTCATGCGCGCATCGGATTTCAGGTGGGCCTTGCAGGCCTTCCGATGGTCCTTCCAGTGCGTCGTCTGGCAGGCCGCGCCGCAGTAGGAAACCCGCTTGCACTTGGCGCACTTGAACAGCTTGCCCTTGGCGCCGCACACCGCGCACGTTTGCTGCGCCTGCCACTGCTTTTTCGTCGACGATCTCGACGGCGGGGCGTCGCCGAAGGCGTAGATGGCGACGCCGTCGAGCGTCGGCGCCGCGTCGGCGACGACGAGCGGCGGCGGCGCGTAGCGTACCACGTGGACGCAGGCCGGGCGCAAGGAGACGACGCGCGATTTGGAGGCCGGCTGCGGCAGCTCCACGTTGTAGCGATCCTTTTTGAGATCGACTTCGACCATGATGCCGAGCTTATCGTTGAGATCGTCGTCCCGCGTGCCCGCGATCTTGACGTCGCGGCCGAGCATCGCCGAGCCCGGATGACGATCCAACGCTCGGCTCGCCTTTTCATTTACAAGCAGGAACATGCGCACCGTGGGCGTGTTGATCCAAGGGCTCGGCTCGGAAGGCGGGACGTCGCACACCACGATCGGATAGCGGTTTCCACCCACCGGAAACCAGGGCATGGGCGGGTCCGTGTCATTCACCATAGCCGTGAGCTGGTGGTCGTCCGGGCTGAGCGGCTCGCGGAGGAAGAGGCGCCGCGTGCCGCTCTCGAAGTCGTGCTTCTCAATGAGAGCCACGATCTTCCGCCGCGCGACGTGGGCCTCGCAGCCGGGATCGCCGCTCCTGTCGAGGATGTTCTGCGCCTCGCACTCGGCCGCCTTGACGAACGCGTCTCGGAGCTCCGGGGGCGCGCGGGCCCCCGAGGCCATGACGAGCAGCGCGAGCACGACGTACGTGTTCCCGGCGAGCGACGGCTTGCTGGCCTTGGCGTCCGGCTGATACGGGCTGCCGCGGTCCATGAGCCACGGTCCGCACGATTGAGAATTATTCGTCGGCAGGTCGTCGAAGCCGACGGTCGCGACGCGGACGAGCTCCGGGAGCTTGGATTCGACGTCGACGGCGCGGAGGCGCGTCCACCACTTGAAGATGTTCTCGTACCAGTGGAGCGCGTGGCGACACGTCGTCATCGTGCCCATCGAGTGATTCTTGAACATCGTGATGGGAACCATACCTTTCGGGTCGGTGATGGGGTACCCGTGATCAGCAAAGACGATCGTGAGGAGCCTATCGACGAACTCCAAATGTGTATCGGACGTGGCCAACACGAGATTGACGTTGAGCACGCCCATTCCCTCGGCGTGGCCTGTGCCCCCTGCTCTACTTTTTTGTGGTGATCTCGGCGATTTGGCGAAACCGCAAAAGAGCTTCCGCAATGGACCGCATCGAGGAGGCCTCCGAGGCGTCATCCGAGGCAACCTCCAAGGCCAGCATGCCGGTTTACTAGACGAGCGCGAGCTCCGCGGACCTCCGGGGCGCGAGGGCCCGCCGGGGCGCGTCCGGCGCGCCCCGCCCGCGGCCGCGCGACTGCGACAGGCGCAGGCGCGCGCCGTTCCCGAACATGTGCGCGAGGCGCCGCGAATCGCCGCGGAGCGGGTTGCGCGGGGCGTCGGTCTCGCGGGCCGCGGCCGCCTCAAGTGCCGCCTCGCGCGCCTCCGTCTTGGCGTCGCGGCGGCGCCGCCTCGCGTCGAAGAGCGCGAGACCGATCGCGACGGCCGCGTTGGCGAAGAAGATGAGGAAGACGCTCTCCATGGAGCGGACGGAGATCTGCTCCGACGAGTCCTCCGTGTCCATGGCCCCGGGGCACATGTCGTAGGTGCGGTAGTGCGCGTTGACGACGTCGTAGTAGGGCCGGTCGGACCGGAGCCGGTATATGGCCTGGCTCACGTTCCGCATGATGTCGTAGCTGTGCGTGATCCCGTAGACCGGCGTCGGCTCGAACTCGATGCCCGGCGCCTTGACGAGGCTGTCGCAGTGCTCGAGCAGGACGAACTGCGCGTCGAACGTGAGGAAGACGTCCACCTCCGAGTCGTCGTCCTTCACCGCGTCGACGCACCACTGCGTCCGCCCCGCGTAGTCGTCGAGCTCGTAGGCGCCGTCCGGCGGCCAGACGACGCCGCCGGCGAAGTTCGTGACGTAGGAGCTCAGCCACCAGTCGTTCACGCAGGCCGTCGCGGCGCTCAGCTCGTCGAGCGTCCCCGGGCCGGAGACGACGCGCCGCGGGTTCGTGAGGAACGCGGCGAGGTTCGCCGTGAAGCTGGACGTCATGATGAGCGCGAGGAACAGGAGGCCCAGCCGGTGGAGGCGCGCCGCGCCGCTCGACGTCGCCATCGCGCCGCTGAGGTCGTCGCCGCCTACGGAGGACGACGGGTCGGATGTCCGCGCGCCTTCGGGCGACCATCGTGGGGAACGCATGGCGGCGGACGCCGGTGGCCGCCGAGGAGCAGCGTGACGCTGTGGTAGAGCATGGCGCCGAACTCGAGCGGATCCTCGCGCGGGTCCCACGCGCGTTCGAGGTAGGCGATCAGGCCCGCGACCACCGTGCCGAGAATCACCGTCACGCAGATGGCCACCCAGAGCCGCCAGTGGAACGGATCGAAGAGGCTCCAGTACTCCGCGTTTCGGCTCTTCGCCTTGAGCAGGCCGTGAAAGGTCATCGAATTGATCGGCGACGTGTAATAGAAGCCGTCCCACATGGGCCCCATAAAAAAAAGGATGTCGGCTTCTCCCCTGCGCAGCGGTTTCCACCACAAGGGGCCGACGTACACGTCGACGGTGTCGACGTCGAGCTCCTGTGCGATGAGGTCCATGAGATCGGGGTAGGCGCCGACGTACTTCTCCTGGGCCGCGTCGTAGGCGTAGTGCGCCCCCTGTTGGCTGTTCATAGCCATGTACCCGACTTTGTACGTAGTGCGACTCAGCGCCATCGACGGCAGCGCGAGCAGCAGCCCGAGTCGTGGCTGAACCATGCTCGAGCTAGGAATGCGGAGTGGTTGACTTCATGAAGTCCTCAAGTTGGCCGGGGACTCACACGATGGTTGCAAGCGCTACGCCGCGCGCCGCATTCCTCGCTCTCGCGTCGCTCGCGACGTGCGACGCGCTCTCGACCGCAGCGGTGCCGTCGAGCGTCTGGGCGCCGGCGCGCTGGCGGATCTCCGTGGACATCGGCCGCGAAAAGGACACGTGGATGCCCAAGGACTGGGGCGCGTCGGGCGGGCGCCTCGTGCTGCCCATCGACGTCGAGGTGTCGAGCGATCCCGCCGCGGAGCCGAACGCGGAGCGCGACGTCATGGGCGGCAGCGCTTCGGCCATCGTGCCCGTCGCCGAGCCGACGTTCGTCAACGAGCGCGGCGAGCAGACCGTCGGCGTCGCGGGCGGGGGGTGGAAGATCGGCACGCAGGACGCGACGCGCGGGCGCGCGGCGACGCTCCGGTTCTGGCTCGACTTCGCGCCCGCGGGCGGCGACGAATCCCCGGCGGCGACGCGCGGCGACGTGACGCTCCCCGCGGAGCGCCTCTACTTCGCCGCGGGCGTCTGGCGCCGGGAGGAGCTCGCCCGGGGCGCCGCGGCGCTCGAGCCGCTCGTCGAGGAGACGCGGCGCACGCAGGAGCGCCTGGAAAGGCGCCTGGACCACGAGCGCGGCGACCGGCGGCTCGACGGCACGAACCCGCTCGACACGGCCCTGGCCTACAAGGACATGGCGGACCTCGTCGGCGCGCGCGACGCGGCGCTGCGACGGCAGCGCGACCTCGAGGCCGAGCTCCTGCTGCCCCGCGACGCGTCGAAACTGCCCATGGGCCCCTTCCCGGGCTCCGAGGAGCCGCTCGCGCTCGCGCCCGGCGGCATCATGATCCGCAAGAAGAAGAGCTTCTTCGCCTTCGCCGACGAGTACCTCATCCTCGGCAAGTGGCGCGCGACGCCGCTCGAGGACGGGTAATTGATACTACTAATTGTTGGCCAGCTTGAAGTGTGCTGAAGCGGAATCGCTGAATTGAGCTCGACAGCTCGGCTCTCCGCCAGCTTCGTCGCGCGCGAGCCATGGCCGCGCCTCCGGGGCCGTGCGCCCTCGACGAGTTCTCGCTGATCTACGCCCTCGTGGCGCCCGGCGCGCCGGCGGCGGCGGCGGCGCCCGCGTCGTCGAGCGCCGTGCCCGAGGCGCTCGTGGCCAAGTGCAAGGCCGCCGGCGAGGCCGTGGCGTCGCTGAAGAAGGGCGGCGGGTCCAAGGAGGACGTGGCCAAGGCCGTCGACGCCCTGCTGAAGCTGAAGCAGACGATCACGAAGATGGACCCGGACCACCCGCTGGCCATCGTCGACAAGAAGAAGAAGAAGGCGGACGGTGCGGCGCCGGCGCCGGACGCGGCCGGCGGCGAGAAGAAGCTGAGCAAGAAGGAGCAGAAGCGGCTCGCGCGGGGCGACGAGCCGGCGACGAAGAAGGTCAAGGACCCGAACCGCTGGGCCGTGGACCCGGCCAAGGCCGCGGAGAAGGCCGCGAAGGCGAAGGCGAAGGCCGAGAAGGCCGCGCGGGCCGAGAAGGAGGACGCGGACGCGATCGCGCCGCCGACGCCCGTCGGCGACCGCAAGATCCTGGCCAAGGCCATGGCCAAGACCTACAAGCCCGCGGACGTCGAGGGCGCCTGGCAGGAGTGGTGGGAGAAGAGCGGCTGGTACGGTTGCGACGAGGCGGCCGCCGCGAAGAAGCCCGACTCGGAGAAGTTCGTCATCGTCATCCCGCCGCCGAACGTCACGGGGTCCCTCCACCTGGGCCACGCCCTGACGGCGGCCATCGAGGACTGCCTCACGCGCTGGCACCGCATGCGCGGCCACGCGACGCTCTACGTGCCCGGCCGTGTGGAATTCGACCGCTGGTTTGGGCGGTCCCGACCAAACTTGAGAATTCTCGAGCTCGGTCACATCGACGTCGATTCGGCTGATTTTGGGACGAATCGATTGCTCTCGTCGAGTTCTCGAAGCACAGCGAAAGAGTCTGGTCCAAATCGTTCAATTACGCGCACATTGAAGTCGGGTTGAAGATTTGAGTTCCACGCAGGTCCCCGGCACGGACCACGCGGGCATCGCGACGCAGTCGGTCGTCGAGAAGCAGCTCGCGAAGCAGAATCCGCCCGTGAGCCGCCACGACCTCGGGCGCGACAAGTTCCTCGAGCAGGTCTGGGCCTGGAAGGGCGAGTACGGCGGCAAGATCTGCAACCAGCTCCGGCGCCTGGGGTCGTCCGTCGACTGGAGCCGCGAGCGCTTCACCATGGACGACCGCTGCGCCAAGGCCGTCACGGAGGCCTTCGTCCGCTTCCACGACGCGGGCATCATGTACCGCGCGTCGCGCCTCGTGAACTGGTCCTGCGCGCTCAAGTCCGCGATCTCCGACTTGGAGGTCGACCACCTCGAACTCGCGGGCGGCGAGTACCGCGCGGTGCCCGGCCACGACCCGGCGAAGAAGTACCAGTTCGGCATGTTCACGGAGTTCGCCTACGACGTGCTGGGCGCCGACGGGGAAACGACGGGCGAGCAGGTCGTCGTCGCGACGACGCGCCTCGAGACGATGCTCGGCGACGTCCAGGGCAGGACAAGAGAGCGAAATTCCCAACTTCAAAGGCTCATATCTCGGTCGTTTTCCAATCGTTTCGGCTAATTCTTGGACGAGCGATCATCTCTCGGAACGGTCTCGAAGCGTGGATGCTTTTTCCGGAACGCGCTCGCGCGAAACACTCACGTTGAAGCGACGTTGAATCTCTCTTGTCCTGCCCAGGCGACGTCGCCGTCGCGGTGCACCCCGACGACGCGCGCTACGCGCACCTCGTGGGCAAGAAGCTCAGGCACCCCTTCTTCCCGGAGCGCGACGTCGTCGTCGTCGCCGACGGCGAGTTGGTGGACATGGACAAGGGCACGGGCTGCGTCAAGGTCACGCCGGCGCACGACCCGAAGGACTACGAGTGCGGCAAGCGCCACGGCCTGCCCTTCATGACCATCTTCACGCTGGACGGCCGCGTCGTCGCCGAGGCGACGCCCTTCGCCGTCGGCGACGCCGGCGCGAAGTCGTCCAAGACCTTTGCGCCGGAGACGTTCCCCGCGTGGGTCGCGGGTAGCGCCCGCTACGACGCGCGCGAGCTCTGCGAGAAGAAGCTCGACGAGCTCGGCCTGCTGCGCGGCAAGGAGACGCGCGCCATGAATCTGGCCGTGTGCTCGCGGTCCGGCGACATCATCGAGCCCCTCGTGCAGCCCCAGTGGTACGTCGACTGCTCGGGCCCGGCGAAGCGCGCGTGCGACGCCGTCCGCAACGGCGAGCTCCGCATCCTCCCGAAGATGCACGAGAAGACCTGGTTCCAGTGGCTCGAGAACATCCGCCCCTGGTGCATCTCGCGCCAGCTCTGGTGGGGCCACCGCATCCCGGCCTGGTTCGCCTTTTACAAGGGCGAGGACCGGGGTTTGGTCGACATGAACTCGGAGGCGAACAAGCCGCGGTGGATCGTCGCGCGCGACGAGGCCGAGGCGCTGGCCAAGGCCAAGGCGACCCTCGGGCGGAGCGACGTCGAGCTCCAGCGCGACGAGGACGTGCTCGACACCTGGTTCTCGAGCGGCCTGTTCCCCTTCTCGGTCTTCGGGTGGCCGGACAAGACGCCGGAGCTCGACGCGTTCTACCCGACGCAGCTGCTCGAGACGGGCCTGGACATCCTCTTCTTCTGGGTCGCGCGCATGGTCATGATGGGTCTGCAGCTGACGGACAAGCTGCCGTTCACGGACGTCTATTTGCACGCGATGGTCCGCGACAAGGAGGGCCGGAAGATGTCGAAGTCGCTCGGCAACGTCATCGATCCGCTCGAGGTCATCGACGGCTGCGAGCTCGAGCAGCTCGTCGGCAAGCTCAAGGGGGGCAACCTCAAGGCCACGGAGGTCGCCAAGGCGACGAAGGCCTTCGAGGACGACTTCCCCGACGGCATGCCGCGCTGCGGCACGGACGCGCTCCGCGTCGGGCTCCTCGCCTACACGGTCCAGGGCCGCGACATCAACTTAGATATTAAGCGCGTCATCGGCTACCGCTCCTTCTGCAACAAGCTCTGGAACGCCGTGCGCTTCATGCTCGGCTGCTTCGACGGCTACGCGGCCGCGGAGACGATCTGGGCGGACCTGGCCGCGGCCAGGGGGCGGCTCGCGGGCCGCGACAAGTTCGTGCTCTCGAAGCTCCACGGCATGGTCGCGGCCGTCGACGCGCACCTCACGGGCTACTGCTTCGGCGACTGCGTCCAGGCCATCTACGCCTTCTTCCTCAACGACCTCTGCGACGTCTACGTCGAGCTCGTGAAGCCCGTGGTCTACGGCGACGACAAAACGTCGGACCCGACGCTGGCCAAGATGGCGCTCTGGTGCTGCCTCGACGCGGGCCTGCGCTGCCTCCACGTCATGTGCCCCTTCGTCACGGAGGAGCTCTGGCAGCGCCTGCCGCGGAAATTCGCGGTGTCGTCGATCATGGTCGCGCCGTACCCGCGGCCCGCGGACACGGCCGTCTTCGTCGACGCGGGCGCCGAGGCCGGCGTCGCCGTGCTGCTGGAGGCGACGTCGGCGGCGCGGTCCCTGCGGGCCCAGTACAACCTGGGCTCGAAGCCCGCGAAGTTCGTCGCGGCGTTTTCGGGCGACGCGACGCGCGCGGCGACGCTCGCCGCGTTCAAGTCGGACGTCGCGACGCTCGCGCGCGCGTCGGCCGTCGACGTCGTCGTCGACGCGGCGCCGCCGGCGGGCTGCGGCCAGAAGCTCGTCGACGAGAAGTTCGCGGTCTACGTCGACCTCAAGGGCCTCGTCGACGTGAAAGCGGAGATCGCGAAGCTCGAGAAGGAGCTCAAGACCGTCGCGCCCCTCGTCGAGAAGCTCCGCGCCAAGCTCGCGGACCCCGTCTACGTCGCCAAGGCGCCGGCGAAGCAGCGGGCCAACGACGAGGCGAAGCTCGCGTCCTACGCCGAGAAGGTCGCCGCCGCCGAGGCGGGCATCGCGTCCTGGTCGAAGATGGGCGACGCGCCCGCGGCCGGCGGCGACGACGACGACGACTTCTGGGGCGACGACGACGACCAGACCGAGGAGGAGAAGGCCGCGGCCGCGAAGAAGCTCGAGGAGGCCAAGGCCAAGGCCATGGCCAAGCTCGCGAAGAAGGAGGTCGCGCAGCGGTCGCTCTGCGCGCTCGAGATCAAGCCCTGGGAGGCGGAGCAGGACCTCGAGGAGCTCTTCAAGAAGATCAAGTCCACCTTCGTCCGCGAGGGCCTCAAGTGGTCCGAGGTCTGCAAGCTCGAGGACGTCGCCTTCGGCGTCAAGAAGATCATCTGCACGGCCGTCATCAACCAGACCATGTCCATGGACGCCATCATCGAGGAGATCACCGAGGAGGCGTTCCCCGACGAGGTCCAGTCCATGACCATGACGAGCATGTCGCTCCTCTAGGCCGGCCTTAAAGCTCTCGAGAGCCCAAGCTAGCCACGGGGCTGGGGGAAGGGGACGAGGAACGAGAGCGCGATCGAAGCTGGAACTCAGTCGTCGCGGTCCGTGCGCCAGAATTGGAGGACATGCCAGAAGACCTCGTTGGGGAGGGCGGAGAAGAGGCGCTCGAGGATCGGGTCCGGCGGCGAAGCGCGGCCGCGCGAGCAGAGCGCGCGAAGCCGAACGAGCTCGACGCGGGGTGCTTTGAGGTAGGCCTTCCAAGAGCCGGCGCGCTTGACCTCTGCTATGAAATCGGCGGCTGCTAAAAATCTTCGCGAAACTTCATGCTCAGATCTAGCCGCCATCCTTCGAGCGAACGCTTCGACGTCTTCACCCAACGCGTTCGTGAACGCAAGATCAGCACCGTTCGCAAGAAGTACGCGTGTCATGCCGAGACCATGCGTTTTTGCCACGCAGGAAAATATAGGTCGGAGAGATAGTACTTCAGGGTCACCGCTCCTGGCGGCGTTGACGTCCGCGCCCGCCCTGGCGGCGTTGACGTCAGCGCCCGCGTCGAGCAAGATCTTGGCCACCTCGGGGTATCGGCACACGTGCAGGAGACGTTCATCAGTTCCGATGTTTGGAGACATTCCATGCTCTAACAGGATTCGTAGTATCTCGCAACAAAGACCGCTAGGGTTATGGGGTGACATTAAAGCGTAATGCCCCAGGGAATAGCGATTATGACTAAGACGATTAGGATCGCCGCCTGCGTCTAAATACTGATGTAGCTTCTCCACTTTACCGTGAATAAGAAGATCAACGCACATTTGATCCCACTCTCCATCTGTAAGCTCCATCGGCGCGCACACCTGCCTCGCACCTACTGCCACAAAAATTTGTGGAAATTTTGGCTGTTTACCCCCCGCCGCGCCGCTTAACGCCCCCGGCCGCCGCATCATATCGCCATGCCGCCCCCCTCCTCCGCGTCGCTCTTCGAGTTAAGACTCCTCGCGGGCGTCGGCGGCTTCGCGTCGCACTGGCTTCATTTATGCATCGGCCTCTTCATCAAGGACTCGTCGCTCGGTTCGGCCACCATCGTGCCCTTCTTCGTGCTCATGAACCTGTGCCGGGGCGTCGCCGTCGTCTCCGCGGAGCGCCCCGCCCGCCTCGCGGCCCTCCACGCGCTCGCGGCCGGCGCGTGCTTCGTGAGCGCCGTGTTCCTCGACCGCGGGTCGCGCGCGGCGCTCGTCTTCCCCGCGGCCGCCGTCGGCCTCCTCGACCCGCTCACGTGCTGCGGCGTGCGCATCCGCGGGCACGCGCGGAGCGGCGACGACGCCTGGCGCGACGCGGCGGACCAGAGCGTCTGGACGGCCTTCAACGCGGGCCTCGTCGCGAGTTTCTCCGGCGGCGTGCTCTACGAGGCGCTGGGCATGCGGTTCCTCTGCGCGGCCCTCGGCGGCGTCGCCGCGGGCCTCGCCGCGGTCCACGCGCGCGAGGCCCGGCGGCCGGGGCGCGTGCGCCGGTCGCTGAGCGTGCACCTGTTCCACGGCGGCTCGAGTCGCGTGAACGTCTGTGTGGATTCCAAATATTCAACCCGACTTCAATGTGAGCGTAATCGAACGGTTTGGACCAGACTCCTTCGCTGTGCTTTGAGAATTCGACGAGAGCAATCGATTCGTCCAAAAATCAGCCGAATCGACTTCGATTTGACCGAGATAGAGAGTTCTGAAGTTTGGTGGGGATCCACACAGGTGAACGTCTCGGCGATGATGTGCCCGGGCGTGACGTCGGGCGCGATGCTCGGCGTCAAGAGCGTCGTGCTCATCTCCATGTGCGCGACGTTCGTCACGACCCTCAATTGGCAGCTCGCGGCGAACTACTACGACAAAGAGCTCCGGCAGCCGCCGAGCACGCTCTTCGCGGTCCTGGTCGTGACGACGCTGCTCATCGTCAACGGCGAGCGCGCGCAGCTGGCGACGCTCACTCCCTTCCTCGGCCACGGCGCGTCGCACGGCCCCGAGTCCCTGCTCTGGGCCTTCGGCCTGGCCGTCGCGGCGCTCTGCGGCTTCGCGGCGTCCGCGGGCCGCCCGGCGGCGCGCGTCGTCCAGATGGTCCTGCACGGGATCGTCGAGTTCTACGTCGACTTCGCGCTGCGGTGCGCCCACCGCATGCTCGACGCGACCTGCGAGGCGGCGCGCCTGCGCTACGAGGACTACGCGGTCGTGCGCCAGATCGGCCACGTCGTCGCGCGTCTGTACGCGTCGGTCGTCGGGCCGACCCTGTACTTCCGCGTCGGGCCCGAGGCGCCGTTCCTCTTCAACGTCGTCGTCGTCGCCGCCGCCATGGCCTACGCGGGCGCCGTCTTCATCGACAACCTCGGGAACACGATCCGCGACGTGTCGTTCCAGCTCAACCCGGCGCTCGAAAGGGAGCCGCGGCCGTCGCTCGTCAAGGCGACCTCGATCATCTCCGTGCTCGGCTCCCAAACCATGCTCGCCTCGGGGGACCCGGGCGGCCCGCCGCCGCTCGCCATCTACGCGGGCCTCTTCCGGAGGCGGGCCGGCCGCCTGCGCCCGTCGACGACGCCGACGCGGTCCTTCGAGGTCCGCGGCCAGCGCGTCGAGCTCGACGACATCGACGAGCTCCGCGCGGCCTTCGACGCCGCGGACGCGGATCGCTCCGGCGCGCTCGACCGCGGCGAGGCGCTGGCCATGCTCACCGCGCGGGGCGTCGCGCCCGGCGACGCCGCCGCGATCTTCGAGAACGCGGACCTCGACGGCGACGACCTCGTCGACTTTGGCGAGTTTTTGAAGCTCGTCGCCGCGTCGCGGGCCGCGCCGACCGACGCCGTCGTCGTCGAGCTCGACGACGCGACGTCGTTCTCGCTTTCGGGAGCTGACGTCGACGCGCTCCGGGAAAAGTTCGACGCCGCCGACGCCGACGGGTCCGGCGCGCTGGACGTCGGGGAGATCGCGGCCCTCGCGGGCCTCGCGCCGGACGCCGCCGCGGCGGTGCTGGGCCTCGCGGACGGCGACGGCTCGGGACACGTCGAGTTCCCGGAGTTCCTGCGGCTCGTCGGCATCTGCCGCGCGGAGTCGGAGAAGGGCCTGCTCGCCCGGGCTTCGTCGTCCGTCGCCGCCGGGGACGCGCTCGGCGTCATGCGCGCGTGCGCGCGCGAAGCGCGAGGGAGGCCCGCGGCGTAAACGGGATCCCCGCGGGGTTCCTCACAAAAACCTTAGCAGGGCGTCTCCGCCGCGACGGCCGGGAAGCCGTTCGTCGTCTCGCAGCGCGCCGTCGCGTCCAGGTCGACGTCGTAGAGGATCGCGTGGTGCTCGGGGACGAAGAGGACGTCGCCCTCGGCGAGGACGACCTCGTGGGCCCGGGCCTGCGACGCCGGGTACTCGGGCGGCGCGGCGTCGAGGCGGACGTCCGCGCCGTAGAGGCCCGTCGTGCAGGCGCTCTCCGGCGCCGCGAGGACGACGCGCGACCGGCCCCGGAGCTGCGCGTGGAAGGCCCCGGCCGTCGTCCAGCTCGGCCCGTAGCGCGTCGACCCGCGCGGCGCGAGGCGGCAGCGGAGGCCGTCCGCGGCGGCCGCCGTCGCCTCGGGCACGAAGAAGTCGCCGTCGCGCGAGCTCTGGGAGAAGAGGCGCAGGTCGCGCCAGAGCCAGTCCCAGTCCGGCGCGCGGCCGAGCGTGACGTCGAGCGCCGCGGCGACGACGTCGGAGAAGCCGCGGCTCGCCGGCGCCTCGTCGCCCCGCGGCGGCGCCTCGAAGGCGAGCGTCGCCCGGTCGAAGCGCGCGGGCGAGTCCTCGCGCGCCGCCGCGGCCTTCAACCACGCGGCGAACGTGAGCTCGCCGTCGCCTCCCGCGACGCCGTAGGCCGTCCGCCGGCCGAGCCGACCCTCGAGCGCGCCCGCGTCGGCCCAGGCGTCGACGGCGGCGTCGAGGCTCGGCACGTTCGAGATCAAAAAGGGCCGCCGCGCGTCGCGGTAGGCCGCCGCCGCCGCGCGGTCGTCGCGCTTGCCGAAGTCGAAGCGGCAGACGCCGCGGAAGACCCGCTCCGGCGGCGCGTCGAAGCGCTCCGCGGGCCAGTTCTCCAGCACGATGGCGAGGGACATGGTCGGCGGGTAGAGCTCGCCCCCGATGGCCCCGGAGCAGTCCTGGACGCCGACGCCGACGACGCCGGGCGTCGGCGACCGGCGCGACTCCGGGAACGCGAGGCGCCGCGACGAGGCCGCGCCCCCCGTCGCGCCCGCGGCGAGGAGCACGAGGCCCAGGCAGACGAGGGCGAGACCGCCGGCGACGCGCGACGTGCGCCGCGGCTTCGTGGGGGTTTCGTCGGCGCCGACGAGCGGCAGGAGGTGGTCTTGGGAGGACCCGGAGTTCGAGCGCCGGTGGAGGCTCGACATCATCTTTCTTGGCGTGAGGGGGGAGCGCCGGGCCGAGCTCTTCGACCAGTTCATGTGTGACCAGGTCGCGAGTCGTTTTTTGGCGAGCTGTTCAGAGATTTGCCTCGGCTGTCTTGGGGCTCGCCAACCAAAGCTTCACACTGCATGATTGGCCCGACGAAACTTTGAGCGCTTCGAGGTGGGCCACCAAGTCCGGGCAGCCCGTCGTGTCTGTTCCAGCCGCCGCAGTCTAGCGCTCGTCGGGTCGGCGCCCGCGCGGGCTCGCCGGGAGCTCGCCGGGTCGAGCCCCGCAGGGGCAAGCAAGAAAACCCTTTGCGCGGGCAAGACAGAGAGCCCGTCGCGCCGCGGGCTCCCCAGCAATCAAATGATGCGACGACTCCTCGTCGTGCTGGCGTGCTGCCAACGCGCGGCGTCGGCGACGACGGGCAGCCCCTCGTCCCTGCCGACGCCGTCCCCATCCCCTCTACCGAGCTCGAGCCCGAGCGCGCCGCCGAGCGCCACGCCCGGCCCGAGCGCGACGTTCGCTCCGACGTCGCACCCGACGGCGACGCACGCGCCGACGGCGCAGCGCATCATCTACAAGCCGAAGGACTGCGACGACGAGGAGGACCGCATCGAGCGGCGCTTCCACCGCATCGCCATCACGCTCGGCACGCTGATCGCCGCCATGGGCGTGGCCATGATCATCATGGCGCTCATGTCCAGCTTCCGCGCCAAGTGCGAGATCGACGTCTGCCGCTACTCCGGCGACTCCTACGACATGGGCGACTGCTTCGCCTGCGGCGACTGCTGCGCCGTCGCCGAGGACCCGCCGCCGAAGAACGTCGAGATGCCGCACCGCGTCGACGACTACGACTAGCGGGGGCGTGGCGTCGCCCTTCGGTCGCGCCAATCCCCGTCGTGCGTAAGCGTGGCCAGCGTGGCAGTCCTTGCTGGGGTCTGCCGCGTACACCCACTTTTGCATCAAAGTTCAATGAAAAGCTGTCAGTTGTGAAACTTCCGATCAAGAAAACGAGATTGTTGCCGATCTACAAAAAATCGCTAACGGGCCCTCAACGGTTCGCAGCAGTCGCACTTTGTGGCTGCAGCCGATGGCGCATTGAGATCGCATTCCGTGTGTCTCGCGCGTCCCGTCGGGCCCTCGGCGCGCCGCCTCGCCCGCGGACGCCGCACCGGCGCGGCCGCCGCGCCGCCCCCGCGTCCTCGGCGCGCCGCCGCCGACCCGACGCGCGCGCCGGGCTGCCCCGCGGCGGCAGGGTCGCCGCATCGTCCGACGCCGGGGCCGCCCCGCCCGAAGGGAGCCATGAAGCGCATGGTGGGCATGCGGTCGCCCGGCTCGGAGAGCGTGGAGCTGCGGCGCGGCGAGCGGAAGCGGCAGCCCAACGCGCACGCGTGGGACACGCCCACGGCCGCGGGCGCGCCCGGCGGCGGCGGGGGCGCGCCGCGGCGCTTCTTCGCCGGCGACGCGGGCGACGCGTCCAAGGGCCGGGGCGGGGCGGGTCGCGCACCGCCGGCCTGCGACGACCCCTGGACGGAGGAGGAGGACGCGGTGCTCCGCGAGGGCGTGCTCCGCTTCGGGACGTCCGCGTGGGAGGACGTGAGCCGCCACCTCCTGCCGCCCGTGCAGGGCGGGCCCCAGAAGCGCCAGGCGCCGGAGTGCGAGGCGCGCTGGGAGGCCGTCGTGCGCCACACGGCCGTCAAGGGGCCCTGGCTCCCCGAGGAGGACAGCCTGCTCCGCCAGCTCGTGAACAAGTTCGGCCCGAAGCGCTGGGCGCTGATCGCGTCCCACATCCCGGGCCGCGCGGGGAAGCAGTGCCGCGAGCGCTGGCTGAACCACCTCGACACGCGCGTCATCAAGAGCGACTGGACGCCCGACGAGGACGCGGTGCTGCTCAGGCGCAGCAAAAGAGAGCGAAATTCCCAACTTCAAAGGCTCCTATCTCGGCCGGTTTCCACTCGTTTCGGCTGATTTTTGGACGAGCGATCATCTCTCGGAGCAGTCTCGACGCGTGGGCGCTTTTTCCGGAACGCACGCGCGCGGAACACTCACGTTGAAGCGACGTTGAATCACCCTTTTCCTGCCCAGGTGCTGCTGGAGGCGCAGCAGCGCGTGGGCAACAAGTGGTCCGAGATCGCGCGGCTGCTGCCCGGCCGCGCGGAGAACGCCGTGAAGAACCGCTTCAACTCGCTCATCACGAAGCGCCTCACGCACGGCCTCGAGGCCGCCGCGCGGTCCGCGGGCGGCGGCGGCGGCGCCGCGGGCGGCGGCGACGGCTTCGGCGGCGGCGGCGCCGCGGGCGACGACCGCGCGCCCGAGGACGAGGACCTGAGCGGGAAGAGCGCCAAGGAGCTGCTGGCGCTCATGTTCCGCCGCGTCGGCGAGACGGGCCACGTCGCGCAGCGGCAGCCGAATCTGGCGGCGCCGCGGGGCCGGCCGGCCGGCGGCGACGACCTGTGCGAGGTCGACGACGCCGAGGCCGCGCCGAGCCTCGTCCTCGAGGCCGGCCGCCGGTCCGGGGCGGCGGCGGGCGCCGCGGGCGACGTCGCCGACGCGGAGCTCGAGGGCCTCCGGGCCGCGGGCCGGTGCTGGGCGCGCGAGCAGCGCCGCAAGGAGCTCTTCAACGCCGTCGCCTTCCAGTCGCCGGACTGGGAGGCGGTGGAGGAGAAGGCGACGCAGGTCGCCCACGAGGACCCGGGCTACATCGGCATGGTCGTCGCGGTGGCCGCGGAGGCGCTCGGCGGCGCGGAGCTGCTCCGGCGGTCCGCGCCGACGCCCGAGAAGCACGTGCGGGGCCCCCAGATGTGCGACTCGCCGCGCCAGGGCGCCGGGGGCGACGGCGTCACGTCCGACGAGGACGAGGCCGTCGTGCTCAAGCCCCGGGGCCGGGCGAAGAAGCACCGCGAGCCGCGGCCGCCGCCCGTCGGCGACGTCGACGGCCTCGCGATGCGCCTCAGCGGCACGCTCTGCTCGCTGAGCCTCGACGACGCGTCCTGGCTCGGCGACGTCATCGACGGCACCTTCGACCCCGTGGCCGCGCAGCGCGCGGAGGCCACGGGCCGCGCGAGCCGCGACTGGCACGTGCAGTCGATGTCGACGTCGCTCTCCGGGGGCAAGCCGCCGTTGGCCCCCGCGTCCTCGTCCCTCAAGATGTCGGCGTCCATCGACGACTGGGGCGCGCCCCTCCTGGGCAGCTCCATCATGTCGTCGAGCGGCGGCGGCGTCGAGAGCTCGCAGGACGCGGCCGCGCGGCGCGGGTCCTTCGGCCTCGGCGCGTCGCTGAGCTTCCCGCTCACGGGCATGTCGCCGCGGTCCGAGGCCCAGGTCACGACGACGCTCAAGGAGATGCACGGCCGGCCCCGCGGCGCCTTCGAGACGCCCGCGGGCGGCTCGAACGACACGTCCATGTCCCTCGACAACGTCGACTGGGACCTCATCCTCAAGATGTCCAACACGCCCCGCGGCGCCGGCCTCGACAAGTCCCTCGACAAGAAGCTCCTCAGCAAGGCGTCCATCGACTTCGACCCCCTCGCCGCGACGGCGAAGCCCGGCGGCGCGCCCGAGGACCTCACGCCGCGCGCGAGGCAGCTCCTCTCGTCCGCGATGCGCGACCGCAAGTAGCGCCCGCGGTCCCGCGGCCCCCGGACCCCCGCTCCCGACCTCCGGCCCGCCCCGCGCGCCGCCGCGCACCCGCACCGCGGCCGGCCCGCAGCCCCCGACGGACCTAGAGTCACGCTCCCTCGCCTTTGTTGACGTCAAGATGCACTCGTTTCTGTTGGCCGCAGTGCGAGTGATGCATGCCTGCAGTAGCGGCGTGATGCGCGCGATGCGCGCGTTGCCCACGACGACGCGCGCTCTGCAGCAGCCGACCGGCAGCGGCGCGATGCGCGCGTTGCACGCGACACGGCGCGCTTTGCGGCAGGCGACCGGCAGCGGCGCGCGGCGCGCGTTGCACGCGACGCCGGCGCGCGCCGCCTCTGCCGGCGAGCTCTGGACGATGCTCAACGAGCTCGGCGCGAGAGAGGGCGCCATCAACATGGGCCAGGGATTTCCCGACTTCGAGGGCTCGGCCGTCGCGCGCAAGGCCGCCGCGGAAGCGTTGGACACGCCGTCGCTGAACCAGTACTCGCCCATCGACGGCCTCGCGTCGCTGCGCGACGAGGTGTCGGCGTTTTACGAGAGGCGCTACGGCGCTCGCTACGACGCGGCGAGCGAGGTCGTCGTCACCTCGTCCGGCCAGGAGGCGCTCGTCGCCTCGCTGCGCGCGTGCTTCACGCGGACCGGCCGCGCCGGCGTCGTCGTCATGGAGCCCTTCTATCCGTTCCTCGCGCCGGCCGTCGCCGCCGCGGGAGGCGCGCTCCAGCCGCTTCGGCTGGCGCCGCCGACCTTCGCGCTGCCGACGGCCGCGGCGCTCGACGCCGCGCGCGACGAGACGACGGGGGTCGTCGTCGTCAACTCGCCGCACAATCCGACGGGCAAATGCGCGACCGCGGACGAGCTCGCGGTCGTCGCGGACTGGTGCGTCCGCCACGACGTCATGGTCGTCGCCGACGACGTCTACGAGCACGCCGTCTTCCCGGGCCGCGCGCACGTCCGGATCGCGGACGTTCCGGGCATGCGCGACCGCACGATCACGCTCTCGAGCGCGGGCAAGCTCTTCTCGCTCACGGGCTGGCGCGTCGGCTGGGCCCTCGCGGCCGCGGACGTGGCGCGGGACGTCTCCGCGGCGCACACGGCGCTGACCTACGCGGCGCCGACGCCGCTCCAGCACGGCGTCGCCGCGGCGCTGGCCGCCGAGGACGGGACCTTCGGCGGCGTCGCCGAGCTCTTCGCGCGCAACTACGGCGCGCTCGCCGCGGCGCTCGCGGCGCGGGGGTTGGACGTCTGCCCGGCGGACGGCGGCTACTTCCTCGTCGCCGACGCGAAGCGGCCGGCGATGGACTTCGCGCGGTCGCTCGCGGACGACACCGGCGTCGTCTGCACGCCGCTCTCCGTGTTCTACGCGACGCCGCCGGCCGAGGACTCCTACGTGCGGTTCACGATCTGCAAGAGCGCCGCCCACGTCGACCGCGCGTGCGCCGCGCTGGGGTAATCGGTCAAACTTCAAGAACACCCGGCTCCGGACGCTTCGGCGCGCCCTCGCTTCGCTGCGGGCGCTCTTCAAGGAACCCGCGCGGCGCCGTCGCCGGGGGTTTTTGGGACACGGAGGCGGGTGACTTCAAGAACGCCCTGAGCTTCCGCACCCGATGGCTGACACCTTGGCTTCCACGACGCCTCGACGACCCGTCATGACCTCCACGCGCAAACAACTATTCTTCTTCACCGCATTCCAATCCTGCTCATCGCTGCGCGTGACCCCGCGCTCATCGCTGCGCGTTTCGCCGCGCGCGCCGCTTCATACAACATCGCACCGCGACTCAGCACTGCGCTACAACCCCCGGAACGGCTGGGACGACGACGAGTCGGGGCCGGACATCCCCAGCACGGACCTCTTCGCCGGCTACGCCGCGGACGACAGCGCGTTCCTCGACGACGCGGAGGACCCGTTCTGCGACGGGGACGACGCGACGCCGTGCGTCGACGCCGCCGCCTTCTGGGACCTGGACGCGTCTTCCCCCTCCGTCGGCGGCGACGCGGTGCTCGACGCGGCGGACCCCTTCTGCGACGCCGAGGACGCGGCGCCGGACTGCGTCGACGGCGACGCGTTCTGGGCGATCGAAGCGGAGCCGGACTACGGCGCCGTCGACTCGCACACGATCGTCGAGCGCGACGCGGCTACCGGCGCGCCCCTGCGCACGGCCTTCTCCTTCGTCGACGAGCGCGCGTGCGTCGGCTGCAACGCGTGCGCGTCGATCTCGCCGTCGACGTTCTTCATGGAGGACGAGCACGGCATGGCGCGCGTCTTCAGGCAGCACGGCGACGCCGACGAGGTCATCGAGGAGGCCGTGGGCGCGTGCCCCGTGAGCTGCATCAAGACCGTGACCTACGACGCGCTCGAGCGCCTCGAGGTCCAGCGCCGGGACCAGGTCATCAACGCGGCCGGGCGCAACTCGCTCCGCGCCGAGGGCATGGCGCCGCGGACGATCATCCCGGCGTCCGCGCTCGTGGACACGGCGGACCCGGCGTTCGTCGAGGAGGAGCTCCGCCGGGAGACGGAGCGCCAGCGGAAGGCGCGGCGGGCGCTGGGCACGGGCAAGGACCGCATCGTCGAACTTTAAGCACCCTACGACGCGCGTCGGCCTTTAGAGAAGGCGCCCTAGACCTCGACCTCCTTCCCCGCGTCCTCGTCGCCCGGCTCCGCGGGCTCCGCCGCGGGCTCCGCCGCGGCCGCGGGCTCGCCGCCCTTGAGCCCGCTCGGGTCCGGGTCGGATTGGATGGCCGCGGCGAAGTCCGGCGGCGCGTAGGCCGCGAACCCCTTGGCGGCGGCGACCTTGCCGTGGTCGCCGACGTCGAGGAACTGGCTCGCGAGCGTCTTGCGCTCCGCGCCTGTGTGGAATTCAACCACTGGTTTGGGTGGTCCTGACCAAACTTCAGAACTCTCTAGCTCGGTCAAATCGAAGTCGATTCGGCTGATTTTTGGACGGATCGATCGCTCTCGTCAAGTTCTCGAAGCCCAGCCGAAGAGCTTGTGTCAAAACATTCGAATACGCTCACATCGAAGTCGGGTTGAAGATTTGGTTTCCACACAGCTCCGCGCCCTCGGCCGCGCAGAAGCCGTGGAGCGCGGCGCCGGACCGCGACGCCCAGGAGGCGCGGAGCCAGTCGACCTGGGCGCGGAAGCGCGCGCCCGCGACGTCGCTGCGGCAGCGGAGCATGCCGTCGAGCTTCTCCGCCGCGCGGACGTCCGCCTCCGTCGACAGCGCCGACTCGGCGTGCGCGCGCGCGACGGCCGACATGGCGCCGAGGCCGAAGGCGACGATGGAGCCCGTGGACGTCGCCGCCTCCTCGGCGCGCTGGTCCGCCTTGTCGAGCTGCGCGACGCGCGTCGCGTTCGACGCGCGGTGGTCCGCGAGCTGGCGCCGCGCCTGGGCAGGACAAGAGTGATTCAACGTCGCTTCAACGTGAGTGTTCCGCGCGCGCGCGTTCCGGAAAAATCATCCACGCGTCGAGACCGTTCCGAGAGATGATCGCTCGTCCAAAAATCAGCCGAAACGAGTGGAAAGTGGCCGAGATCGGAGCCTTTGAAGTTGGGAATTTCGCTCTCTTGTGCTGCCCTGCGCCGCGCGTTGAGGCTCTCGTGGCGGCAGAGCTCGCGCATGTTCGTCGCCTCCTGGGCCGACGCGAGGAGCGCCCGCAGGTCCGCGAGGGACGCGTGGAGCTTGACGCAGGACGCGCGCGCGTCCTTTTTGTTCGCGACGCGCGCCGCCAACACGCGCGCGGGCGACGCCTCGGCGACGTCCGCGGCGCAGTTCAGGAGGTGCTCCACGAGCCCCGCGCGGTTCACGGCGGCGGCCGACGCGTCCCGCGCGGCGCGCTCGCACCGGTCGAGGATCGCGTCCCACTGGACGATCCACCGCTGGTGGTCGTCGCACGCGGCCATCTCGCCCTTGTCGCCGCCGTCGAGCTGCACGTTCGCCAGCCCCAGGGCGATGGTCGTCTGGTCCCAGGCGACGCCGACGCGCACGGTCATGGGCGCGACCTTTAGAGCCGCCTCGGCCTCGTCCTTGCGCGCGGCCCACTGCTCGGGCGCGTCGAAGCAGAAGCTCTTGAAGAGGGGCTCGCTCTTGAGCTCCGGGTGCGCCAGGAGCCGCTCGACGAAGGTCTGGCCCGACGCCCGGAGCCAGGCCGCCTCCTCGTTGTTCAGCGGCGCCTCGCCCTCGGCGGACGCGTCGGCGGAGGACGCGAAGGAGACGAGCGGGCCCGGCGGCACGACCGCGCCGGGCACCGCGTAGACGAGCGCGCGGCGCAGCCAGGCGACGTCCTCGAGCGTCCGCGACACGGGCGTCGGCCGGCCGCCCGGCTCCAGGCCCCAGCTCTCGAGGCGGTAGGTCCAGACGGCGATGGGGAAGAGCGACGCCTTGGCGGGGAGGCCCACCTCGACCTTGCGCACCTCGACGGCGCTCAGGTCGCTCGCCGCCATCTTCGGCTCGCCGCCGAAGCCGAACATGGACATGATGGGAGTCGTGCGAGCGCGCGGACGGACAGACGCTGGTGGTGCGAGTGTGTGGGTGCCGCCGCGGGCGGTCGACGCGGCTCGGCTGACACGGATTTTACCACTGTATTAGAAAACCACTTTTTGCGATGTTGACCTACAAGCATCGATTTACTTGAAGCCGTGGAAAGCCGGCATCATGCACTGTTGAAGTCATGAAGCCGTCGCTCGCGGCATGCAAGTTTGATGATTCTTTAATAGCGGGGTGCTGCGAGCGGGGCGCGCCGCGCGGCGCCGCTCGGGCGCGCGCGCGGGAGGGTCGGTCGGCCGCGCCGTCGTCGCTCGCGGCGGCGGGGGCAGCGGGGGCGGAGGCGGAGGACGCGGCGGCGGCGGCCTAGGTCTTGGACGTGAGCGCGCGGAAGCCCTTCCAGTCCGGGGGCGCCGTGAAGGAGCCCTTGGCGAGGACGCGCATGAGGGTCTTGGAGGGCCCGTCCTCGGGATACCGCTTCAGCGACTCGACGAGGTGGAGCTTGGCCTGCTTCCAGTCGCCGGCGACGTACTCCTGGATCGCGTCGTTGAACTTCTGCATGAAGAGGGGGTCGATGCCCTTCTGGAGCTCGCGGTAGTAGAGGTCGTTGGCGAAGTCCACGGGGAGCTGGCCCATGTCGTCGCCGAAGGTCGGCTGGAGCGAGTTCTCCGGGAAGAACGACACGTCGAACGTCCAGAGCTCGAGCGGCACGTTCGAGCCCTTGACGGAGACGACGTCGACCATGCGGCAGAAGGACCGCGACGCCGGCGACATCTCGTCGATGAAGAAGCCCGACATCAGTAGCGGGCACTGGTACATGTGCGTCGCGGCCTCGAGGCGCGCGGACGTGTTCACGTTCGGCGACAGGTACGACGCGTCGATCTTGAACTTGGAGCCGATGGTGCCCTCGATGGCCCAGCCAATGTGGAGCCCGAAGCCCATGTGGACGTGCTGGTCGTCGCCGAACTCCGCGACGATCTTCGGGTGCTTGTTGAACTTGTCGAGACTGCCCGTCGCCTTGTTCGCCGTGTGCAGGTCGACCTGGACCTTGAGGAAGGACGCGAGGGCGGATTCGACCATCTCCAGGGGCGGCACGTTGCGCACGACCTCGCCCTTGGCGCGGCTCGGGAACGTGATCGCCGCGCGCTGCGCCGTGCGCCACTGCCGGAACTCGGGCGTGTTCGGCGGCGGCTCCGTGTCGCGCAAATCGCGGATGCCCGGCAGCACGCCGTCGCAGATCTTCCAGACCATCAAAAAGGCGCAGCCGATGTTCTTGTTCGGCGCGCCGTGGAAGCTGTGCGCGCCCTCGTGGACGACGGACGCGATCGTGTTGATGTACGTGCACACCTCCTCCTCCAACGCGCCGCAGGTCACGGTGAAGTCCTCGATGATGGCGAAGCCGAAGACGGCCGTGATGCGCTTCCCCGGGAGCATGTAGTTCATGCCCGCGCCCGCCTCCGTGGACATGGACTTGGAGATGACCTCCGCGCCCGCGACGCCGAAGCCGACCTGGAGCAGGCCCGAGATCTTCGTGAGCGTCTGCTCCAGGAGGTAGGTCTCGTCGCTCGGGTCGATGTCCGTCTTCTTCTTCCGCGACAGGTCGCCCAGGGGGTTCTCGGCGAGGCGCTGCACGAGCGTCATCATGCGCTCGATGGGGCCGACGACGAGCTCCGTCGCGTCCTGCGTGAAGACGATGACCGCGGTCATGAGGACGATCATCACGGCGATCATGCGGAGCATGTTGAGCATGGCCTCGAACTTGGCCATCTCCGACGTGTCGAAGTAGACCATGGTCCGCGGGTTCGTGATCGGGTAGCCCGCGTAGGCCAGGTCCTTGCCGTTGTCGGAGATGCGCCAGCCGTACAAATCGTTGAGCTTGTCGAGCTTGGACACGAGGTCGCGGCGCGGGTTCCAGCGCATGTCGTGGTTGCAGGGCTCGATGAGGCAGGCCTTGTTCTTCTTCCCGAAGGGCCGCTTGTCGGACTCCATCTTGCCCCGGCCCTTCTCCGGGACCTCGGACGAGCCGTACTGCGAGTTCGACCCCTTGAAGTAGCCCTTGCCCTGCTCGTGGAAGTAGATGGACTTGAGGTAGAGGTCGTAGTTCTGGTCGTTGACGCGCATGTAGCGGATCTTGCCCATGCGCGACACGAAGGTCCGCAAGTTCATGCAGAAAAGGTCCATGTACGTGAAGCAGTACTGGGACCCGACCTGGCCGTCGTAGCCCGCGCCGTCCATCCACGTCGGGATGTCGGGCTTGAGGTAGTCCATGTTCTCGATGCCCAGGGCGCGATACTGGCCCACCGTGTCCTGGCCGACCTGCGCGTAGGGCTCGTCGAAGAACGGGAAGACCGCGACCATCGCCAGCAGCAGGATGATGATCTTGCGCGTCGTCAGCTCCGTGAGCTTCTTGGCGACTTTGGACGGTTGGCGCTGGGCGATCTCGTCGTCCTCGTCGTCGTCGTCCTCCTCCTCCTCGCCCTCCATGTTCTTCTTCATCTTGAAGAACTTCACGATGCGGACGAGGCGCAGGAGCCGCGCGATGCGGACGACGCGCGCGCCCTTGGCGGCCTTGGACACGCGGCCCGTCCGCGCGATGCCCGCGCCGTTCTCCGCGCCCGGGTCGAACCACTTGATGTCGAAGATCATCGACGCCGTCGACACGATGTCGAGCCAAAAGTAGAAGCCGTTGAAGTAGTCGTTCTTCGCGAAGGAGTTGCCGATGATCTCGAGGACGAACCAGAACATGGTGAAGAGGTTGATGATGCTAAAGGCGAGGTCCGCGCTGCCCTCGCCCGTGAAGGCCATGATGCGCACGTCGTCGCCGAAGAGCGCGAACGTCGTCAGGAAGCCCGTGATGACGTTGAACCAGACGCTGTCGAGGATGGATTTCACCACGGCCTTCGCGGGGGCGAGCCTCACCATGAACGCGGCCCATTCCTCGGCCTGCTTCTCCTTCGCGAGCTGCTTCGGCGTCTTCACCTCGTCCTCCTCGTCCATCGTTCCGTGGGGCGGCGCCGGCGGCGCGCGGCGCCCGCCCTCGGCGTCGAGGGCCCGGGAGCGGCGCCCACGGGGAGCGGGGCGCGGGTCGACGACGCGGCGACCGGACAGGGCGGGGGGCTCCCGTCCACGACCTCGAAACTCCGGGGCTCCGCGACCAGACGACGCCTGGAGCGCTTGAGCGTTTTATATGGTAATTTTAAGGATACCGCCTGGTGGGTGCTGCCGAGATTTCATTGATGGTGAAGGGCTGCGATGTCGATGAGAGCCACGACGGCGGCCTAAAAGCCATGGCGGCCCTCGCCGACGACTCGGCGCAGCTGCTCGCGGAGGCGCGGCGGTCGCTGGCGGCCGGCGACCAGGACGCGGCCATGGCGACGCTGCGGACCGTGCTCGCGCAGACGGCGGCCGCCGAGGCGCGCGCCGCGGCGCGCGTGCGCGCGCGCGGTCCGGGCTGGGGGACGCCCCGCGTCGCCGCGGACCAGCGCGCGCTGCGGTCCGTCGCCGCGTTCCACCTGGCGATGCTGCTGCTCGCGCGCGGCGACTCGGAGGAGGCCGACGGGCTCGCGTGGCGCTTCGGCTACGCCGCGCGGCTCTCGGACGCGGTCTTCGCGCGGCGGGCCGCCCCGGAGGCGTCGGAGGCGTCGGCGTCGGAGACCTCCGGCGTCGGCGCCTTCGCCTTCGACGGCGCGCTGCCGGACGCGCTCTTTCGCGCGCTCCGCCGCGAGCTCGGGCCCGGCAGCCGCTTCTGGTCCGGGACCTACGCGAACGCGCCGGGCTTCTTCAGTTACAACTTCCCCGTGCCCGCGCGCGACCCGCGGCACCTCGTCGGCCGCGTCGTCGCGCGCCTTTTGGCGCTCGCGGCGCCGCTCGTGCCCGCGGGCGCGGCGTCCGCGGAGGTCTGGGCGCACCGCCGGGGCGTCGACGGCGCGCACCAGATGCGCGGTCGCGGCGTCCGTGTTTTGTTAAATTGTTGATTTTCTTTCTTCGCGCTAGGCACTTCGACATGGACGAGACGGCGCTGCGGAATTCCAAGGGCGAGGACGCCGTGTCGCCCTTCGCGTCCTGCGTGCTCTTCCTCGACGGCGACGTCGACGCGCCGACGCTCGTCGTGGACCGCGGCTTCGGGGACGAGCGCTTCGAGCACGCCGGGGCCCTGTGCTCGCCGCGCGCGAACCGCCTCCTCGTCTTCCGGGGCGACCGCCGCCGCCCGCGCCGCGCGAGGGTGATTCGAATTTCGACGAGAGCCGAACCCGGGAACGTCTCACGCGCGCGCCGCCTAGGCCTCCACGGCGTCCTGCCCGCCGCGGCGCCGCCGACGACGGGCTGCCGGACGACGTTCATGGTCGGCTTCTGGGGGCCGGGCGTCGCGACGACGCCCTACGCGCCGGCGCGCCCGACGCCGAACATGGCCGGCGCCTTCGACGAGCCGTGGTGCGTCGCGCGCTGCGCCGCCGGCGACGACGGCGACGACCGGCCGCCGGTGCCCGTCGCGCTCGCGGCCGTCGCGCCCGTCTGGGCGCGCGTCGCCGGCGACCCCGCCGCGTTCGGCGACCTCGCGCGCGGCGCCCGGCCCTGGGTCGGCCGCTACTTCCTGAGGAACGGGCCCGCGGACATCGACGACGAGGTCCGGGCGGGGCTCGCGCTCGCCGGCGATTAACATGGCTAGGAGCGGAAGTGAGCGGTGGAGCGGAAGTAGGAGCGGATCACTTAGCTGAGCGTGAACATTTCTTGAACGGAAACATCCTCGATCTTGAAACGCCCGGGCTCTCGCAGCTATGGCCTGGGACGACAGCCCGGAGCCGGAGACCATGGAGCGGAACCAGTTCGACGACGCGGCGGCCGAGGAAGAGGAGGCGCCGCCCTGGGAGGAGGACGAGCCGCCGGCCGGCGAGACGAAGGAAGCCGCAGCCCCGGAGACGGCGCCGCTCAAATACGCTGCCCCCCCTCCCTCGCGCGTGCCCCACTTCCCGCCGACGAGCAAACACCTCGCCGTCGACGTCGTCGTCCACCGGTCGCCCTGCTTCCCCACGGAGACGACCTTCGCGGCGTTCTCGCTCGGCGGAGGGCCTCCCCAGATCGACTGGAACGTCTACGGCGCGCAGGACTCCATGGTCGCGCCCTACCCGGGCGACGCCGTGCTCTGTTTCCAGCTCGCGCGCTTCGCGCCGCCGCCCTGCCCGGCCTGGTGCGCCCGCTGCTGCGCGCGCGCGAAAGGCGGCGTGCGCGGCCGCGGGCGCCGCGTGCTGGCGCGCGTGCTGCGCCGAGGACGAGCGCGGCGGCGGCGGCGCGCCGTCCGAGCCGGCGCCGTCCTGCTGCTGCTGCTGCTGCGCGCGCGTCCGCGCGCGCGGAGCCCCGGCCCCTGGCCGTGCCCATCTTCCCGGGGACGACGGCCAAGGGCGGCCGCCTCGAGAAGACGGGGCCGCCGATCGCGGTCCTCGAGTTCACGAAGACGGGCGGCGCGGCGCACGAGGCGGCCTGGGCGGCCGTGCTCAAGCGCGGCTCCGACGGCCGCGAGTTCGCCACGTTCTCGCGGCCGGGCGTCGCCTGCTGCTACAGCTACTGCCCGGGCTCGGCCTACGACGTCACCGTCTCGGGCAAGACGACGACGGTCTCCGACGCGCGCATGAAGGCCGGGAGGTCCTGCTGCTCCTGCCGCGACGTCGACTGGAGCCGCGACGTCTCGCCCGAGGGCGCCGGCGTCGTCGGCAAGATCCTCCGGAGCAACGTCTTCGCCTGCCGGAAGGACCGGCTCCGCCCGACGATGCGCCACCCGGCGAACTTGCCCTGCCACTTCGGCTGCGACGACGTCTTCGTGCCCGCGACCTACTCCGTCGCCCTGCCCGCGCCGGGCGCGGACCACGCGACGCTCTGGTTCGCCGCGCTCCTCTTCAGCCACGTCTCCAGCGACGCGACGTTCCGGAGCGACTAGGTAACCTGGTTTCGGCGGCGCGGCGAAGCGCGACGTCCCCGGTCGACCGCGCCGCGTCGGGTAGGGTGTAACCTGGTTTCGGCGGCGCGGCTCGCGCTTCTACGGCGCCGCGCGGCGAAGCGCGACTTCCCCGTTCGACCGCGCCGCGTCGAGTAGGGTATCTCGCTTCACCAGCGCCGCCCGTCGGGTAGGATATTCACGAGTTATTCACACAGGGGATTCGCGCGCGCCGCCGTCGACCGCTCAGATCTTGGCGTGCGTGACGAGCTCCTGCGCGACCATGCCGGCCATGCCGATCATCGCGAGGCGGCCGTTGTTGAGCTCCTTGCTGGCCATCGTCTTGAGCTCGGCCTCGGACGTGGGCTTGAGGCCCAGGGGGTCGAAGCCGAGGTCGCCGGCCTTGTGGTCCGCCTTGATGCGGAAGAGCTTGTCCTCGTTCTGCTCCGCGATGATGCCGCCCTCGAGGAGGGGCTCGAACGTCTCGACGGACAGGTACTCGACGTTGCCCGCCATGAGCGCGAGGCCGAACCAGAGGCCGCCGGCGAGCGGGGGCTGCTCGAAGGACACGTAGGACGGGGAGTCGATGCCGCCGAAGGGGCCGGACTCGAAGTGGAAGTGCTCCTGGAAGAGGAAGCCGACGGACGCGAGCATGGCGACGCGGCCGTGCTTGATCTCGGCCTCGCGGTAGAACTGGAGGCGCTGCTCCTCGATGCCGTTCGAGAGGCCGAGGGGGTCGAAGAAGCCGAAGGGGCCGTTGCCCGCCCACTGCTCGATGGGCGCGGCGCTGAGCGCGGACGCCGACTTGGCGGGCGCGGGCGCCTGGAAGGCGGCGACGGGCGCGAGGGTGAGGGCGAGGGCGAGCTTCATGGTCGAGAGTGTCTACGGGTGGGGAAGGTGTGTGGTTGCAATTGGGGGCGCGCGCGCAACGCGAGGTGCAAGGGATGGCGATGCCACGTGGGTGGTGCCGAAACGAGGAGATGCGCGGTGTCTCGACGGCGCGACGACGCGCGCGGTTGCACGAGGGCGGTGCTGGGAGGCGCGGGGGAGGCGGAGGAACGCGCGCGGCTGCAATTGGATGTTGCATTGGACGCGGCGCACGGACGAGGTGGTGGCTTTGGTTTGGCTATTGAGAGTCGCAGTCTCGGCACGCGCCAGCGCAGCTGAGAGATGACGTACTAAGTACGCCTTGACGCCCCGAGGGTCAACGCTACTCAACATCGATTCAACGTCCGACACGGTCGCCAAGCTGTCGCATCAAGAAGCCGACCGAGTCATGTACGTACCAAACCCCCACCGGTTCGAGCGCGATCTACGCCCGCCAGTCGCCTGCAATCCCGCGAATCACGCGCAGACGATCGGGGAGAACACCTCAGTACACCCGCGGCTAAGCAAGCTGATTTCCCATATGTAACACACGCGACTACCGGTCCAGCGCCTCGGCCAGTTCGCTCTTGTCGAGCGCGCCGTCGCCGTTGCTGTCGAGGAGCCCCCAGACCGACTCGCCGTCGATGCGCCGCTCCGCGGGCAGCGCGGCGTTGACGGCGGCGACGGCCGCGAAGAACTCGTCGGCGGTGAGGACGCCGTCGTGGTCCGCGTCCATGAGGTCGAAGAGCCCGTTCGCCGCCCGCGACGTCGGCGACCGCCGCGGCTGCTTGAAGGGCCCGAGGCTGCGCCGCCGGCTCGGGTCGAGGAGCGCGTCCGCCCACGATCCCCCTTCGGACGGGCGGCCCAGCGGCGGCAGCAGCGCGTCGCGCCAGACGATCGACGGCTGGCCGACGACCGCCGCGCAGGCGTCCGCCGCCGCGGCGAGGGACCCCGCCTCCGCGAGCGCGGCCCGCAGCGGCGCGCGGTGGCGCCAGAGCGCCGCGCGGACGCGCTTCTCCACGGCCTCGGGGTCCGCGCGGCTCTCGACGCCCTCGCCCGCGTCCCAGCGCCGCGGCGCCACGCCGCCGAGGTCGTCGACGACGAGCACCGCGGCCTTGTTCAGGCCCTCGCGGTGCGGGTACCGCGACGCGGAGAAGACGGTCCACCGCTCGCGGCCGGCGCCCAGGTCCGCGACCTCGGCGCCCGTCGCGACGGTCTCGTGGGACCGCACGAGCCGCGTCACGCCCTCGCGCGCGAGCCAGGCGGAGAGCGCCTCGTCGCCGACGACGCAGCCGGCGCCGCCGCGGCTCCAGTTCGGCACGCCCGCGGGCTCCCAGACCTCGCCGCTCGGGTCGGACCAGAGCACGTCCTGGACGAGGCGCTCGTCGGGCGTCGCGTTCTCGTCGTAGTGCGCCGCCGCGCAGCTCACGACGCGGCCCGCGCCGCGGATCGCGGCGAGCGGCGGCAGGTCGCGCGGCACGCACCCGTGCAGCACGAGCGTCTTGGACCGCCCCGCCTCGAGCACGCAGGCCAGCGGGAGCGCCGCGAACAAATCCGACGCCTTCTCGAGCAGCGGCGCCGCCTCGTCGCCGTACTTGGCCACGAGCTCGCCCTCGAAGTCGTACACCCGCGACAGCGACGCGTCCTCGTGGTTGCCCCGGTTCAGGTGCACCCAGGGCCCGAAGGCGAGCTTCAGCGCCACCACGGCGCAGAGCACCTCGACGCCGTCGGGGCCCCGGTCCACGAAGTCGCCGTTGAACACGACCAGATTGCTCGGCGACGGCCGGCCCGCGAGCTCCATCGCGGCTCCCAGGTCGCCGAGCGACCCGTGGAGGTCGCCGACGACCGTCGCGCGGCCGGAGACCACGTAGTCCTCGACCCGCGGCTCCTTGCCCAGGGCCGCCGCGCCCGCGTCCATGAGCAGCGCGACGTCGCCCGCCGTCAGCCGCGAGCCCCGGAGCACGTAGCGCACGAGCGCCTCTCCGCCGTTGCCGCTCAGCGGCAGGCGCACGTCGCTCCGCCAGGCGCCGCGGTGCGGGTTCATGGAGTTCGGCCGGATGTCCTCGAAGTCGAAGCTCTCGAAGCCGCGCCGCCCCGCGAGGCCCGCCATGGCATTCAGGAGGCCCGCCACGCGCACGCGCTCCGTCGTCTCGATGCTGTCCAGCGCGGCCCAGGCGGCCGACGACGACTGCTCGCGGGTGGGTTGCGTTCGTCGTCGGTGTTTGAGCGGCGCCAAGGGCCGCAGCATGCGGAAGCGGCCTCGAACGCAAGCCATCGGATCAGATTTGCCACACAAGCCAGAATTGCCACAACGTCGACGACACCACAAACAAGGTGGAGCCGAGTGCATTGGAAGATGATAGTCTGAACTAGACAGTATGAGACGAGTGCCCTGGACGATGATGGTCTGACCTAGACAGTATGAACGTGCACCATGTCGGCGCACGCGTGTGCGTCAAAGGCACCAGCCTTGACGGGAAGTACGGCACGATCGTCGCCCGAGGCAACCACGAGGGCCGCTGGACGGTGGACCTGGGGCCCGTCGGTCGGAAGAACCTGCGGCCCGTTAACCTCGAGGTCCTCCCGCCGCCGCGCGCGCGGGCGCCCGCAGCGCCGCGCCCGCGCGTCACGTACGGCTCGCGCGACGTCGGCCGCGGCGACCGCGCGAACGCGGAACCGGTCATCTTGAAGCGGAAGAAGCTGTCGCCGCGCGGCCCGCCGCCCATGGGCGCGCGCGCGCAGACCCGGTCGCCGCCGCCCGGCGCGCGCGTCGAGCCGGCGCGGCCGCCGCCGCCCGGCGCCGCGCGCTCGACGGCCATCGACCTCTCGTCGCCGCCCGCGCGGACCGCCGCGCGCGACGCTCTGGTCCGCACCGAGCTCCGCGTCTCGAGCCTGTCGCGGACGCACAACTTGCTGGTTGCGCCGGGCGACACGATCCTGGACGTGAAGCGCGAGGTCGAACGGAAGGAGGGCGCCGCGCCGGATCGGACGACGCTGTTCTACAAGGGCGCGGCCCTCGAGGACGACCGCCGGCTCGACTCGTACCACCTCGCGCCCGGCGCGACCCTGCAGAATCGCCTCAAGCCTCCGGCGCCCCGGCCGCCGCCCTCGGCCGCGGCGCCGGCGGCCGCCGGCGCTCCGGAGCGCGCGGCGCCGCCCGCGACCGCCTCGGCGGACGCGGCGGCGCGGCCCCGGACGGAGCCGGCGGCTCTGGAATGCACGCCAGCTTCGCAGCTCGTGTCGGCCTCCGCCGCCGCGCCGGCGCCCTCGTTGTCGCGGACGTTCGTCGCGACGTCGTCTTCTTCTTCCGACGCCGCGCCGGCCGCGGCGCCGACGTCCGCGCCGCGGCCCGCGACGACGTCGCCGGCCGACGCGGCGGCGGCGCGCGCCGTCGGCGCGTCGCGAGCTCCGGCGGTCGTCCTCGATCGCGCGGCGGCTTCGCCCGCGGCGCGGAGCACCTCGCCCTTTTTCCAGGCGCCCGCCTCGTCGCCGGCCGCGCCCGCGGCCTCGACGGCGCCGGCCGCCGCGGCCTCGACGGCGCCGACGCCGCCGCGGCCGGCGAACTCGGCGACGGGCGTTCTGCAGCCCGAAGCCGTGCCGCTCGGCCTGGGCTGGTGGGCGAAGCCCAACGTGCTGTACCCCACTTTGGGATGCATTTTTTTCGAGCACGAGGAGACGGGCCAAATTACGTACGAGTTCCCCATCCAGGATTTTCAGCACCGTCTCATGGCTTGGCGTAACGCGCTCGCGCAGCAACACGTCCTCGCGCAGCAGCAATCTGTCGCGGCGCCGGCGCCCCCCGCTCCGGCGCCGGCGCTTCCCGCGGCGGCCGCGGCGCCGGCTGCGGCGCCGGCCGAGGCGTCGAAGCCGAAGCGGGTGAAGAAGTCGCATCCGCTCGAAGCGCAGCCCCGGCCTTCGCCCGCGGCCGCGCCGCCGATCGCGGCCGCGCCCGCCGCGCCGCCGCCCGCGCCCGAGGCTCCCGCGCCGCCGCCCGCGCCCAAGGCGCCCGCGCCCGCCGCGCCCGCCCCTCCGCCGCGCGCGCCGATTCCGAAGAAGCAGAAGCGCGCGGCGATCCAGCCTCCGCTCGCGCCGCCGCCGAAGCGCGCGGCGCTCCGAGCTGCCGATCTGCCGCCCGCGCCGGGGCCGCTGGCGTCCTGGCCCGCGAAGGCGCCCGCGCCGAAGTGGAAGCGGCCGACGGACCCGAACCGGAACGTCGTCCTGCTCGACCTCGACCACACGCTGCTCCACATGCTGCCCCGGGTGGACATGCCCGGCGAAGCCAAGGCCATCAGCGAGGAGATCGTGCCGCTGACCCTGTCGGGCCGCCTCGTCTCCAACGACTACGTCATGGCCATCCGCCGGGGCGCGGGCGCGCTCATCAAGGCGCTCCGCGACCGCGACGTCGACGTCCGCGTGGTGACGATGAACCTCGAGGGCGTCGACGTCTGCGCGGCCATCGCCAAGTCGGCGGCGCCCGACGCGGCGGCCTGGGGCGGCCTCGACGTGGTCGTCGTCACGGGCCCGGAGCGCGAGCGCAACCTCGGCGAGAAGCGGCTGCCCCCGAACGTGCCCGACGACGCGCCGGCGCGGCGCCGCCTCGCCATCCTCGACGACAACCGGGACGTCTGGCGGCCCGAGCTCCAGAACTACGTCATCAAGGTCAAGCCCTTCCACGTCAAGGAGGACAAGGACCGCCTGGCCGTCGGCAAGGAGCTCGGCTACCTCGCGAGCATCCGGGCCCTGCTCGTCGACGCCATCGAGAGGGGGGGCGTCGGCGGCGCCTGCGACGGCGCCCGGCCGTCGGGCAACTCGCCGCCCTACGTCCCGCGGACCGACTCGCCCCCGCCGCATTAAGAGTGGGAGCCATGCCCTAGGCCTGGCCGGCGCCCGGCCACGCCGTGGGCCGCGGTCGAGGCGGACCCCAGCCAACTCGCCGGCGCCGCGAGTTTGGCAATCCTTGGCGGCCTGCCTCGCCGTCCTGTTGGCTGCGCGCGTCGCTGTCCGTGAGCGGCACACGCGCGCCAACATGAGCATGAGCGCGGCGTCGCCGCGCGATCGCATTCCGAAGAAGGAGAAGAAGGAGAAAAAGGAGGAGCCCGAGCCCGAGCCGGCGAAGAGCGCAGCGAACGGCGCGGCGGAGGGCGAGCGCGGCCGGAAGCGGTCGCCGTCGCCGGCCCGGGCGCGGAAGCGGTCGCCGTCGCCGGCCCGGGCGCGCAAGCGGTCGCCGTCGCCGAAGCGCAAGCGGTCGCCGTCGCCGAAGCGGAAGCGGTCGCCGTCGCCCGCGCGGGGCCGGAAGCGGTCGCCGTCGCCCGAGAAGCGGAAGCGGTCGCCGTCGCCCGGGAAGCGGAAGCGGTCGCCGTCGCCCGAGAAGCGGAAGCGGTCGCCGTCTCCCCAGGACCGCAAGCGGTCGGCGTCGCCCGAGAAGGAGAAGAAGAAGAAGAAGCGGTCGCGGCGGCGGCGGTCGCCGTCGAGCAGCGGTTCGCCGTCGCCCGAGCGGCGCAAGAAGAAGAAGAGGGACCGCGACGACGCGCCGGCGCGCGCGCCGCGCGTGTCCAAGTTCAGCAGCGCGCCGCCGCCGGGCTACGTGCCCGCGGTGTCGTCGGAGGCGCTGCCGGACCAGCACGCGGCCGTCGCCGCGGCGATGCAGAAGGCGCAGGCGCTCGGCGGCGGCTTCTCGTCCATCGGCGGCTCCGGCGCCATCGGCAACATCTCGGCCATGAAGGCCTTCGGCCTCGTGCCGCCCCCCGCGGGCGGCGTGCCCGAGGGCGTGCCCGAGGTCGGGGCCGTGCTCCAGGGCCTCTGCGAGCGGTGCCAGCCCTTCGGCGCGTTCATCAAGCTCAGTGGCAACCTGGGCCACGGCATGATCCACACGTCGCGCTTCCGGCCCGAGGACACGCGGCGCTACGAGACCGTCGAGGAGGTCGAGCGCGTCGTGCCGCCGGGCACGACGCTCTGGGTCCACGTGCTCGAGATCAAGGACCAGGGCAAGGTCGCGCTGAGCCTGCGCGGCGTCGACCAGCGCACGGGCGCGCTCATGCCCGAGGCGGCCATGGCCCCGGGCCCCGGCGGCGGCGGCGGCGGCGGCGGCTTCGGCGGCATGGCGCCGCGGTCCGCGCCGAGCTACGGCCCGCCGCCGGAGGTCAACTCGCAGCACCGGGGCTTCGTGAAGCGCGTCGAGAACTACGGCTGCTTCGTCACGCTCGACGGCTTCGCCGACGGCATGGTCCACGTGTCGCAGCTCGAGCGGAACCGGCGCTTCAACGGCGCGGACGAGATCATGCAGGTCTACCCCCTCGGCGCGCCCATCCACGTCGTCTGCACGGGCGTCAAGGAGAACGGCCGCGTCGAGCTCTCCGCGGCCTGCGTCGACCAGGCCACGGGCGAGCGCCTGCCGGAGCAGCAGCTCATGCTCGGCAACGGCGGCGCCTACGGCCGGCCGGGCCTGGGCTTCGGCGGCGGCGCGCCCAGCGCGCCCCCGGGCGTGCCCGACCTCCACACGGTGCACCGCGGCGTCGTCAAGCGGCTCCAGCCCTTCGGCGCGTTCGTGACGCTCGAGGGCAACTACGGCGACGGCCTCGTCCACATCTCCCAGATCGTCAAGGGCGTGCGGCTCAACGACGAGCACGACATCGCGGCGCACGCGGCCCCGGGCCAGCAGGTCTTCGCCTACGTCAAGGAGATCAAGGCCAACGGCCGCTACGAGCTCTCGATGTCGCGCGTCGACCAGTCGACGGGCGCCGTGCTGCCCGAGGACCCGCCGCCGCAGCAGGGCTACGGCGGCGGCTGGCAGCCGGCCTACGCCTCCTACCCGCCGCCGGCCATGGAAAACCCCTACGCGAACTATCCCGGCTACGGCCCGCCGCCGCCCGTCAACTACGGCGCGCCCATGCCCCCCGCGCCGCCGGTGGCCGTGCCGACGCAGTTCACGGGCTACACGGCGCCGCCGCCGCCGGCGGCCGACGAGCCGCTCCCGCCCGGCATGTGATGCTACCTCGCTTCGCCCCCGCAGCCCCGTAACGCCGTCGTCGTCCGGGACGGCAAGGTTGGGGGAAACATCGCGGTCTCGCGGCTTCGCCGAGCTGCAGCCGAGCTGCGGCATGATGAGCCTCTCCTGCCGCTGAGGTGATAGGCCGGGACGGCGAACGAGTGATACGCGATGGCCGACGTGTCCAGCCTGGACGTCAGGCTCTACGTCAAGCGCCGGCCGCTGCTGCGCCTTGATGTGGGTCCCTTCGCCGTCGCCTACGGCGCGCTCCACGGCGCGGCCTGGGCGGCGCCGTCGCCGCCCGTCGCGGCCCTCGTGGCCATCCCCGTCGTGCTGACCCTGCACCTCTTCGTGTTCCTGAGCACGCGCTGGAGCGTCGCCTGCAGGTGCCTCGTCGCCTACCGGCGCGTGGACGGCGCCGGCGCGGCAACACACGCCTTAGCGACGCCCGCGGACGCGAAGTTCCGCGAGCTCGTGGCGCTCGCGCGCGACGCGGCGCGCGGCGGCGCGCACTTCTCCTTCCAGCGGCGCGTCTTCGTCGCCGACGGCGGGGCCTGGGCGCCCCTCGCGCCCATTACCGACGGCCCGCTCGCGGGCTACTGCGGCGCGCGGGGGCTCGAGACCGAGGCGGCGGCCGAGGCCGCGCGGCGGCGCTGGGGGCCGAACGCGTTCGACATCCCGGACCCGACGTTCGGCGAGCTCTTCGAGGAGCACTACCTCGCGCCCTTCTTCGTCTTCCAGGTCTTCTGCTGCGCGCTGTGGTCGCTCGACGAGTACTGGCTCTACAGCTGCGTGACGCTGTGCATGCTGCTGCTCTTCGAGGCGACGCTGTGCTTCCAGCGGTTGCGGTCCCTGGAGCATCTGCGGGCCATGCGCCGGCCGCCGCGCCTCGTCTACGCGCTGCGGCTCGGCGCGTGGCGGCCGTGCCTCTCGGACGATCTCGTGCCGGGCGACGTCTGCTCGCTGGCCGCGCCGAGCCGGAGCCGCCAGGCGCGCGGCGGCGTCGGCACGGGCGGCGCGACGATCCCCTGCGACTGCCTGCTCCTCGACGGCGCGGCGGTGGTCAACGAGGCCATGCTCACGGGCGAGAGCGTGCCGCAGCGGAAAGAAGGCGCGGCGCTCGCGGACCGCGACGCGACGGGCGCGCTCGCGGGCGCGCTCCTCGTGGACACGGCCCACCGGCGCCACGTGCTCTTCGGCGGCACGGACCTCATCGACGCGACGCCGGGCGCGCCGGCGCCGCAACCCGTCGTCGACGACGGCCGCGACCTCGACGACGACGACCTGCCGCTGGGCATGACGGTGCGCGAGCCGGCGCGCGCGGCGCCGCCGGACCGGGGCATCGTCGTTGTGGTATTGCGCACGGGCTTCGAGACGGCCCAGGGCCAGCTCATGCGCACGATCCTCTTCGCGACGGAGCGCGTGCTCGGGTCGTCGGAGACGGGCCGGTTCATCGGCACGCTCCTGGTCTTCGCGGTCTGCGCGTCGGCCTACGTCCTGCGCGAGGGCCTCCGGGACCCGGACCGGAACCGCTTCAAGCTCTGCCTCCACTGCGTGCTCATCGTCACGTCCGTCGTGCCCCCGGAGCTGCCCATGGAGCTGAGCCTCGCCGTCACGAACTCGCTCGCGGCGCTCGCCAAGTCGGCGGTCTACTGCACGGAGCCCTTCCGCATCGCCTTCGCGGGGGCGCTGGACGTGTGCTGCTTCGACAAGACGGGCACGCTCACGTCCGACGAGCTCGCGGTCCGCGGCGTCGCGCTCGAGCCGCTCGACGCCTTGGCGCTCGCGAAGGCGCGCGACGTCGACGCGGACTGCGCCGTCGTCTTGGCCGCGTGCCACGCGCTCGCCGCCGTCGACGGCCGCCTCGTCGGCGACTCGCTCGAGCGCGCGCAGCTCGCCGCGGTGGGCTGGGCCGTCGCGTCGTCGGACGTCGTCGCGCCCGCGGCGCCGCGGGAGAAGAAGTCGGGCGACCGGGGCCCGCCGCCGCCGGGCCCGAAGACGCCGCTCCGCGTGCTCCACCGCTACGGCTTCGCGAGCGAGCTCCGGCGCATGTCCTGCGTCGTCGCGCCCGCGAGCCCGCGCAACGACGACGGCGCGACCGTCGTCTGTAAAGGCGCGCCCGAGGCGCTCCGGCCCCTGCTCGCCGTCGTCCCCGCGGGCTTCGACGCGGCCTACGAGGCCCACGCGGCGGCGGGCCACCGCGTGCTCGCGCTCGCGAGCCGCCCCGCGGACGACGGCGACGCGGCGAAGCACGCGCGCATGTCGCCGGCGACGTGGCGCCGCGTGCCCCGCGCGACCGCGGAGCGGGGCCTCGCCTTCCGGGGCTTCCTCTGCCTCCAGTCGCCCCTGAAGCCGGGCACGGCCCAGGTCATCGACCACCTCAAGGCGTCGTCGCACGCGTGCGTCGTCATCACCAGGGCGGGAAAAGAGTGCGAAATTCCCAACTTCAAAGGCTCCTAGCTCGGCCGTTTTCCACTCGTTTCGGCTGATTTTTGGACGAGCGATCATCTCTTGGAACGGCCCCGAAGCGTGGATGTTTTTTTTTTCCGGAACGCGCGCGCGCGGAACACTCACGTTGAAGCGACGTTGAATCTCTCTTTTGCTGCCCAGGTCATCACGGGCGACAACGTGCTGACCGCCGCGCACGTCGCGCGGGCCGTCCATATCGCCGACGCGGCGAAGGAGGCGCTCGTGCTCGAGACGACCGACGCCGGCGGCGTCGTCTGGCGGCGCCTGGGCGGCGGCGGCGACACGCGGGCCTTCGACGCGGCCGCCGTGCCCGCGCTCGCGGCGGACTACGACCTCTTCTGCCGCGGCGACGCCGTCGACGCCGCGGAGGCCGCCGGCTGCCTCGGCCCCGTCGCGCTGCACTGCGCCGTCTTCGCGCGGGCGTCGCCGAAGCAGAAGGAGCGCGTCATCGACGCGCTCAACGCCGCGGGGAAGACGACGCTCATGTGCGGCGACGGCACGAACGACGTCGGCGCGCTGAAGCGCGCGCACGTCGGCGTGTCCATCATGAACAGCCCCGTGCTCGAGAAGTCGCTGGCGAAGCAGGAGACGAAGCGGCTGAAGCGCGGCGACGCCGGCGTCGCGGGCATGCGCCGGGCGCTCGCGGACGCGGAGCTCGACGCGATGGACGACGACCCGACGCTCGTGAACCTCGGCGACGCGTCCATCGCGTCGCCCTTCACGTCGAAGCGCGCGACCATCGAGTGCGTGCTCGCCATCGTCTGCCAGGGCCGCTGCACGCTCGTGTCGATGATCCAGATCTTCAAGATCTTGGCGCTCATGTGCCTCGTGTCCGCGTACATGCTCTCGTCGCTCTACCTCCACGGCGTCAAGCAGGGCGACTCGCAGATGACCTGCGTCGGCCTGCTGACGGCGGGCCTCTTCTTCCTCTGCTCGCGCGCGAAGCCGCTGGAGACGCTGAGCGCCGCGCGGCCGCCGCTCCGCGTCTTCTCGCCCCGGCCCGCGGCGTCCATCGCCGCGCAGTTCGCCGTGCACCTATTCGCGCTCGTCAAGGCCGTCGAGCTCTGCGCGCCCCACGAGCCGCGGGAGCGCCACGCGCCCGACGGCGCCTTCAGCCCGTCGACGATCAACAGCGCCGTCTTCCTGCTCACGGCCGTCGTCCAGCTCAACACGTTCGCGGCCAACTACACGGGCGAGCCCTTCATGGAGTCGCTCCGCGACCACGTCGCGCTGAGCCGCCTCCTCGCCGCCGTCTACGTGCTCCTCTTTGCGGCCGCGGCCGGCGCCGCGCCCTTTCTGGGCTCCTGGCTCCAGCTCGCGGACTGGCCCGACGCGCGGTTCCGCGACGACTTCCTCAAGCTCCTCGCGGCCGACACGCTCGCCGTCGGCGCGCTGGCCTTCGCGCTCTAACGCGGGGTTCCGGCGCGTTAGTACAGCCGCTGGTGGCCCTGGCCGCCGACGGCGTCGATGAGCGCCGCCACCCGCCACGTCGCCGTGCGCCGGTCCTGCTGCAGGCGCACGACGAACGCGTGCTCGGGCAGCGCCGCGTCCCGCTTCGGGATGCCCGACGGGTGCCGCGTCGCGGCCAACGGCGACGCGACGACCCGCGCGGACACGGACGCCATGGCGCCGCGCGTCGCCGTGCCCTCGATGCGCGTGAGCTCGCCGAAGTCGATGCGCGAGCAGCCGACGAACGGCTGCAGGCTCGGCGACAGCAGGCCGCGCGCGACGAAGCGCTCGAGCTCGCGGTCCTCGGTCTGCGCGACGGCCGCGCGGCACGGCGGCGTCATGAAGTTGTAGGCGCGCTCGAGGCCCGCGTTCTCGTGCGGGACGTCGACGAACTGCAGGCCGCGGAGCGTCGCGGAGGCGACCGTCTCGGGAGACAGGTCCGCGCTCGGCTCCATCGGCGCGCAGCGCGCGGCGAACTCGCCCGTCGCCCAGTCGTCGTCGGCCACGCGTCGCCGCGTTCGCGCAGCATGGTGCGGTTGCGGCATCCAGAGCGCGCTGGCCACTGCGATGGTCGCGAAGCGCCGCAGCATGTTTGGGTGCTGGTGCACTGCGCGTGCGGCGGCGCGGCGCACCGACGAGCACAGCCGGGAGAGCTTCACCACTGCAGCAACCCGGCCAACATGCGGAGTTGCCCACACAAACACATCTACAAAGGCCGATTACTGCCCGCAGCAGGCCGCGTCGACTTGCCCGATTACTGCTGCAGGCGCATACTAGACGATGCCGTGGCCCGCGAAGGGCTGCGGCGCCTCCGGCGGCGGCGGCGGCAGTGGCGGCGCCATCGCCACTGCGAAGAGCGAGCCCGGCGTAAGCCGCCCGTCGGGGACGATCACTGTCACAAGGCTTCCGTCCGGTGCCGGGACCGTCATTTGCGCTCCGGGGTCGACGCCGGCCGGCACCTCGACCTGGAAGGTCAGCGGCGGCGGCGCGACAACCGTCTCGGTCGTCTCGGTAGGAGGTGGCCCGCTCCCTCCGCTGGCTCCGGCACCGCGCTTACCGCGCTTCTTCTTCTTTTTCTCTTGCTTCCGGCGATATTTTTCTGAGTCCTCATCGACGCCAGGACAAAAATACATGAGCCCCCCGAGGATGAGGAACATGGCGACCACAATGGCGATTACGATTTCGGCCGGGAGATCAGTGTCTGCCCCCTTATTCTTCTTCGTTCTACCAAGAGGCATGACGTCCGGCGCAGCGACGATGTCGACAGCAACCGAAGATCAGCCCGGCTGCTCACCCTCGAGCAGGGCTGCCCAGGGCTGGATCTCAGAAACCGCTAGAACACTGCGGCAACGCGGCGGCAACATGCGTCATTGCCCCCACACAAATCACTACAGAGGTCGATTACTGCCCACGCAGGCCGCGTCGATGACGTCGACGACGAGCCAGGTCTTCGTCCGTCGGTCCTGCTGCAGACGCACGGCGAACGTGTACTCCGGGCCAGCTCCGTCGTGTCCTTTGGGATCCCGGACGGGTGCCGCGTGGCCGCCAACGGCGACGCGACGATGTGGACCGACACGCTCGCCATCGCTCCGCGCGTCGGCGTGCCGTCGATGACGCTCATCTCCCCAAAGTCGATGCGCGACGCGCCGATGAACGGCTGCAGCAACGGCGACAGCAGCCCCCGCTCGACGAAGACGTCGAGGCCGCGGTTCTCGATCTGCCGGCCGCGGTCCGAGACCAGGACGCGGCACGGCAGCGTCATGAAGTTGTAGGCCCGCTCGAGGCCCGCGTTCTTGTGCGGGATGTCCACGAATTGCAGGCCGCGCAGGCACGATGACGCCACCGACTCCGGCGACAGGTCCGCGTCCGGCGACATGGGAGCGCTGCGCGCCGCGAATTCGCCCTTCGTCCAGTCCGGCTCGGCGGCGACGCGCTCCTCGGTAGACTCGGTAGCGACCCCATGGTTTTCAAAGAAGAACTCCTCCGCGCGCAAGCGCGTGCGCGACAGGCGCGATTTGGGTGAGGCCCAAAACGCCGACACATGGGCAGTCGTCGCCGCGCGGCGCGCCGAACGTCGCGATTGAGGTGTGGCCGGTTGCGGCGACATAAAAGCATGTGTTAATGCGCACAGCGTCAAGCAGGTCACAGCTATATTACAGCAGTCCATGCTGCGCAAGGGCAAAGCTTGGCGGCTCGTTTGCCACAACATCGGCGATCACAGCTCGGCCACCACCGCGAGGTCGCCGCCGTCGGCCGCCGCCCAGCGTCGAGACCAAAACTAAGATGATGTGGGCCGCGCGCGCATTCTCCCGAGCGCTGCCGTCGCAAGCGCAGCACCACATCCACCTCGCCTTCGGCGCCTTGTTTTCCCTGTCGCTGGTCGCCATCGACAATGGCAACCCTCTCACGGACGCGCTCTGGCACATGAATCGCAACGCGCGCAAAGCGAAGAAGGCGAATCATGGCGCGAGGCCGGTGAGCCATAAAAGGCGAAAGGCCAAGGCGCATCGCAAGGGTATGCCGACGCTGAGCCGCCGCAAGGCGAAACGGTAGCCGCGCGCTCGTATAACATCGTCTCGTTTAATATCGACGCCCGAGCCGCCTCGTTGTTATACTCACACCCTCGTGTTACGTACAACATCGCCTCGTTTCATATCGATGCCCGAGCCGCCGCGTCGCTGTACTCACACCCGCGTGTTAGCCGCGCCGCGCGCGGGCACGGCGTCGGCGTCGATGCCGTCGTCCTCGTCGTCCGTGAACTCGGACTCGCGCGCGTCCGGCGCGGCGTCGGCGTCGAAGCCCTCGACCTCGACGATGAGCGGCGCGTGCGACGGCGAGGCCGCGGCCGCCGGCGGCGCCGCTTCGACGTCCGCCTCGCGGAGCGGGTTCGTCGACCGGGACCGGACCATCTCGTAGGTCCGCGCGTCGTCGTCCGGCGCGTCCAGCCGCCGCGACGCGAAGGCGCAGACGAGCGACGTCGCCGCGCCGTAGAGCAGGAACGTCGACGCCGCGCGGACGCGCGGGTCCGCGGCGCGTAGCGCCGAGGCGTTGATGGTCCAGGCGAAGAGCACGGCGCCCGCCGTCGGGCCGAGGGCCTTGCCGAGGCTGCCGAGCGTGACGTTGACGCCCTGGAACGCGCCGCGGTCCTCCGTGGACACGGTCGCGTTCGCGACGGCCGTCAGCGCGGAGAAGAAGACGGTGTCGCCGCACTTGACGAAGCCGTGGACGAGGACCAAAGCGGCGACGGCGCCGCCCTCGCCGAAGGCCGCCTCGAGCGCGTAGGCCGCGACGGGGAGCGCCGCGATCGCCGGGCCGTTGCGCGCGAGCGCGCCGAGCACGCCGCCGCGCTCGCCGACGCGCGCGACGTGCTTCTCGTAGAGCGCGAACTGGACGACGACCATGAAGACGCCGACGGCGCCCAGCGCCTGGCCCACGCGCGCCATGCTCAGCCCGAGGCCGCCGCTCGCCTCGGACGCGACGGCCCAGAGGCAGACGACCTCCGTGACGCCGATCTCGACGGCGCTGTAGAGGGCGTAGGTCGCGATGGCCGCCGCCGCGGCCCTGTTCTGCAGGATCGCCGTCCGCGGCTTCGCCGCGGCGGCCGCCGGCGGCCGCGCGGCGCGCGTCTCGGGGATGAACGCCGCGACGCAGGGCAGCAGGAGCAGCCCCAGGAGCGCCGTCAGCAGGTTCGGCGGCAGGTAGGGGTAGCGCTCGAAGACCGCGAAGCCGCGCTTCAGCGCCCGGTTGCCCGCCAGGACGCCGCCGATCGCGGGGCCGACGACGACGCCGATGCTGTAGCTGCCTAAAACCCAGGCGACGGCGCGGCTCCGCCGCTTCTGCTGCTCGTCGGCCTCGAGCGCCGCGTCCGCGACGAGCTCCGTCGCCGACGTGCGCGCGACGATGGGAATGCCGTTGAACAGCCCCGTCAGAAAGCGCGTCAGGATCGCCGCGCCGATGGAGCGGCACGACCCGAACGCGACGGCGAGCGCGGCGTTCGTCGCGAGCCCGAGGAAGAGCACGGGCTTGCGGCCGAAGCGGTCCGCGGCGCGGCCCAAGGGATACGCGCCGATGACCCTCCCGACCATGAACGCGGCCGTGATGACGCCGCTCCAGTAGCCCGCCGCGTCGACGTCCTCCGCGGCGCCGGCCTCGACGACGTAGTAGGCGAGGTAGGGGAAGACGGAGGTGACCGTGTAGATGTTGACGAGGAAGCAGCACGACAGCGTGATTACGGCGCGCGCCGGGAAGGGCTTGGTCGTCTCCTCTGGCATTTTCTATGGCTCTACTGCTGCTTCGCGGCTGTGTGATTTCTATGGCTGCTTAGCGGCGGCGGGACTGCCAAATGGAGCTGTTTTCGCTAGCGGCGGGATGCGCCATGTTGCGAGGGCGTATTATGGCGTGGAAGCGCTGCGTATTAGCATGGAACGCGCTGCTTGGCGCCTCGAAAATCGCTCGTCCATGCCTCACGGAGCCCATGTTGATGGGATGTTGAGGCTCGCCGGCCCGGCGGCTCTTTTTGCTGCGCAAGGCAGCCATGGCTCAGATCGAGGCAACCGCCACGAACGCCCTCGACGCGGCGCTAACAGAGCTGCGGAGGTCGCCCATCGAAGGGCCGCACCCGACGTCGGCGAGCGACGCGCGCGCCTGGGCCGACGCGCGCGGCTACGCCTGGGGCGACGACGCGGCGCACCTCGCCGCCTTCCTCGAGTGCGAGGCGCGCGCGGCGAAGCTGGCGGCGGCGAAGCGCGCCCGCGCCGCGCCCGCGGGCGCCGTGCGCAAGCTCCGCGCCGCCGCGCTCGCGCGGGAGCTCGGCGCGGCGGACGCCGACTGCGCGTCGACGGACGCGGCGCTCGCGTTCGCCGTCGCCCGGGCCGAGGCCGGCGGCCCGGCCCTCGGCGCGGACCCGGCGCCGGCGACGCCGGAGCAGCGCGCCAAGCTCGAGGCCGTGCGCGACGCCATGCGGACGGACTACGGCCTGCGGCGGCGGATGATGCTCAAGCGGTGCGACGTCACGGTCCAGGCCTTTTTGTGGAGCGACTCCGCGCGGGGCAACGAGGACGCGATCGTCTCCGCCGTCGCCGCGGCCCGCGACGCCATCGGCGGCGAGCCGCCGCCCCTCGCCGTCGACGACGCGCTCGCGATGTCCCGGCGCCGCGCGCGCGACATCGCCGCGCGGCTCGAGCAGCCCATCTCCGCCACGTCCAAGGTCACCGTCGACGCGCCCATGAAGTCCGTCATCATCGGCGCCGTGCCGGACCGCGGCGGCCACGCCCACAAGCAGCGGCCCTCCGCGCGGGACATGATGCCCGCGTGGCAGCAGCGGACCGAGGGCGGCGGCAAGGGCGGCAAGGGCCGCGGCGGCGGCAGGGGCCGCGGCGGCGGCGGCGGCAAGGGCCGCGGCGGCGGCCGGGGCAAGGGGAAGCGTAAATGAATTTTAGGCGCTAGCGAAGCAGCTCGAGCGCGTCCGCGCCCTTCATGCCGACGGTGACGCCGAGCGCCAGCGCCGCGGGCGACGCCTTCTTGACGTCGGACCCGGCCATGTCCGCGTGCGTCGCGACGCCGGAGAAGATGATGCAGGCCTCCTCGAACTTCTCGGCGACGCCGACGTCGACGTAGGCGCAGGCCGCGTAGCCCTTGCTGCCGCGCGCCACGAGAAGCGGCCGCGCGAGGCCGTCGATGCGGCCGAGGTCGAAGCCGTCGAAGCTGAACGCGGCCATGTGCTGGAGCGGTGCTGGAGGGGTGCTGGAGCGGTGCTGGAGCGGCGCGCGCGGCGGTCCGAGCAATACGTACAAGCAGACCTCTCGAGATCAGTCGTGCAGCATCGATGCAAAGCTCGTCAACACGACCCCATACCCATTAAAAACCGGATCGTTGAATTTAGGGTAAAAGTCAGGGCTGCGCGCGCGATGTGCTCGCGCGCCCGCGGTCGCGCGCCCCGCGTAGGGGTCGAGGGCCGCCACCGCCGGCTTCATCATGATTTGGGGTGGGCAAAAAATGCCATCGGCTCGTCCAAACGACCGACATGGGCCTCAGACAGGCCGCTTCGGGCTGCCCATCGTCTCCCAACAGCTCGGCGGTCAAAGTCGTCTGAGCCAATCACAGAGCTGGATTCGACGACTTTTACCTTTACTCAACAAGGGCTTGCGATCAACGATCCGGTTTTTAATAAGTATCTCCAGTCGGTTTCGTAAGCTCTCGGACCGGGGCAGCATGGGAGGAGCCGTCGTCGCGTAGGCCGGCTCCCCCGCACGAGCATGCCGGCGCCCATCACCAAGGCCCCGAGCCTGGGCAACGCGAAGAAGCCGAGCGGCCGGTCGCCGCGGGGCTCGAAGCAGGCGTCGCCGCGCGTCGCCCGGGGCCAGGTCGGCTCGCCGCGGAGCGTCGACGAGGAGCCGCTGCGGCCGCAGTCGCGGTGGGACTTCCCGACGCAGCAGCTCATGGAGATCCAGAGCCGCGTCCACGACCTCGAGCGGCTGGTCACGGACTACGAGGCGCTCCAGAGCGAGGTCGAGAGCCTGCCCGCGAGCACTCGCTGGTCCGAGCAGCAGGTCCGCGCGGCCGTCGGCTCGCCCGCGAGCGTCGCGTCGTCGCGCGACGCCTCGCCGGAGCGGTCCCAGCCGCCGCCGCGGCCGGGCCGCGCCGCGGACGCGGCGCCGGCGCGCCGCGCGGACGCGGCGCCGCGCGACGGCGGCGGCGCCGCGGCCCCGAGCCGGACCTACCCCGTGGCGCCCGTCGAGGAGCCCAAGCTCCCGCCGCGCGTCGCGTCCCTGGCGCCGGCGAAGGACGAGAAGTACGTCGCCAGGGCGAAGAACCTCGGCGCGTACCGGCGCGACAAGCGGCGGTACACGGCCGCGCGCTACGACGACCTCGCGTCGACGCGGGACGCCCACTCGCCGGAGGTCGACGACGGCCTCCCCCACGACGTCTTCCTGCTGCGCGTCACGCGCAAGCTCGACGCGGCGCTCGTGCAGTACATGACGCGCCAGGGCGTCCACTTCGTCGTCGGCGCGTCGTGGTCCAAGTTCTTCGAGATGGCGGACACGGACAAGAGCGGCCGCGTGACCTTCGACGAGCTCGACCACATGCTCGACCACATCTTGAGGATTCGGTCCCTGAGCCGCTACGAGCGCCGCGTCTTCTGGGCGCGCGTCGACGTCGACGACTCAGGCGAGGCGACGTACGCGGAGTTCGTGAGCTTGATGTACAAGGTGCGGTTGGGCACGTGGCCCGACCTCGACGACGCGCGCTGCGAGGCCATCATCGGGGTCTTGGACGGCGCCGCGGAGAAGTGGCACCGCGCGTCCGGCAACTGGTACAAGACAGGGCAGCACATGAGAGCGAAATTCCCAACTTCAAAGGCTCCTTTCTCGGCCATTTTCCACTCGTTTCGGCTGACTTTTGGACGAGCGATCATCTCTTGGAACGGCCTCGAAGCGTGAGTGTTTTTTTCGGAACGCGCGCGCGCGGAACACTCACGTTGAAGCGACGTTGAATCACGCTTGTGCTGCCCAGGTACAAGATCTTCCGCCAGTTCGACCGCGACGCGTCGGGCGAGATGTCCTTCGAGGAGCTCTGCGCCGTCGTGCGGAACCGCTTCCCCGGCGTTTCGTTGGGCCCGGCGCAGCTCCCCGACGAGGACCTCCAGGGCCTCTGGAAGCGGCTGGACGTCGACCGGTCGTCGACGGTGTCCGTGCAGGAGTTCATGATCTTCATGCGGCGCCACGGCGCGGCCTACTCCATGCACAAGCTCACGGAGTACGCCAAAGCGAAGCGGGGGCTGTCGGAGCGCGCCGAGCCGCCGCCGGTCGTCGCCCTCGACGGCCCGGGGATTTTACGGGTCTTCAACGCGCTCAACCGCGCGCTCGTGGCCCTGTTCCGGCGCCGCGGCGTCCACAGCAGCATCCGGGGCAACTGGGCGCGCATCTTCGCGGAGATGGACGCCGACGAGAGCGGGCGCCTCCACTTCGACGAGTTCCTCGCGTCCGCGCGCGCGATCGGCGTCGCCCGGGACGAGCTCGGCGACCGCGACCTCGCGGGGCTCTGGACGCACGTCGACGCCGACGGGAGCGGCGAGCTGACCATCGACGAGTTCCAGCAGGCGGCCTACTGCCTCCAGGTCGAGCCCTGGCCCGACCTGTTGGCGGCGAACAACGCGGAGCGCCTCGCGCGGGTCATCGAAATCATGAACGGCGCCGCGGACAAGTGGCACCGCGCGGCGGGCAACTGGTACAAGATCTTCCGCATGTTCGACGCCGACGACAGCGGCAAGATGGGCTTCGAGGAGCTCGAGCACGTCCTGCGGGACGGCTTCCCGGGCCTCCACATCCCCGCGGACGAGCTCCGGGACGACGACGTCAAGGGCCTCTGGAAGGCGCTCGACGCGGACCGGAGCCGCGAGGTCTGCGTCCAGGAGTTCATGGTCTTCATGCGGCGCCACGGGTCGGCCCACTCCATGCACCGCCTCACGGACTACGCCAAGGCGAAGCGGGGATTACTGGAAGTCGAGCGGCGGCCCGAGCCCGTGCTGTTGCCCGTCGAGCGGCTCCGCGCGATCGCGCAGCGGCTCCACCGCGCTCTCGGCGGCTTCCTGCGGCGCCAGGGCGTCAAGCTGTCCATCGCGGAGATGTGGACGAAGCTCTTCGAGCTCATGGACGCCGACGGCAGCGGCCGGCTCCGCTTCGCGGAGCTGCTCGAGGCGGTCCGGAAGCTCGGCCTCGGCGAGCAGCACCTCGCGGAGCGCGACGTGCTCGGCCTCTGGACCCACGCCGACGCCGACGCGTCGGGCGAGCTGAGCGCCGACGAGTTCCAGGACGCGGTCTACCGCCTCGAGGTCGAGGCGTGGCTCAATCTGGACACCGTCGAGGGCGAGGCGCGGCTCCGGCAGCTCGTGTCCGTGCTCGACGCCGCCGCGGAGAAGTGGCACCGCGCCAGCGGCAACTGGTACAAGATCTTCCGCATGTTCGACGCCGACGACAGCGGCCACATGCAGTTCGAGGAGCTCGAGCACGTGCTCCGCGACGGCTACCCGGGCCTCGGCCTCGGCGAGAAGCAGGTGTCGACGCCGCACCTCCAGGGCATGTGGCGGAGCCTCGACGCGGACCGGAGCGGCCAGGTGTCCGTCCAGGAGTTCATGGTCTTCATGCGGCGCCACGGCGCGGAGCACTCGATGCACCGGCTCACGGCGTACTCCATGGAGAAGCGGGGCCTCACGCCCCAGGCAACGGCGCGCCCCAAGCACGTCGAGCTGCCCGTGGACCGGCTCCACGGCGTCTGCAAGCTCATCGACAAGGCCCTCGTCGCCGACTTCCGCCGCCGCGGCGTCCACAGCTCCATCGCGGGCAACGTGAAGCGGCTCTTCCGCGAGATCGACGAGGACGGCAGCGACCGCGTCACCTTAGCGGAGCTCGAGGGGGCCGTGCGCATCCGGCTCCGCCTCGGCGAGGGCCAGGTGACGAAGGAGGACCTGCTGGGCCTCTGGACGTTCGTCGACGCGGACAAGTCCGGCGCGCTGACGGCCGAGGAGTTCCAGCTCGCGCTCTACCACTTCGAGGTCGAGTCCTGGCCCGACTACCTCGCGCCGGAGCTCACGGCCGAGCTGCGGCGCATCCTCGGCGTCATGAACGCGGCCGCGGAGAAGTGGCACCAGGCGGGCGGCAACTGGTTCAAGATCTTCAAGCGGCTCGACACGTCGGGCGACGGCCTCATGGGCTTCGAGGAGATCGAGCACATCATCCGCGCCATCTTCCCGGGGCTGCACATCACGAAGAAGGAGCTCAGCGAGGAGAACCTGCGGGGCCTGTGGAAGGCGCTCGACGCCGACCGGTCGGGCGCGATCTCCGTGCAGGAGTTCATGATCTTCATGCGGCGCCACGGCATGCACCACGAGACCATCCCCTACATCGCGACGAAGCAGCAGAAGGACCGCCTCGCGTCGGAGATGTCCCTGGACCGGCTCGACATCAAGTTCGGCTTCGGCCTCGGCAAGCTGCGCGTGCTCGCGGACAAGTCCAAGGCGCTGCCGAAGCGGGGGCCGGACATCAACGAGTGGGGGTTCTGCGGGCTGCTGCGCGACACGCTCGCCATCGACGAGGCGGCGCTCTCCGACGACGACATCCACACGATCTGGCGCGCGATCGACACGGACGCGGCGGGCGCCATCGCCCACGACGTGTTCCTCCGCTGGGCCCTCGACCCCCCGCCCCTCCGCGAGCCCGAGCTCGACAACCTCGTCGGCACACCCCGCGCGAACACGCCCGGCAGCCGCAACTAGTCGTCTCTTCGAGCTTTCGTTGGAGGGGGAACGAGCAGTGCAAGGTGCTCGAGTCTTTAGCCAGCATGGCCGAGGCAGCCCCAGATGCTGCGGACGCCGCTGCTCCTGTCGCTGGACCGGATGCAGCCGCGCGCCGCGACGAGTCCGGCGGCGACGCGGCCAGCGAGAGCGTCGAGCTCGTGGAGCGCGCGAAGAGCGCCGCGGTCCTCGGCCGCGACCTCGAGGCCGACGCTGCCGCGGCGCTCGTCGAGACGGCGACGGGCTACATCCCGCCCTGGGCCTGGCGCTTCCGGCGCCTGGCGCTCGAGGCCCTCGGGGGCGACCCGGAGCACGTGCTGCACCGCATGCTCCTCGACGTGCTCGCGATCTTCGCCTCGTTCGTCGCCGCCGGCGTCGTCGTGTTCCACGCGACGGGCGCGGGCAGCGGCGACCGGCGCTGGCGACCGGGCTACTGCCTCTACCGCTTTGCGCGGCGTCCCGCGCCTCGTCCCCGCGGGCGCCCGACCGCGGCCGCCCCTCGCAGATTCCATCAACATCGGCTTCGCCGTTGGCTCGGCGCCGCGGATGGCCGCGACGCCCGCGGCCAAGGTGTTCACGATCCTCTACTGCGTCTACGGCAACGCGATCGTCGTCTCCGCGCTGCAACTGCTGCGGCGCGCCGCGGCGCTCCGCGAGCTCGGGCGCGCGGACCTCGCCGCGGACAGCCGCTACGGCATGTTCCTGCTCCTGACGCCCTACTTCCTCGTTTCGCTCGCGCTCAGCATGGTCGTCGCGAAGCTCTTCGCGGGCTACGGCGAGGCCGTCGACATGATCATCTTCGCGGTGCGTCGCCGCGCGCGCCGCGTCCGCGCGCGGCGGACGATCGATCGCGCGCAGGTGACGAACGCGACGTCCTGCGGCATCTTCGTCGGCGATAGGCGGCGTCATCCGAGGAAGACGCACCTGCTAACGGAGCTCTCCTATCTCTTAGGCAACGACGAGGAGGCGAACTACGTCGCGACGGCCTGCGCCATGGTCGTGTCGATCCCGACGTGCGCCGCGTGGACGGGCGAGGCGAGCCACCTGCTCGTCTCGAGCTACGAGGCCCTCGAGGACGGCGGCGCCGCCGCGGCCGAGGAGACGCGCTGGTCCCGGGGCCGCGCGCGCGCCTTCCGCGCGCTGGGCCTCGACGGCGCGGTGCAGCGCTGCGCCGCGGACCTCGGGCTCATCTTCCTCGCGTGGGTGCTCGTCGGGAGCCTCTTCTACAAGTACGACACGCCGGCGGATCCCTGGAACGACGGCTACGCCGTCTACTACAGCCCGAAGCCGCGTCCTTCGAGAGATGTTCGCCGACGAAACACGGACGCATGCGGTAGGCGTGAACATCGGCCTGAACCTGGGCTCGGCGCCGCGGCACCCGACGAACGCGCCCGCGGACGGGGCGGGAAAGGGGTGATTCAAGTTCGCTTCAATATGAGTGTTCCGCGCGCGACCGTTTCGGGAAAAGCATCCACGCGTCGAGGACGCTCCGAGAGATGATCGCTCGTCCAAAAATGAGCCGAAACGAGTGGAACATGACCGAGATATGAGCCTCAAAGTTGGGAAGTTCGCACTCTTTTCCTGCCAGGCCCGCGAAGCTGTGCACCGTGGTCTACTCGCTTCTCGGGAACATGCTCATCATCAACTCGCTCGGCCTGCTGGACCGCCTCGCGACCGTGCGGTCCATCGAGCGGCAAAGCGGCGGCGCGGCGGGGTGGGTGCGCGGCCACAAGTACGGGCTCCTGGCCGCGCTGAGCGCGCTCTACGGCGCGACGCTCGTCTTCGCGGGTCTCGTGGCGCGCTACGCGGCGAGGTACGACAAGTTCCTCGATTGTCTGCTCTTCGCGGTGACGAACTCCATGACCTGCGGCCTCCTCTACGGACAACCGTCGTCGCGCGACTGGTGGTGGACGACGGCGTCCGTCGTCCTGTCCGTCCCGGCGGCGGCCGCGTGGTGCTCCGAGCTCGCGCACCTCGTGTTCCTCGAGTACGAGAACAACGAGGCCGCGCTCTACGCGATCGCGTCGAAAAAGGCCGGGGCGCGGCGGGAAGGGGAGGAGCTCGGTGGTTAGCTAGGAACGTCGCGCCGCGCTCTTGGACCCGGTCGCGGCGCAGATGCCCGGCGCGGCGTCGACGTCGCCGGACCGCGCGAGGGCCGGGATGCAGGACGCCGGGTCGGCGAGCGCGGCGCGCCACTCGTCGCAGAAGATGCCGCGCGCGGCTCCGTAGAGCGCGCGGTCGAGGCCGTTGTGGCGCTCGAAGGCCCGCCGCAGCGTCGCGTTCGAGGCGACGGCCGCGGCGCGCCGCAGCGACTCCGCGTTCGAGCGGCGCGCGCCGACGTCCGCGAGCGTCCGGAAGTCGTCGCGGAGCTTGTGGCACGTGCTCGCGTTCACGGAGAACGCGCGCGCGAGCAGCGCGTAGGACTCGCGGGGCGCCTCGAGCAGCCCGAAGGGGACGCGTCGGAGGACGCCGACGCCGCGGGCCAGCGCCGCGTCGTCGGGCGTCGCCGCGCCCGCGTACGCGTGCTCGTTCATGCCGAGCATGCGCGTGGCGACGTTCGCGTAGGCCGACGCGCGCGCGTAGTCCAGGAACGTCGCCGACGCGTAGTCCGGGGACGTCGCCGACGCGTTCCGCCGGACGCGGGCCTCCCCGCGGAGACGCCGCCGCGCGAGGAAGCCGCCGACGGGCGGCCAGCCGACGCCGAACTCGTCGCTGCCGGGGTGGTGGCCGCGGTAGAACCACCCGCTGACCGCGCGGCGCCAGGGATCGCGCAGGAACGTGAAGCAGAGCGCGCAGCCGAACCAGGGCCGGTCGCGGCGCCGCGGGTAGCGCGCGAGGAAGTCGCGCCCGAGCGCGTCGGGCCAGCGCCGCGGCGGCGCGCGCACCTCGCAGGGGTGGTTGCGCGCGTGCGACTCGAGCGGCGCGCCGTAGGCCTGGTCGAGGCCGTGCGCCGCGTGGCAGAGCTCGAGGGCCGCGTCGTGCGACGGCATGGGGTTGCACGCGCGGCGCAGCTCGCGGTCGCCGACGCCGGGCACCTCGTCCTTCGACGGGATCGCGCCGGTCCGGCGAAACGCGTCGCAGATGGCGACGCACTCGGGCGACGCGTACGGCTTCGCGTACGCCATCGCCTCGCAGCGTATCATCTTCGCCGCCGCGTCGGCCGTCGTGCCGCCGAACTTGGGAATGTGGATCGCGTGCACGTTCAATTGGCTCAGCTCCGTCGCGCGGAAGCGCGGCCAGGAGGCACCGGTGCGCGCAGCGACGACGAGGACGACGAGGCCTCTGGTTGCCATCGCGGCCTGGATGGCGCG